GGATCATTCTGTAGTTGACATGCACACTGCTGTAGTATTTTTGGTTGGCTGTCAAATATTTCGTAGTCCAGTCGAAAGCGTCAGGCAGCTGTCCTCCGACAGACAAACCAAGTGTCCACACAGCGACAAATGTTTGAATTTTGGCTGAATTTCTCTATGCAATTTAGGTTTTTAGCTTGAGTTCAGGATTTGTCCTGGCTCCTCCAAATTTCTGATATAATCCCATTTAAACATTTTTTAAAAAAAAAGAATGTCATGGCTGTTTTTCTAGGCTCTGTAATAGACTCGTCAAAGCTGGGATGGATTCTCAACCTGGTCAACCCCAAATTGGATAAGGCGGATATAGAAAATGGATGGCTTGGTGGGTGCAAGTGTCCAGTGATTGGCTGCACACCATAAGTACAACAGTATAAAAAGGGCCAAAAAAGTTCTTCAAATCTGCTCAAGGTTTCTGCCTGTTAAAAGGAAGTTTTTCCTTGCCTGTGTCGCCTAGTGCTTGCTCATGGTGGGAATTGTTGGGTTTCTGTAATTATCTTCAGAGTAGGGTCTGACCTGCTCTGTTTGGAAAGCTGTGAGACAACTGTTGTTGTGATGTGGCGCTATAGAAATAAAATTGAATTGAATTGAAATCAGGAATGCACTGGTCACTTTCTGCTAGACCTATTATAATTACTGCTAGTAGAAGATTATTATATTTAGCATGGTGGTGGATCTGTGGATATCCAATTTAGAAAGTTAAGGTTAAGGTTCCTGTATTGTGATTTTCTGTTTTTCTTTTTGTCATAACATCACAGCACTGACATCCTCTATCTAATTTTAAGACACTTTTATTCTTGTCCTGCTCAAAAAAAAATCCTGGACCCAGCTATTGTGAAAAATTCTTTGAGAGTTTAGCTTTCCCACAGCTCGGGCAAAAAAATCCATTCAACTTTTCAACTAATGTCTCTGTGAAATCATTGCAAAGTTGTAACACTGAAATATTTATATGCCGATAGCAGGGAATTCTGAGTCAGTGCAGAGTGTGCAGAGACGCGTGGGTGTCTGCAACACCTGGGTACCTCACCGGTTTCCCACCGTAGGCTTTGCTCTGTGACCAGGTGTGATGTCATTTGATGTGTTTCCTGCAGACAAGCTATCCTCCTAAACCTAAAAATCCACCGAACAAACACCCTCCAGGAGCCACGGGGACTGAACTGCTGTGGGCTGAGGTAGTTATTATTTATCTCTGATGAAGCAGTTGCAATTGTCCGAGGCATTCTGCAAAAATAATGTCTAGAGAAAAGAAAAAGCCGACATCCACCGACACGCCAACAGGAAAGAGACCTGAGAACATTTTCGTTCCACGGACCGGGGCGGGGAAGAATTCTGTTTGTGAAGACGGCCACCAATGATGGAAGAGTGACGAAACATCTTTCAAAGGCAACCTCTCCCCGAAAAAGACAAGAATACTGAGCAGGACAATGCATATGCCAACATTAAAGAGTAGAGTGCAACAGTTGGGTGTATTAGAATTTGGCTATAATTATTCACTTTAGCATTGTATGCTAACACATAATCTATGTAAATTACTGATTGTCTTACTCCTTTTAGAACTATACTTTCGTGTAACCACAGATTCTGTTTTCCCCTTGTTTTCTCTCTGTTACATTATACACATGTCATGAGGTCAACACACACACACAAACTTTGTTACCACATTCCAAAGTTATCTGCATTAACTAGGACCCAGAGAGAGAGGTTTTTGTCTGTGAAGAGCCATGTGCCGATATACTTTGCCTGTGACCTAATAAATATAATTTTTATACCTTTGATCTATTCTGGTGTGTTGTCAGGTTTCCAACTAAAGAATCGGGTTAACAGGTGCACACACAAATTTGGACAGAATCCATGCAAAATGATACAAGAATCGGTTGCCATCCGTCACGGTGAATTCCAGATGTCTCGGAAAAAGAGGGGCCAGCGCTACCAATACTGACTCTGCGGCATAAACTGGTGCTGGAAATGTCAGTAGAAACCCTGGAAACTCATGAAAGACTTGTAATCATTCCTTCGAACATGCATGACTTGAGCACTTATGGTTATTTTCAAAACTTTTGACCACGACCGCATGTGCTGGGTGTGTGTGGCTCAAAGCCTCCACCATGACCAGAGATGTACAGTAACGAAGTACAACTACTTAAGTACTGTAACTAATTACCAAAATGCAGTATCTGTACTTTATTGGAGTATATATATATTTTCCCTACTTTTACTTTTACTCCACTACATATTTTTGATTCATTGAATACTTTTACTTTTACTTTCAGGGGCTGAATCGTTACTGGTTACTGATATGTAAATGTAATGAATCATCCCCAAATCATAGTGTCAAAGCCTCAGCTGTAGATAGCTCTGTCCCGGTTTGGGAAGCTGGCTCCTCATTGGGCAATTTGAGCGATCAAGCATAGCCTATAAAAAAATTAAGAAAGATTGAGAAATTGTTTGTGACTTACTGGGGGAATTCCAAGTAGCTGGTTAAGAGACAAACCTGGTTAGGTTAGGGTTAGGGTTATGGACCTGAAGGCCGTGGTTAGCCTGTTGATGGAAGAGCTTGAAACTTCATGTTGATGCTTCTGTTCCATCTTAAGGTTCCCCACCAGGCTTAACTCGCCCCTCTGGCCTTTTGAGATGCTTTATTTGTGTTTTGTTTTCTGTTTGGTCTTTCACACATTAGAAATTATAAAAAACTATCAATATTTTGACTGCCTTTTTTAATATACACAGTACTTGTACTTTTACTTATACTTCTATTTTCAATACTTGAGTAGCATTTTTTGAAATACTTCTACTTGCAATACTTAAATACAAAAAAAATGGGAGTACTTCTGTACTTCTGCTTAAGTATGGTGTTGAAAGAACACTTCTACTTTTACTCAAGACAATTTTTTTACATGGTACTTGTACTTCTACTCCACTTCTTTACTTTATACATCTCTGACCATGACACAGTACAGCGGTTTGCTCTGAGTGCTTGTTTTCAAAGTATGTGACTATTATAGTTCCTTTAACAGTCGATTTTTGCCTTAATAGTGAGGAAAGACTTTCATGGAGAAAAATCCCTCTGGTGTTACCTTAAAAACACGTAGTATCTTTAACTCTGTAACGAGAGAGCAGAGACTCACGGAACTAAAGACCTGCACTTTAAATGAATCTGAATCTCATGACAGACCGCGAGGCCATTTCAGGAATAATGTGCTGTGCCATGAGGAAATCGGTGCTCACACACACACACACACACACACTCACACAAAAACACACGTGGAGCTCCAGTCTTGAGAGGCTAAAAATAGCCATTATTACTGCAAATCACTATGTCCAGTGAAAATGCCCTCCGCAATGCCAGAGCGAGCCAGATTTTTCTCTCCATTCAAAGGGGTACAATACACACGAGGAATTTTTCACAATCATATCAATCTGTAAGTAATTAGATTTCAGAATTGCATCATGCAGAACACACAGAGTATGAATTTAACAGCTGTTTTGCTTCCACCTGTTATCGAGATCAAATTCAGTAAAGAAAGAGTCCGCTATCAAAAATATTCACATTACTCTATTTTCAATGATTGATACAATTAGTAAAAACGGCTGCTTTGTTAAGACATCAACAACATGTCAGCTGTATACCGGCTGATTAAATGCTCAAAGGGATAAACCGTTAAAGGAATTGGGGGACAGATGTGCATGGTTACAGAGAAACTGACAAAGGATGTGGAGATTATTATTATTTTCATTCTAAGAATGTACATTTGATAATAAAGATCCAACATTTTCTGCAGGATGAGTCAGACAGTCTTCAACCCACAGACAGCTAAATGTTCTAAATCACTGAGAAAAGACGGAAAGAAGAAGAATGTAATTCCCTGATACATAGGCTGATAACTGCATAATTGTGGCAGATTACTACCGATGCTAAATTTTCATTACTGGCTTTTATTCCTCATTGCAATGAAATATATATCCCACTGTAAATCTATTGTATTCATGAGGTAGTATGCATTTAATACCTGACAATTCATTTGTCTGACAATAACATTTATTTTGCTAGTCGTCTTGTGGAGGCTTTTGTAAATTGACATAATTCAAATTGCAGCCGACAGCATGGTAGAAACTGTTGACATGGCTAAATTCATATGACTCCATTACATTAGAATGATTTCTTCCAAAAAAGGGAGACTAGATGAACCCTCCCAGTTTTAATATCTATATGAAATAAACCATGGTGTTGCATTGCTAGTTGCTGCAATTCAGTTAACCCTTTAAAGCCTGATCCAAGAATAAAACAAAACAGAAAATTACTTTTTTTGTTTGAATTCCTTATTTGGCCTTTTAACAAAATAAGTAAAAAGAAAAAACAGAAATACATTTTTATTATTAATAACTTATTATTGTGTGATAGTTCAAGATTATTTTTGTGTAGTCTACTGCCCCCTGTTATCAGGTGTATCTGATTGTGTACAATAGGATTTTGAGCAAAGTTTTTACCATTAAATTATGCAAAAGGTGTCAGACGCAAAACATTTCAGAAACCGTACGTATCAAATATGATACATTTGGCATTACAGGGTTAAAGAAGTACTGGTCTAAACCAGAAAGTCTCTAGCAGGAAAAACAAAAGACCGACTACTGGGGACATCAAAAAGAAAGAAAAAAATAGCTACGAGCTATGTTTTAGAAATCAATTTAGTCTAGGGGAGTACCTGGGATACTACATCATATCTGGCCAGTCTCTATTGATGATTTGTTATTTGGTAGGAGCTGCTAGTGAGAAAAGCCATCTTAAATCACTCCTTTGTGTTAATTGAAAATATCAAGATAAACAAAAGGAAATCCACACCATTCAACTCTGCCCAAGACCATGTCAGTCAAGTCTGACAGCAATTATAGCAATTATTGAACAAAATAAAGATGCATGTGTACGCGTGTGTGTGTGTGTTTTAAAGACAGGATCAACTGTCCCTCACCTGTGCTGTCTTTTGTTGTAACCATCAACCTGTGGGGCACACGGGGTGAGGCCTTCAGCCCCGCTCGTATCTGATAGAACCTGAGAAGACAGACACACAAACAAAGAGGCTTCATTTGGATTCGGACATTTTGGTATTCTCCATCCTCTCATCTAATATACTGTCTAAAGTAATATACTGTCTTTTCCTTCGAAAATACAAGTTACCTGTAGTTTTGTGTATTGATTTGAAATAAATGCTAGCAAGAACATTCTTGCTAGCATTCGTCCTCATGTTGAAAGTGAAATAGCGTCAAGGAAATTTTAAAAGATTTAAAAGTAGTTCAAAGCATCAAAGTACTTAAGATTTTGTCAAGAGGAATATCTAATTTAGTTAGGAATTTTAAGAATTTTCTGCAATTCTGATTATAGCTAATTCAGCTAATTCATCCACATTAGCAATTTAGCATGGATGTATGTTTGATTTTTTTTGTAATGCATTCAAACTGGTCCTTTTTTTCAACAGAAAGAAACAAGCTGTGTCTTTGAGCAATAGCTGATTAAAGTAGTCGCTAGCAGAATAGAAGAGGATGCTCGTATTCATATAAAATCACTGGTAACACCTATTAAAAGGATGTGCACATATTGAACATTTGTTAACAGATGTTGAAGTTACAAATTTAATGAGCATTTTGTTTACAGAAGACAGAAGACTGAACACCATGCAGCTGGGCTCATCGTTTTAGTATCTGCACTACAATCTACATATACGGTTCTTATCACTTCCTATACAGATCTAATCGGTATTTTTAATGCAATCAGTGTACAAACAGACCTTTAAGCGTACAGCTGCACGCCCCACTGGCCTGTGCAGAGATTAGTGCTGACGTCAGTAATTATACTCATGAGTGGCAACATTCAGATCTTCAAACCTGGGCTGTTTTTGAAGCAGAGCGCTCCTTATTTTTTACAAGATTTGTGCTGCTATCTGGAGGAACATGGCAACCGCTAAAAACAAACATATTAGTGCACTCAGATGAGGGGGTAACCATGATGGAGCTTGAGCCCGTTCCACTTCGAAAGGGAAAATCATTTTTGATAGAGCTGGCCTTTCGTTCAAGCCAGATGAGAGATTTAATCTCCCCACAAACACATTAAAGCAGGATTAACTCGGGCCCTTTTCTATGTTACAGAGTAACAGGAAAACTAATTGAACAATAAGTTAAAGGGGAAAACATTTCTTTATGGCTCCATTATAAACGACTTTTATGTATAGTTTTTGTATGTGATTTAAATTCATACAATCGTTCTTTTTCCCATCAAGTGTTCTAAAAAATTAAAAACAATAAAAGAAAAAAAACAGAATTAGTGACACCGTGGTAGTTAAAACTAAATAAAACATAGTTTGACAGGAATGAACATTAAAAATTTTGTATGGTGAAAGCAGGAAACATTTGACTAGAATTTATTGTTTGCCACTCGCATTTAAGCATACCTTTTATGAATCATTTATTGGATATTTTTTTATTTAGAAATTAAGATTTTAGCACACAAAAGACATGAAGAGACCACTGGTCATTTTATAATGCATTTACACTTAATTTTTCATTTAAAATCCTCATAAAGGGGAACATTTAAATGTGAAATTTGAGCAAAATGGAAGATAGTTCTGACATTGTTGGAGTGGTCAGAGGCAAGATGACCATGTTTACCCTTTTCTGGAGCATTTAAATTAAAGGGCAACAATAATTACATTTATAGGTTAGAAATGTAATTTTGTTTAGACACAAAGTATCAAACTAAACCAAGTAGTCAACCAAAAATATCGTGCCGTTTTCAGTTGTATTGCAACTCACTTGGTTAAGATTTGGAATAAAAACTTGGTTGCAAGTTCTCAAAAAAGTTGGCTTAATTTAGAAAAGATACTATGATGATGTTTTGATTCAAAATGTGCATTCAGTAACCATCCCCAGCCTAACTACACACACTAAATATGACAGACACAACCAGGTGTCCCACTGAAATTTTGAAAGTAAGTCTGGGTAGCACAAAAATGTACACAAATACTAAACGTTCTCTCCTATGGATGCTTTGTTTTGCTTTTTTCATGAGACAGAGCAGTTCAGAAGTATTTTCCAACTGCCCTTGGGTAAGTGTGCTTTTACATAAGTACCATTTTCAAATGCAAAAATGTCTCTTTATTGTGTGTGACAGCGGCATTATTCCAGTTCTACAGATGGAATACAGAGTATTTATCCGAACGGTAGTAGAACAAGAAATTTTTGATGCAAATAACACATAAAATGCACATATTTAATTTAGTTTCATCCAGTGTTCCACCAGCATTTGTATATTTATATAAGTAGAGCACTTAAATTACTGGCAAATACATTTTCTAACCTCGGGGAGCGAAAAGGTGGTTCACTCTTGTCTATAATCCAGTACACATGGAGGACGTTGTGTGCTATAATGTGCTAACGCTCACACATCCATCATCCAGTCACATCTAGCAGTGACAGTGTGTCACAGGTGAAGTCGGCCCTTATTGCTATGTCCTTTAGAAAACTTATCTAAATCATCATTAAGTTATCCACACAGCAAAATGCCACAATAAGTGCAAACAGGGTAACCGCTCGCTGCTTAGCTGTTATGAGCTAATAAACAATTCATGGCTCATTGTATAATTTTATTCATCCGTTGCAATTGGTTCGATTTCCAACATAATCCTTGAGTGGTCGCAGTGAAAGAGGGGTGAATGGGGGATGAAATCTAAATTACTTAACAGGTTACAGGTCATATTTTCATTGGTAACCCTATTTTCCACATGTTTTCAGTTCACATGCACCCCGTTCATCCCTGATGAAGGCAAAACTCGACATATTCTTTTGCACATTCGGATCTATATTTTTAAAGATTGTTCATTTGTACATTCGGATCTATATTTTTAAAGATTGTATTTTTCAGTTTGATCATTTCTGTCCTATATTTTTATTTCTACATTTTATTTCTTGCTTCTCATAAAAGTGTTGTGTTGTGCACCAAACACCAAGGCAAATTCCTTGTAAGTCTAAAAACCTACTTGGCAATAAACCTTATTCTGATTCTGATTCTGATTCTGACTAAGTGATTTGTTAATGTGAATACATAGTTCGATAGACGCAAAACCTCCGCTTACCCCCTTTGGAAGAGGTCCACATTGTGAAACTTGTGCAGCTCTACAGAAAACTCCAGTGTTCCCTGTACTTCAGACATGATACGTTCCCGTTCATCACCTGCAAAAGAAGAGAAGAGGCTCGGTAAACATGAGGTCCCCGGTAAATGACAAATGGTGACATCTCTGAAACCGGCGCCTTCTGCTGAGTCCTCTGAGGTGGTGACTCATGCGGTCCAGCGCGGTGTGGAGAACGGACGGCAGGAGCCCAGAATAGACACCTTGATCTGAATATAGTAATGATCACCCAGCTCAAGTTGATGTTTGAAAAATGGCCGATGCTCTGTCACAGAATAATTCCTGATAATAATGAGGGCAGCTTCGTCTGTCAAGGGAGCTCATTTGCGATGGTCAAGCCACGGTCCATTGTTGGTTTGTTTCTTTCGTTTTTATTTTTTCTATTCATTTTGAGCTTGAATACTTGGACATCTCATCGCTCTTGGTCACTCAACAACCCAAGATGGAAACCACTGAGGAAAACCACAGCTGCTTCACACTGTATCTGTACTGACCGGGCTTTCAGTAAAAAAGCTTTGATTTGGGATTCCCAGTTGCCACAATCAACAGCCTGAAACCGTAACAAACAAAGGCAAACTCACCTTGTGTCTGAACACAAAACCACCCGGTCATCACCATGACTCTCGGCCCTTTTCCGGCAATCTAACAGCAGTGGAAGCTCGAAGAATTAACGGTCTACTTTTACCCATTGCTCCACGCCATCTGCGCCTATTAAACCTGCACTTCCTAAGCAGCGGTGTCAGGAGAAAGTGCGGGGAGAGCTCATCCTTTAGCAGCCGAAAGGAGATGAAACACCCCCAGTGTTTACAGGAAAGTGGATCAAATAGCCCCCTCATTGAACGCTTTGAAACCTAATCCTCGGCTGTGTGCTGTGGGGTGCTTAGTGTTCCCGAACGTGCCGTAAAAACTGCCAAAGACGGTGTGGATGAAAAGCAAGGTGCACACACCGAAGTATCATTACAAACAAACTCTTTTGTGTTACAGTCAGTCCTCGGCCGGGTAGGCTTTAAAAGCCTGATCACGCCACGGCCTACTTCATTTAAACCAGTGGAGATTTAACCAGACATCCTGGTTTTATTGCGGCAGAGCTTAGAGACTTGGATACTGTTAGAGGTTCACTGAGTGCATTAAAGAGACAGAACACACGACAACAGTGCTGTGTGGGGACGAAAACACATAAAATCGCCTTTTTTTTTATTAAAAAAGGTGCCAACGTGCCGAAGAAGAAAAGATGAGCTGCAATCGGATGTGAGACGACATGTACTTGCTAGGAATGGGCGTAATTGAAAAAATGTGTTTCATTCACAAGTGATACCATCGGTTTTTAATTCATGTGGTTTGACATCAGTGCGCGATGATCTTGAGATTCTTTTTTAGTCTTAAGCTGCATACACACATTCACACGTGTGCTTTGGCCGTTCTGCAACACAACCCTGTGAAAAACATGTCGGAAGCAGGATCAAAACTGGACGAACAAACATTAAGGTCTACGTCAGAAGTCTAAACTGAGATTTGACTAAATGTTAAATGTTAAAAACAAGCTTCTTTTCTTTTTAAACACCCCCAGGGGGAATATGTCACAGCGGCTGATCTTTAACACGGTGCTTTAGGGATAAAAGGTCAACGGCTCGTGTGTCTTGATTGGGTCGGCCATTTTTCTCAGTTGTCAAAGTTTCACTGGGCAAGACCCTAAATCCCACACTGACCCACATTCATCCACTCCAGTTATCAAGCAATGTGCAGCATCTCGTTTAGAGTAGACTAAGACGTGCCGTGTGAGCGTGTGTGAATGGGAAAAGCACTTTGAGAGGTCAACTGGACGAGGAAAGCGCTTAACAAGTGTAGTCCATTTACTATTTAGAAGGATGAACTGTCTGTTCAGACCTACAAAATACTCCTAAGTGGAGCCGAATGTTGCATTAGGATAATGCAAATCCCAAAGCAGCCAGTGGTTTCACGTGCAGGGTCAGACAGTAAAAAAAGAACACACAAAAAACATACACAACTGCAGGTGAACTAATTAGCTAGCTTTATTCAGAATATAGAGAAGGATTTGGAAATGGTATGACGAATTTTAAGGGATTCTATCAAAGACAAATGTACTTATTATGTGTTACACTGGGTCTTTTTTAAAACCATGGAAGTATCCATGGAAGAGAGCAACTATAATCTTTGGTGTTGTAATGCTGGTTTACCTCTTGTCTACTTTCAGCCCTTATTTATGTTATGATGCCATAGTGCTGTGCCTTTCTTTAATGTAGATATCAAGAATTTCTAATTGGGATTGGAAAAAGCATGTCCTACTGTAAATCAAAAAATTGTTGCTGGTGGTATTGAAAAGTCCAGTATCAGGACTCCATGGATCTTATAAAATTGCTAAAGGGTCTCACCATAGCTGGTGCTTGGTTTGTTCCCACCAGGACACCGTAGTGCATTGTGTAGCAGTAACTATGTTAAAAGTCTCAGTATAAATATCATAATTAATTTCCAATAAAGGATTACTCAAAATGCAACACACATCTAAGCAATTTTATATTTGATATTTGAAAAGTGTTCCTATAGAAGAAGGTGAGTCTAATGTGCCCCCTCAGCTTTAAGACAAAGGTCCCCTTAACACTGAAATTGCACATTCTACTTGCACTAAGTCAAAACACACACACACACACACGCACACACACTGGACTGACTCAAAGCGCACACACACACACACACACACACACACTGGATTGACTGAAAGCACACACATACACACTCACTTGACTCAAAAGCGCACACACACACAAAACCAACTCAAAAACATACATACACACACATATACACACACACACACACTGCCGCTTTCTTCATGCCTGTTGACTGTATTGTAAATATTGCACATTACAATTGATCACTTTTTTATTTTTTATATCACACAATTTTCTTATCTAATGTCTAATTTATCTAACTTATCTAATTTATGTATATGTCTGCACGGGAAAGCAAGAAACGAAACTTCAATTCTTTGTATGACCAACGCATGTACTTACTTGATTTATGGCCAAATCTTTTTGAGTTTGTCTATGAATGCAGTTAAGGTGATAAAGCTTAATATACTTTAAGGAGACAATATTTAGCCTTCATGGATGGCTGTACCTGTAATGTCAGATAGATGGAGCCCCTCAAACAGTTCACAAGCTAGGAATACAATGCCGTCTCAAAATGTGTAACATCTCAGAGATTCTGACAAAGCTACCGAATACAGTTTTCTGAGGAGACTGGGATCCAACTTTTCTTCAAAGAAAACAGGTTGAGTGTAAAGCAACACATGATGCGAGGGCTTTCTGCCTGAAATTTCCCGAGGACAAAGCCCTTTAGCACTGGGTGGACTCAGCATGTTCCCCTGTGACGCAGTCGTGGAAGCGTCCGGTGTCAAGGTCTGACCCTCCCCATCCAGAGAGGCCCGCCGTAAAACAGCCGGCTGCTTATCTGACCGCTGCACGCTCTGAGATTCATTAGAGGGAGCACCGCTCATCCCCGGGAGCGTGTCGGGAACGAACACCGTGTACTCTGTGAAAACCCAGGCTCCAGGCCCTAACGCAGCTCTCACTCCTCAAAAGAATCAAACCAAAACTGAAAGAAAAATACCAAAAAAAGACCCTTGTACTATTTATCAGTGCTGCCACTTACTGTGATATACTGTGATACAGAGGCTGTCCATGGTGTGGATGACAGTGATAAAACAATGCCTCATCTTAAGCAAAACCACAGCATGAGAGGTTCTTAAGGGAGATAAGGCGTTAGATCTTCCCCGCTGTCAATATGTGTCTAAAGACGTGGTTGTGTCCTGCTTTTGATCTGCTAATGATATATAAAAGTAACACTTTGTAACCTTGCTCTAAGGGCATCTTCAGGCTAAGTACCTTCTTCTTGCTTCTCACTCTTGGTTACATAAGAATCAGCATTTCTCCATCACAATTACACAGCGTGAAACAGGATTTGCACACTTTGCTTTGGGGAAGAGGCCGTAAAATCTCCTTAATGTGTTTTTCAAGCGACGTATAAACATCTTATTCGGATTGAATTTGAATGAAAGCAAGCAATTTCATCATATAACACCTTGGATGTCAAACTGGCCAAGCTCTGCTCGGCTGTTAGTTTTGGAAAGAAATATAAACCGTTCAGTACTGCTTGCCATGGAGACACCCTGCTAAAGTTTGCAATAGGTCACACAGAAAAAGCTTCCTATTTTATACATATGTATAACTGTGCGTCTGTGTGTGTGTACATAATGTACATATGTACATTATCTTACTTTTAGTGGTTGCGGCTTATATTCAGGCGCAGTAGATAGTCTGAAAATGATGTTAGCTAAAAGGTTCAATAAAGCTAGAACTGTACATCACCTTCACTATGCATGGATTGACAGATAATCTCAATTAATCAATCATATATATATTACATTGTCCATGTTTGTTTCAAATGATCAACTAACAGTCAACCCTTCTCTCATTTGCAGCGTTCCGCCAATATAACCAGGAGCTTTGCTAACCAGTACCTGGAACAGAAAACCACCATCAGACAGAAAGACGGATTTTTTCTAATCTCCATGCCAATTTGTTAGACTAACTGAAATCATAGAAAATGTCTTGAGGTTATCAACATATACAATTCGATTGTTTTGGCCTTGGCATATAATGGCTCACCAGATGGAATACCATGCAAACCCAAAAGCTAACAATCTGAAAGGCCATTTATGACCAGCATTGTGGAGAAGTCAACCGTTTCCACTCGAGATTGACGACAGCTGAATTGAACTGAGGCCGTTGTGGGTAGCAAAGCTCACATTCATATCCATCAAGGCACATCGAGCCATAATCACACACAAGTTACTGTGTTAAAAACCGCCTGCTATGCTGGATTTATAGATAAAAAGCAAAACAAGAGAAAGGAAAACCATTCATCTAAACAAAGAGTTTGGATTCCTGCGGGACGAAACACAAGAGTAGAAAGCTAAGGATGCATCAATAAGCACGATAAGGACCATGTGCTGTGGGTAAAAACAATGGGCCCTGTTAACCATTAAACATCACTTTGTTGAAACTCAATATTAGGCTTCAGCAATGGGTACAACAAATGAATCACCTGCTGTATGAGTTAAGATTCTTTTCCCTTCAGAATCATTTCGCCTTTAAATCCTGGTCCCAGTTGCTTTATCATCCCGGCACACATTTGCATCACCTGTGGCCTCGCTGAGGCTGGGATCTGCTGCCTGAGCGCTTTTAAAGGCTCCGTCCTCCTCCTCGCAGCAAATCATTAAACACTTATCATTACAAAACAGCCATCTGGTATCTGATTACTATTTAAATCAGGCTGCAAGCACACACACACACACACATATACAAGCAGTGTTCTTGTAGGTCTAGAGGTTACAGCTCCACTAATTCTGACACCTTTGGGAAATTCTCCCGGCTGCCCTGAGGCTGCCCTCCTCCTCCTTCTGGCCACTCCCGTCATTTTCAGTTCATCTGGAAACTCAGATTGACATCACCGATGCCATTATGGGGTGGGCTTATAGTGGCGAATGTGAAACGAACAGATTTAGCTGACTTTATAGGCAAAGGTTTAACCGTAACACGGACAGAGACGACTGCTTTTGTAAAAAGGGGGGCTGTAATTTGTTAGGAATACCTAATTCCACCCGATTCTTACGGAGGCTTGAAAAACAAACAGGAGAGGTCTTTAACAATGAATGGAATTTATTCCGGCCACAAGTAGGATATCACAGCGCTGGACTCTCTGGGGAATGTTGTCTCAACGACGCGATCCCACCAAAGAGCCCCGGTTAGACGTCAATCATGTACATTTATCTTCTTGGACAATGCAAAACTGGTCTTCGCAGCACCGAATTGTAATTGGCCATTTAACTCTAATAACGTAAACATGCCAGTTTCCTGTTCACGTGATCGCGTAGTGTCGTAAAAAAGTGTTGTGAATGTTGGTTGTTGGCGTGCAGCTGGAAAAATGTTACTACAGGATTTCTACATGAAACTTTAACAGAATCTAAAAATGAATCCTTTCAAAATGAATCCAGCCACAGCACCTGGTTTCACCGGGATATTCCAGCCTCCATCACATCGGAGCTCATGGCTCACTTTGGAGAATCGACATGCAGAGTCCTGTGTGAAACCGCCCGAGCCACCCCCCCCCCCCCCGGTCATGTGACGGCCTAATCTGGCACTGGCTAAAGCCCTCTGTGATATTGTCCCTTTGTTGTGGATTTACAATCCCAAATGCCAGCAAGGGGATCAGAGGATGTGAGGTCGGCTGATTTGTAGGTTCGTAGGAGGACAGATGACCTGAAGAAAATCTTATCATGGAATCCATTTTGCTTTAGGGGAAATAAAAAAGACAAATGCAGGAGAATAATTTCCTCAGGGAGCTGTTGTGTTCTGTGGAGAGCAGCATGTGACCATAAACAGAAACCCTGTTTGTTTTCACAACTCTGAGTCAGCGCAGACTTATTTGTATCATAACCGAGGGCCTGTGTACGAGCCCTTTAATGAATACGGACACCTGCATGCACAAACATCTTCACACGCACGTATTTTCTTCATTTTTTTCCCTTCGACCAACCAGACATGGCAGTTATCTTCAATTTGTCTTTGCCAATAGTTGTCAGGACTATCTGTCTGACTTTTAAAGGTTTTTCTTTGGTAATTGGTTGCTTTTTTTATCTTATTATTTTACTAATTTTCACCAATGGCCCTTATATCTGCACATTGTCAGAGGATTCTTTAGATTTTTTAACCTATGACTCACAAAAAAGCACACATAACTCAAAGGATGAGCCTGTTCTGTGTCCAGACAGAGTAGAAAATTTAGCAAAGAACCCCTTTGAAATTGAAGGAGAAACGACAGACCTAAAACGCTAACTATGACCAGTTTTAATATATATATAAGTTGACAAAGGCCAGAGCAGAGTGATGCAGCAGCACTTTCACTGACACCTCGTCAAACCAGAAGAAGAAGAAGAAGAAGAAGAAGAAGAAGAAGGTAAACGGTTAGAAGAGGCAGAGCTATTCCAAAAATAAAACGAGAAGTGGACAGAATATCCAACACAACAGGTCTGGATGTTAACCCTGATGTTGACGAAGCAGGGGGGGATAATCTGAGCAGAGAACTGAACAAAAGGCAGCCTAGCTTTGGAATGTCCTTCTTACTGACCGTTAGATGAAAATGCTCATAACATATTCTGACTTTCAAACCTGGGAGACTAAAAAAACAGTCAAATCAGAATGCCTCTTTTCCTGTTTTGTTTTTCTGGTAATACATAAAGAAACTAGACATGGCTATGCACGCTCTTTCCCACAGTTATGAAAGTTGGTGCTTGGAAATGGTTGGGTTCACAGTCCCGTGGATGTCTGCTCTGTAATGAAATGTTCCCATGGGTGGGTCACATGAGTGCGTGAACCCGTGCTGCAGAAGAGCAGCAACAGCTTCAGCGAGTCTGAGCTCCAGATCCTGTCAGAGTCAGAGTCAGAGTCTGGGTCTGGGTCTGGGTCTGGGTCTGGGTCTGGGTCTGGGTCTGGGTCTGGGTCTGGGCTCTGGCGCTCTGTTTGACAACACTATCAGACCACCGCACACTGCAGCATCCGTGGGAAAGTCAGGCGGAACATCACACACACTGTGCCCTGTCAAAAAACCCCGGCTGACTTTATATTAAAACAGTTTCCCACCACTCCATGCTTCTGATCCCAAATCAAGTTTTCATTTCTAAGAGGAGATGGACTAAAGAATGACCTGGCTTTTTAACCACTACACACTATGTACCATGTGTACACACAGTTCAGACAAAGACCCCCCCCCTCCCCCTGAGAGCTATTTACAGGAAGCAGAGAAGAAGTATGAATGAAATCAGACTCCATGTTTCCCTGAGAAATCCTCCCTCAGACCACCGCCTGTCTCCCGGATCCCGCCGTGTCCCGGACGCATGCAGACAAAAGCCCCCCCCCCCCCCCCCCCCCCCCAGGGCGTCGCGCGCAGATAACAGCAGCCTCACCTTAGCAGTGATGTGGTGATATCCGCAGAGGGTTCTGGTCCAGTCCAGGCAGAGTAAAAAATCTCTGTTTGCGGAGGGATGCGCGCTTTGCGCTGTTTACTCCGCCGCTGCGGCTGCTGTTGCCATGGTTATTCATCCATACCCGGCGCGTTCTGCAGTGCCCCCTCTCTCTCTGTTCCTCACTCACTCACTCTCATTCTCTCTCTCTTTCCAATCCGTCTCCATGTCTCTCTCTATCTCTCTCTCTCTCTCCGGCTCTCCCGATTTTAATTTGAGAAAGTGTTCCGCGTCTCGTCAGCCCGCGTCCGTGTGTGTGCGTGTGCGTGCGTGTGTGCGCGTGCATGTGTCCGTGTGCGCGTGTGTGTGTGTGTGCGTGTGCATGTGTGTCATCCGGGTCCGCTCCGCCTTCCTTGCACAATGCACAGTGCTTTTCAAAGGGGGAGGGAGGGGGGAGGGGGGGGGCGGGAGCGCGTGTCCTGCTGCTCCGTGGTGCTCGCGCGTCCGGAAGGTCGAAGGGACGTCAGAGCCTGCCCCCCGCCAAAAAAAAAAAAAAGCTGAAGGGAACCGTGCACCACGACTAAAATATTAAATACATATATTGACAATTTGTTTACCGGTTTTACATATCAGCTCATGTATCAAAGTAAAGAAAAAAAAAAGTATAAATATTCATGGGAACACTAAACATTTGTGAGCCACCAGAATGCAAAAGAAGTTTGTCAAAAATAAGTCCACTCTCCAAACGAATTTGCAGAGGTTCCATCAGTGTGTTTTGGCCTGGAGCGTTCCAGTGTGGGTTCCACCGGTCACCCACACCGGACTGGTCACTTACAAATGATTTGGGGCTCAGAGAAACAAAAAAACAAGATTTACAACTCAAACTCCATGAGCCTCTATCTGCACTTTAAGGGCACAACAGTTGGTAAATGACTGAACAAGTACGGCTTGTTTTCATGAACTGAGGTGATTCATTGAATTGAATCTGTGCTATGTCCAGGGGAATGTGTCGCTGTGGGCAGTGTGATGGGGGGAGGATCCAGATACAGACCAGGGGACACAAGGGATTTGGGAATAACTATCATTTATCAACAAAATGGTAACAAAACGCCCAGCTGAACCAGAAAAAAAAAACTGAACTCATTTTAGAACAAAATAAACTCAAAAAAAGAACCCCCAAAACCAAGAAAGACAGAGAGAGTTGAGGAAAACAACAAGGACCAGTGATGGATGGACAGAAGAACAACAGAAAGACATGTAACGGGTTAATGAATAGAAGGGAAAAATACTAAGAAGACTAGGATGAAGATGACAAAGAGACATAAAGGAGGGGAGAGGAAACTGAGAAGAGATGTGATAAAACACAGCAAACAGAATGGAGGAAGCTTGGGAGGAAAAATTGAAAATAGAAGCAAGAAGCATAACCTAAACTAAGAACAAAGTGTATCAAGAGAAACTCCCAAAAAAATTCAAGCAAAGACACAGGACCAAAAATATCAGACCAAGAAAACAACAATAAAAAAATAAAAAAACCTTTAACTTGTTATATTCCGGGGTTCTGTCCTTATCTTTTGTTGCCACTAGAGGCTTTCAGGCGCACCTTTCTGGAGTCGTGACATCATCCAGCACACCGGATCCCAAATAACTCATCCAGCTGGGGAGTACTTCAGGAGCTGACTGCCAGAACCTCGGGGCCTGAGTGTTAGCCAGTAACGGTACCTCTGAGCCTCCTAGAGCTTGTCTCTAAGTTTTTCGTATTGGATCTCTTTGTGATTTACCCTGTTGTCTCCTGCTTTCAGATGTTCCCTTTTTCCAAGACGCCCTGGATTTCCCCCCCCCGTGCCGCTCTCCCCTGGCTACCTGTGGGAGGTCGTCCTCGTGACACCGAGTCACCGCTACCTGTTTTCCGCTGGGCCTGAGCCTACCTGTCCGCCCTCCGACGCGCCACCTACCCTGGACTCACCTGAGGACAAGGACCCCGGACCTTTGGATGACTCTCCCCAAGACCACAACCACAGCACCCAATCTGCCGATCGCCCTGTGAGCCATTCCCGGACAACCCCGTTTTTCCACGTTCACCACAGTTAGTAGCACAATAAACATTTATTTCACGGAATCAACTTCTCCTGTGTTGTGTTCTGCGTGTGGGTTAGGAAACTGGAACCCATCATGACATAACTCATCACACAATGGATTTTGTGTGTCTCTTGTGTTGTGGTTGTTCCAAAAGTGGCCAGAATTTCTCCCCCTTCCTCATCAATCAGGATTCAAAATCAATCAGTTTCAAGCCGCGCTCACTTGTCAATACAAAGGTTTCCAGGTGGTAAAGAGTACTGCCCACTGCCACGAATCAAGAAACTGTTGAATTTTAGTACATCACACAGAGGCACTTTGGATGGATCTGGACCGGACTTTAAGGCCTACTTAAAGGCCTACAGCAGTCCAGTCCTAGTCGAGATTTTCTTTTTGAGAATGCAGTAAATTTGATTAGTAACCACGCTCTCATTTGGTCCTGGCAGTCAGGTACTGCAATCCAAACGCCATCTGTCCCTGTTAAACAACTCCTCTCAGACTAATCGCTGTCAGACAGGGGGAAGGGGAGGATTATGTAACAAAAAAATGAATAAAAACGTCCATGACACATAAGCTGCTGGCTGTGGCTAGCGTGCGTCCGGCGGTTGTCGGCGCTAGTTTCCTGCGCCGGACTTTGAGCCGTTCCTCCGAGGGTCTGACTCACCGTGCGGGCGGAGGATGGCCGATCTCGTTTTGTGCTCTAAGGATCACCTTCTGCCTCCAAACCCAAAGTCAATCGCTGCTTCTCTCTCGTGGCGTTCTGCCATAAGCCCCAAGCACTCTTGATTAAGTGCACAGCGCTATTGATTTTTTTTTTTTTTTTCCCCCTCTCATTTGGGCACTTGCCAGTGTCCAGACTATTACATAGCCAGATTGTGTGTGTGTGTGTGTTATGTGTGTGTGTAGGGGGGGGGGCAGGAATTTCCAAGGTTACACAGCAAGGACAACTATTTTCACACAGACAATGTTACACTTGCATAATCGTTTCGAGCCTACAATAAGACCGCCAAACAACAGGGATGACGCACAGTCGGACGAGTTTTGCTTCTCATTCGATTTGGCGGATGCCCGTTCAGGCGTTCGTTCCGTTGAGATGTAAGGAGGGAATTACGCGTGTTAGTCCACACGGGCCACGAGATGTAAACCCCATCTCCACTCCAAGGAAGGTTTTGGTCCAAACACAGGCTAGTTCTATCACCAAAGCATTTATTTAGGGGATTAATTTCATCCTTCTGATTGAATTTCAGAAACTGCTGAACCTCTCTCTTTCTCTTTATATATATATATATTGATATTGATATTGTATACAAATATTAACTTGTTTGTTAGTGGATAGACTCCAGCTCCCTGTGACCCCCTCAATTTTTGAAGAAAAAATATAAAAACATCACTTAGGGTTGTCACGATACTAAAATTTTCAACTCGAGCGGTGGTATCGATACTTTTGAAAATGAGTATCGGATCCGGATACAACATTTTAGTATCGATACTTTTTAAGTATCGATACTTTTTTAAGTATCGATACTTTGACAACCCTACTTTTAGTCACTCCAGGCTTTACTCTTATGATAATAATGCAAATTTATTTTTCCTCTCTCTTGATTTAATGGTACCCAGTGGAGTACTAGCCCAAGCAAATGTTATTCTTCTTTTTAAAATTTTCATTCTGTCTGAATATTCTCAGGACAACAGCATTAAAAACATTCCTCCTGATAAGGCACTAGAGGTACCTTGTTGGCTTATTTCACGTGTCTTGGGTTCAGTTTTGGTTTGTGGTATTTTTCTGCATATTACCTTGTTTTCTGTCATAGCTACCTTGAAAATAAAAGATTGTAAGAGGGCAATTAAATTACTAGGAAAAAGTCTCAAATGTTTCTACTTTTATGTGTGTATGCAATGCCGTTTCTAAAACTCAACTCTTAATGGACATTGTCATGTTAAGGTAAATCAAGAGCAGTTATTGTTCTATTTTACTGCTCCCTCAGCTGTGAAACAATACTTGTTTGGCCTCCAGTTTAATCTGCGAGAACAGGGTTAACTATACAAAATCTCAAAATAATTAAAAATGTAGAAAATGACAGGAAGTTAGACAGGATAGGGTCTCAATAACACAAATACGTGTATTGCAACATAATATCTGTTCTTCGAAATTCACAAAATAATACTGGTTACCATTTTTAGTCAGTTTAGTTTAGTTATCTACTGTTAAAAACCAGTTATATAGGTCTATAGGTCAAAACGTTATGTCTAAAAAGATGGAAAAAAATGTAAAGCTTCCACAAAAACCAAAAAAAAGTTAAATGTAGCAAAGCGCTCGTTCCCACATTGTCAAGCTGTGGGCCTCCGTGGATGTTGTTGTATATCTCATGTGTTCAAGTCATAGGGCCAGCAAACAGTTTTCTCTCTTACTCTGCCCCCCACACACCCATCCACCCACACACAAACACACACAGACACACACATACACACACACTCCTCCATCCCCTTCATTGAGAGCAGAAGCTCTCAATTACCCAGGATGGACACCTGATCTCTGGGGGGGGGGGGCCCAATCGTCGTATCCCGTTCCCTTTACAGCTCCATCAGATCAGTGTTGAGGTGTAGATACACAAACAATCCATTCACACCCTGTGACAGAGTAGCACACATCTTCTGAACGTATTTTAGGCACCATTGCTCATAGTAAGCTGCCGAGGATCAGGTGACTCTGAGGTGAACGATTTCCGAAGTGGTGTCACGTGACGGAGGAACAGGAACTGCCGCGATCAATAAACCTGAAAAAGCCGTGAAGATAAGTCCCCAGATACATAGACCCTCATAAGAAGTGCCACACTTTTTGTTTTTTTAGATATACCCATCAAGATCGAAGAGATTTTTTTCAGAATTTTCTTTCTTCTCGATTCAAACCAGAAGTGTTTAACATTTCGGATAGAAACTGTTTCTCCTTTCAAGCAGATGAGGTGCATTTGCGCCTTTGAAAAACACAGAAGTGGCATTTCCTCCACAGAGATCTGTACGTACGGGGGATTCCTGTCACTTCTAAACCGCGTAGCACAGGCGCTGACATGTACTTTGGGCGTGAGGAAGTCGTGTCTGTGAGAAGAAAGTCGTAGCAGTAAGGAATGTCACGGAGCGTTTTCAACTGGTTTCAGCTGGTGTGATGTCTCTTCAGAAAAAGTGGCACGTGTTCTTACTTTTTACTACTCTCTGATCTACCAAAGTGCAGATCAGACACGGTGGGATCAATCGTACAACATGCGGCATGTCTGAACAGCAAGTCTGGTCCTCAGATAATAACAAGGCTTTCCCCGTGTCAACACCATGCATTCTTCAGACGCGCATGAGTATGAAATCCACATTTCATCACCGACTGGATGCTTCTTCCCTATCGGGACAATAATTATTAACAGAATTACATACAGCCGGCACATGTCATTAGGAGGGACTGTAAAGAGGAGAAGCAGTTGGTGGTGCTCACATAAAGGGCCCGTGGGCTTCTGCATCCTTTTAAGTGTTAGTAATAAAACGCAGTCACCACCTCCCGGGGAACTCTCGGCCAATGGGAATCCTCGGAGAAAACTTTTATGTGTCCTCCGAAAAGGCTTGAGCATCCCCCTGCACAGCTCCTCGGTCAGTCCGTCAACATGCGCAGGTAGGACCGACTTCAAGGAAGGGAATCTTTACGTCCGTGGCCGCTTTAGCTCCGATATCTGACTGCTGAGTGCCTCTTTGCCAAGACCTGCCTGTGTCCCATCACAGCCTGAAGAGGAACATGGCCTCCTACCGCTCTGGTCCTAAGAGGTAAATACCACTCATCCTATCAAACTGACCACGTACTTTACAACATGATAGTCTCCATCTCCAAACATGTGGCCTATAAATCCCTGCTACAATTCAACAAAGCGAGAAAGCACTTAAGCTCCCAGCTTTCACTGTTTTTATCCAATTTCCATAGTTTTTAAGTATTTTTTCTGGGAATTTCGCATTTTCTGCTAAAGTAAGTCAAACATAACTCGACTTGGGACAGTTACGGATTACAGGACTCGTGCCGGGAGCATTGGCCGGTTCTTAGAATTCTGGAAGCACCTCATTGGCGGCAGTCAGAGGAAAGCCCCATCAAACGTAGAGTAATGTCAGGAACTAAAGCATGTGACTCAATAGTATCAGAACGGAACAGGTTGATGATAGGATGATCAAACTTTCAATGGGATTTCATTTTTGTGTGTGTATGTGTTTCTTTGGCTTTGGATGTTAGTTACACTTAAAAAAAAAACCTACAGCTCTACAGTAGAATCATTATTGTTTCAAAAAGAGAATTAAACTCATTTATAACTCTAAAGATCTTTAAGAGGACTGTCAGCTTTCCAAAATAAATCAATTTTTAAGGAAATTCATGCCATTACTAACACTGATTTAACTGTCTTACATCTTGAGTGTACACCTGCTAAAGCAAGAAAATGAACAGTAATATCAGTTAACCACACAGAAATCTGAGGGCTGAACCAGAAATGCAGACTTGAAATTACATCTTTCAACACCACAGCCTTTGAAGGGTCAAGCAGCCCACATCAACATGGATTACTTCCCATCCTGCAGGCTGTGTTTACACCCAGTTTTTGATGATCACGACTCTGACGTTTTCCTTTATTCCTCCATTCAGTGTCCGCTATTCTTATTATTCTTAGTAGAGCTTGGGGCGGGCTGGAGCTTATCCCAGCTGACATTGGGCAATAGGACAGGTAGTTGGGAACCAGACAACTTACCTCACAATGCAAAAGCTATTTAGATAAATGGAACTGCACAGCTGTGTAAGCTTTTTGCTTACTTAGGTGTCACATTAGAAGATCAATGCTCCTCTCATATATCTAATCTGACAAGGTTTTTAAATGTTGACTACATGTACTTAAATGAGTGTATAAAAAATACATAAATAAATTGCAGTCTCTGTAGACTAACCAGACTAAGAAATTCAACAGAGACAACCTGCATGATCAAATAACTGCTAACATATCTGTGAAAAATAATTTTGTGGGAATTTATTACTATTGTCACCATTTGCCGAATGCCATTTTCATTTTTAAGCACAAAAACTCCAATAGATGCTCAAGGTTCTCTGTGGTTACATTTCCCAAAGCATTTTTCTCGAACTTTGGTGGTTTGGTGGGCTTTGCATTCTGCTGACCTGAGCTCAGGTGGTGGGACTTTTCATTGTAAATATGACCAGCAAACTATTTGAACCCAGAAGTTTTTAATTAAATAGTTTTATCCAAGTCAGAAATTAGAATATTATATTTTTACTACAATATCATTTTTTTAGAATTACTATAGGTACAATACAAATGTACCAATCATCTACCAAATTAGTCTTCTTCTTTACAAAAATAAGAAACAAAAAAGGTGGCATAATGGGTGGTTTCATTATGTAGCCAAACCCTACTTCCCTGTCTTGGGAAGACTGGTACCATTGATATGGTATCCAAGCAGAGATGGTTCAAAAAGACAATCAGCCAGATGAGCCCAAGTTTTCCAACAAATGGAAGTTACATTTTCATCCGTTTGTCTATTTTGATGAAAACCATTACCAAGATTTTCATCATCTGGTGATATTGAGAAGCAGGAGTCAAACCTTCTCACCATTTGTATTAAGGATGACATTTAGCATTTAGTTTAAAAATCCTCAAAGTCACGTGAGAATAATGGCACGGTAAAATCGTTAACGACTTAACCTGTTGGACGAGTTGAAACTGTGCCACTCAGTTTCTAGCCGGAAACCCAAAGACATTTTACAGTTTGCCACAAAGTGGCTGACCCCGTTAAACTGTCCCCTACTTACAGCAGGCCATAAATTGAATCATTCAATGCATTGATTTAGATACATCTAAGGGGACTAAATATCATGGTTAATGATAGAAGCTGATACATTTATTGCCGGGTGAACAGCTCTGGCTTTTCCACTATGCTTCTACTAGCAGGAGGTCAGACTTTTTCAAATGAAAGATTCCAGTAAAATTCAAGGTTCAGGACATCAACTAAAAACATGAAATGACAAACATTCCACATCAATCTCTAAATGTCACTCATTTGAATCTCATTATTTGCTTTTCCATAGATGTCCTCTATAGCAATCAAGTTATCTTCAAATCCTTCAAACATACATGATTATCATCATTATACATACATATTTCTTGCCCCTGAAGCTTTTCTAAAGAGTCCAAAGCCTTGAGGTCATTTTGAAATCCTAACTTTTGGAGCCACAGTTGGGTTATATTTAATCACTGACGTGTAGCCGCAAAAGTTAAGGCTGTTGACAGATTTTAAGATCAACTCCTCCTTTGAGGAGACTTTGCTCACCTAACCATTAGTCATTCCCATGACAGCTCATTCACCACTACACACACAAATACACACATAAAACAGAACATACCTGGTTCCTCCATAAGGAAACCCATTAAGGGGACTTTTCGCATACAGAAGAGCCACGCCCCTCAGTTACCTTCCCCATCTTATTAATTTAACAACCTCGTCCCAAAATATTTGCCTCTGTAAAAGAGGTCCTGACTATTAATGTCACTCTTGTCGGTGATGGATTTAAAATGGCTGTGGAGAGCTTCCAAACACAGAGGATGCTACAGGAAGAGGGCATGAGACTGAGGACAGAATGTACCACCCTTCAGCTGTACATGATGTGGTGTGGGAAATGAGGCAGACAAGTTTAGTGAGGTTTTTCAGAGATATTAAGCCAGTTCTAAAAATAAAGATGAAGTACATGATCGATGTTTACTTTAGCAAAAGATTTAGCAAATGTTCTTCCGAAGATTTACCATTATGTAAAAAGAATAGCAAATTTAGTATTATGACAGTCACCTACTTATAAATGGCAGCTTGCTTTTGAGACGACCTCTCAGAAATGGGCAGAAATCCCAGCAGACATTGGGCAAAAGGGAAGGTTAGAACCTGGACAGGTCCACCGAGACAAACAACCAAACACACTCACATTTACTCCTATATGGCAATTTGAAATGGAGTATCTGGAGGGAACCCGTGCAGACATGGGCAAAACATGGGAACTCCACACAAAAAGGCCCCGATCCCCTCATGGACACATTCAAGTAAAAGTGAAAAGTATGCTAAATTGTTTAAATTACTCTTACAAGTACAGTTTGTCCAAAAAGGTAAACATAAGGGACCTGTTAATAGTTAATAGTATAAATATATCACTACTTTTTGTTTATTGTTAGAATAGCTATATATATAAATATATATCTTCTTTTTTTCCGACCAATCAGGGGTTGTACACACAAGGTCTAAAAACGGGTGTCTTTAGCTAAAGCTAATTAGCATTTGGTCAGCTAATACTATACTATCTTTTGTATTTAGGCTACTGCCAAAAAATTCAAATATGTTTATGTTTAAACACATCCAAACACATTTTTAGAGTTAAAATGATTACAAAAGATTATTTATCTGATATACAATTGTTGATATAAAATTGATAAAGTACACTTGGTTGATTAGCAATGAAATCTTTCAAATTCATCTGTTACAATACCATAACTTGTAGTTATTTGTCAAAAGGTAGTCCAGCCTGCGTGTCACATGGCAATAGATTTACAGAAACCTGAACCTTTGCTAGAATGTAAAGACAATTTTGTGAAATTGTGCTTTTTTTGTCCTTTCTCTGTGTCTGGAAATAACATCAGGACACAGATTTCAGGTCACACATTTGTGTGGCATTTAGTAGAAAATGTCAGAGACTGACTGAATGACCATCGCTGAATACTGATTTTCTCTCTCGTTCCTGACCAGACAGCAACTGTTGGGAAACTCCCACCTATCCGTGGTTCTTCTGAGTCTCCTCCTGGCTCCGGCATTTGGACGTAAGTCAGCTAACAGCTCAATTCACCATCGCTGACGTCTCCAAAAAACACAGGAACTGCTTGTCAAGTTTGAGCCGCTATTCCAGTGAATTTGTTTGTCGTGCAAACATGACATGATGATAACACCCACTCGCACTGTTGCTGGGTCACTCTGTATCAGAGCTCGCAAGGCCGAGGCCAGAAATAGCAGACGCACCAGGCTGCTCTGTGTCAAAGGATTAAATCAGATTAAACCCCCCCTCTGATCATAAACAAACCCATTCTCTGCTCTTATATGAAGGCTGCCGTTAAAGGGCACCGAGCACCAGATCCCGTTGGTGGAACTTGTCTCATTAACACAACGTGCACGTGACTTTAACTGTGGTTCGTCTCCAGCTCATTTCACTAATGACTGGCTTTTCTTAGTGGGATGCCGCGGCAGGCAGTAACTTTTAACAACTTGAGGCCCACATGCGCAGTCGGATAAGTGTTTAGCGGAGGACTGTAAATTCCGTCTCACCACTTTATCTCATTTCTCGGCGGTTTCCGCGGGACGTGGGAACGGCTTCCAGATGTGTTGCCATCGCGCCGGTGACTGTAAACGAGCGCCTCTGGCTGTCACCAGCCTCCTTTAACGGCATTTTTTAAGAGGCCTCTCCTCCTCACAACAAGACAGTGCCCTCTTCTGACACATCCTAAAGCGAGATTTCTCACTTGAATGAAGTTTGGATAAAGTTTTATCGAGTCCCATCCAATATGTTTCAAAGCCGGCATTTTAAAGGCGGTGGGAAAAAAACCCAGATCTCTTTGTGGCAAGATAATTCAATCTTGATTAATCTCACAGGCAAACAAAAGACGCACATTATGACACAACTTTTAGTTTTCAATGACATATCAAACAGATTATCTGGCTCTGATTGCACGTTCGGATCTCAAAGAAATTCTGAGCGCTGTGCGCTATACATTGTAAGCTTTGTGCTGATTCATTCTTCTTATGGATGTATGAATGAATATGTACAAATAAGTGCTTAACAGCCCCACATTAAAAATGATCTGTGAGGCATTGTGACATTAATCCTATCTGACATGCTTTTCCCTTGTAGCCATATCCTGTTGAAGTGAATTAAAGTGACCAATAATGCATTGCATTTGTCAAAACCAGCAAAGAACAAGTGCAAAGTGATTACCGCCTTCTGTTTTGTGCTGCCAGAACTAGACCTCAACCGTCTGGATGGCGATACCGTCTGCCCCACGATGAGAAACGGACAGGACGACCTTCCAGGTAAAAGCCTCCCGAAGCAAAAATCTGCGTGCGAGAAAAAAGGAGCAGCAGCTGCTTTGACATTATCCACCAGAAAGTAGGGTATTTGAACAAATGGTGCTATTTTTAATTAGTGAAACAGGGGGTGGCTGCCTAAAACCCTGAGACACCTTTAGATTTCAAATGAGCAAATAAAATGTTCCACTCCAGGTTTTACAGAATTGTAGTTGCAGCAACTCAGCAAGATTGTAATTAATCACAACGGCATTGCTGACTCCTTCAACACATCTGTGTACACTCAGCGTTTCACTTTCAGTAACAGTTGGATTTTTCTCCACATGTTTTAAGGCGGTTTACATTGAGATTACATTCAAACAGCCTGCTTTAAAACACAACAGTATTTTGGCCAAAAGAGAAAATTATTGAAAACATAATCCAGTCAGAGAATGAAAATGCTTCAATGAGTGAAAAGTGAGGACTGTGAGGAATGCATCCAATCCTGCCACCCACAATGAAAGCTCCTTTTATCATCCGAACCTAAAGGTAGATATAACAAAATCATAACTCAACATTTGATGTGCTTTTCCGGGGGGTTCCGAAATATGACAATAAAGCCACGAAGGCTCAGATACCTTTTTATATGAGTTTATAATCTGTAAACAACTAAATCATATTTGAATCTAATCAATCATGCATTATCTTCTGCCAAGAAATAAAAAACTATAAAGAAAATCTTTGCATTTCAATGTCAAAAATGCTATTTTTGGCTCAGCAAAACACCATATAGATGAATAGACATTATGGAGAAGGATATGTTGGTGTAGAGTTTCAGTAATCCAGGTTTTAGGTAATCCTAAAAGTTTTAGTAAATTCAATCATTTTAGAAGGCTTTTCACCGCTTTTCCAAAAGGCTTCTTTGGTTCTAAACTATGCTTTTGGGGGGTATCAGCCTATAAGCACAAATAGACAGTCTATCCTTGAGAAGAAGGCGAACTGCCCTCAGACTGAGACTTGAGAGGATTAAATTCAATTCAATTTGATTTATTTAGTGCCACATCACAACAACAGTTATCTCACAGCGCTTTCCAAACAGAACAGGTCAGACCCTACTCTGAAGTTAATTACAGAAACCCAACAATTCCAAGATCCAAACACTCCCAATACAGGAGTCTCCAGCTTCCATATCATTGTCAGTAGACCTTCTACCAAAAAACTCACTCACATCACCCTGCGTCCAAACTGTAATGACTCTTTCTCCTTAAAAACCAATACGCCTTTAGGATTGAAGGTGAAACTTCCTCAAGACTCCAAGTTACCTTCATTGAAAGGTCTTCGCATAAAGTAGAAGTATCTTAATATGCAATGCTGATCGAAAACCCAAAGTCATTATTGCTCCTGTGTCCTTATGTCTTATGTTCACTAATGCTATCATTTGCATTGCAAATGATTGCTATTATTAGTCTTAGACTCAAATTAAATTATTAAAATCCTTATGTTTGCATTGCTGCTGCAACACAATACCAGCTGTGAGCAACATCCCATCCACTCATGTTATTCCACGCAGGTTTCGATCTGATCACCCAGTTCCAGCTGGACGTGATTCCCCTGAAAGGTGTGAGGAAGGTGGACGGCTCCACCCCCCTCCAGGTGGCGTATCGCCTCGACAGGGAGGCCAACTTTCAAATTCCAACCATGTAAGTACAGTAGGGGAAAACAGATGAAAAACAGACGCTAATGTCAAGCGGCAGCAGCGGTCTGCCCGTGCAGGTGTTCCATCATTACAGGCCCAGATGTTACTCCGGGGCCAGCAGCGTATAATCGGTGGAGGAGAAACGTGTCTGGACGATTGTGGCATGCCTTACACAAACGCACGTGTTTGAGGAAAGAGTAGAATTCTTCTTTGTTTGTGTGAGGTGTGAGCGCATGTTTGAGCTGATTGAACCCTTCTTAGCATGCGAAGAACCATATTTCGTCTTGTCTTCTTAGTGATGGATTACAGTATGGGCCCTTTAAAAGCATTACAGAGAATATGAAATAGCAATGGCTTCCTGGGAAGAATTCTGATTAAAGGTTTGCTACACGTATATGGCTTTTAAGTCATTATTGAGTTTGGGCTAGTTTATACCCCCTGTCTCTGAATACTTTTGATGTCTGGAATACAGTTGTTTGTTAAAGCTCTTTGAGTGGCTTTGAACTGTACATCAAGAAGTACGTAACTGTATGGGTCAATTAATGTAGACATTTCAAAAGCAGCTCAATCTGAATCGTGATAAGAAATGTCAAACGTCCTCTCAAAAAAAAATCTATCATTGTACTCCCATCATAATCCAATTAAATATACATACTATTTTAACTGGAAGAAGCCTTCAGTCATCATTCATAATTTGACTGTCTTGTATTTTAGAGGACAGGAAGTAGGAGACACCACCATAAAGTCATAAATACAATGAAGAGAAATCAGTACCTGTTTCTCTTTGTATAATTTTGAAAATAATTACAACATTAGGACTAATTTTATGCCACACATGCCAGTGCTTGTATATAATCATGTAGCTTTAATAAACAGAAAACACTTTTCAGAGAAACTGAACAAGCTCAGTCCAGTGAAATAAAGTGTAACTAAAGTTAAAGGAACTATACGATTGAATCAAATCTCACTTTGATCTAGTCCTTCAGCTGAACAGCTACCAGTGGCTTGCAATAATGGAGAGGAGGCCCAGTTTGGAACAGTTTGTTTGGATTGTCTGGTGGTTTAGAGGACAAAACCGAAACATGGACCAACACCTTAACCTTAACACATAATGTGACATAAAGACCCCCATTCTACTTTTAGGGACCACTACTAAACTAAGTCTGAGAGCAAAGTGCTCCTAATGGATAATACCAAAACATGCAGGACACCATGTGTTTTTGCTTGTTAGGTTTTTATGTGAAAAGTGAAGAACTTTAAACAACATGACAGATTCAGCAGTTAACCAGAAGATAAAAAGAGACAATGGGAAATTGTGAAACTGGATCTTTTCTGCCCTTGCAGCAGCATTTAACGATCAACTGGAGTCTCTTTGGAGAATGAACTTTAGAACTTTAGAGAAGGCCTGGTGGTAAAGATTTGACTCCAGCTTCAGAACTACTGGATCCTGCATTTCCGTTAACGATATCATTTGGATTTTACGTAATCCCGACACATGCTCTCAACTTCCTATGTTCCCATGTAAAGTACTATTTTACACAGGACACAAATTGGCTTAACTACTGGATTGTATGTTTTACTTTAATCTCTCATAATTTCTATTGTGCGATCCTGATTATTTTCCAACAGACGTAGCCAAGCTCTGCCTTAAAGCCCAAGAGAAGGCATTTATTTATCAAATTATCAAAAACTCATTCAGGACAGTTGCAGGAAGTAGGGTGATCTGACGACTCCCTTCATTAGTTGATGACTTCTATCCAGTCTGGTGAGTTGCTTTACTCCCCAAATTTTCCTTCCAAAAGGATGCAAACACATTTCCACCAACACGTGGAGAAATTTAGGCTCAAATGTTACCAACATTAAATCTGGGAGCCAGGAGAGACTTTTTTTAAACCAGTGTTTCTTAACATTGTCATTAAAAAAACAAGTCACATCTTTATGATGGACAAATAGACAAATAACAATCACTGGATTACTTTGCCATGAAAGACATTAATAAAAATGCTTTGGAACTGGTTCAGAGCACATGGGGCATTTTATTTTTATCCTCAATCCATGTCCCCCTGCTGTGCTAATCCTGTCCTGTGGGGTTGGAGAGAAGCTTTGCATGTCAGTGCTTCTGGAGATAGTTGGACGTCTTTTTTGTGTTGGCGCTTTGCACTTGATTCCACACATTTTAGAGGTGTGATGTTCGGGATGGTTGCCACCCGCTGGTTGAAGGACAGCGCGTGTAGGTTAAAGTTTTTTAAACAGTGTTACATAAGCAAGGATCTTTCCTGGTGCTTCCCAGTGTGCCTGCCGCAGTCTGCTTTGGCAAATGTTCCTCCTGCATGCCAGCTTTCTTTAAAGGCTGTTATGTAACCCCCTGGCACAGGAGCTCTTTGCCACTCGGGCCTGTTAGACTGAATGCAAAAAGTCCTGAGCTTTGAAGTCCGCCTTTGCTTCAGCTCCAGTCTCCCCCACTTATAGTCAGAGGGGGCGAAAGTGCCCCATGCTTTAAACTTTCTGACCCCAGGGAATGCTAGGATGAGAGTTCTTCATTTGTTTTACTGGGTAACAGGAAACTCCTACCTTTATTGCCTCGGCCTGATCGTTTACAAGACGGCAAACGTCAGGCCGGATTGCCCGTCTACGAGCGCACCACCCACTGAGAATCTGGCTCGTTAAAAAGCAGAGAAGCTCCAGACCGCGGGCGCTAACCAGGACGGCATGTTCCAACTGATTTACGCGCCCAAACAAAATGGCCCCAAAAGAGCGCCGCTGTGGTTGTCCTTTGAATTTCCAAGTTCATTTCATCCTAATCTTGCACCTCAATTGATGATTATGACTGCTCAAAGGTGCTCATTTTGGTGATCATAAATCAACTTTGACGCCAAAAAGAAGATGTTTTTTTGAGTTATGACCTGGCTGGGTATGACATGGCTCAATTACAGGGCTGCTGTGTGAGTTTTGGGACTTTCAAGTGATCTGAGCTCCCGTTCCCCCACCTTTCCCCTCAGGCTTAACTTCCCTCGAGGTTTCCCGGACGAGTACTCCTTCATGACCACTTTCCGCATGATCAAGAACACCGTCAACAAGGTGTGGAACGTCTGGCAGATCGTGGACGAGGACGGCAACAAGCAAGCCGGACTGCGGCTGAACGGGGACCAGCAGGCCCTGGAGTACTTCCTGATGGGCGCCGACGGGACCCTGCAGACCGTCACCTTCCCCGGCCTGTCCGTGCTGTTCAACACCAAGTGGCACAAGGTGATGATCGGCGTGGAGCGGGAGCAGGTCACGCTGTACGTGGACTGCCAGCCCGTGGACCAGAAACCCATCAAGGACAAAGGACCCATCAACACGGAGGGAGACACCCTCATCGGCAGGCTGGACTCCGATCCCGAGGCCTCCGTGGTGGTAAGCAAGGACGCTTTAATGCCTTCTGGGTTCAATCAGGCTTACCGCTTTGTAGCATCGTCAGGGAAACGCTGCACTTGTTTATGAACGCGTTTACGTGCGTGCCGAGCTCGGCTATAATTCCAAACGAGCTGCTGTCACAGCAGAGCTTCTCAGCTGGGTTCTGTGTGGTTAAAAAAAAAGAAGGAAAGAACTAAAAGGAGGAAAAAACTACTGAAAATCACACAGTTGCAAAAATGGAGCTCAGCAACCTGCACTCCAAACTACAAAGAAATAACTAAAGGGTGCTTTAATTTTTTTTAATTCTGCTGCAATGTACTGTAGCTCCATGTGTTTGTTCTGATGGTGACGTCTGTTTTTCAGTTTGAGCTCCAGTGGATGCTGATTCATTGCGACCCGAAGAGAGCCCAGAGAGAAAGCTGCAATGAGCTTCCGGCCACTGAGGTACAGTAAGCAGCAAGCCGGGCTAAAGGGGAAGAACGAGAAACACATTGCTGAGCAACCCTCGGTTTTACAATATCAAGGGGTCAGAGGTCAAGCCAGTTTATGGTCTAAAGTGGAAACCGAAACCCTGACTGTCTAGTAGGTTAACCTTGTTAACTTAGAAAAAGAATTATTCTTCTATAAACATGAAAGGTTAAACAACATGATTGAACGGAGGTTTTTGGATCTTTTAACCTTTAAATGTTCTCATTAAGAGAAAAAATGTAGGTCAACTATTTGTTTTATTACTACCGACTTGAATCTGTGTTATTTTCTCAAAAAGTAAAACTATAACTATATAATTGGGCCAGAATAAAGAGTAAAATAAGGAAAAATGTCTTTAAGCCTTTGGTTTACATAAAAAACAATTAGATAAAATGAATTTAAAAATATTCAAAACAGAAATGGAATTGTCCCTGCATGTCTGAAAAGAAGGTTAAAATACACAAAGCACGTTAATCTGTGGCAAAAAATTTTTTTTAAATATTTATAAATATTTATAAAAACCACCCTGGTTTTAAGAAGATGAAAAGAGTCTAGGGCAGCTTCTAATCAAATACTCCTCATTATGTGATCATCTTTCATTATGACTACCCTATGAAACCAGAAGTTTAATAGGTTGGCTGCTCTACAGCATTCAGGTGTGTGTTAACACTAAGACATCAGCAGTGACTTTAGAGAGAAGCTGCTGGTGCTTGTCAATCTGAAAAGTTGATAAGGTTTTTATAAGGTAATTTTCAAAAAGCCTAGAGAAAAGTGGAAAAACATTTTAGAGAGCTCCCAGTCTTTCCAAAAGGTTCACCCCAAGATAGACTGCGCAATGAATCATAGAAAAAATGCGGGAAAAAAACAAACAGATGTACATCTCAGAAACTATGGGCCATGTTAAAAGTTCCATCTTCATGATACACAGATTACAAAATCACTGAGCAAGTAAGATTAGTTAGTTGCCTCTTCCCTTTAAAGCAGGGATCTCAATCTTGGGTCGCAGAGGGCCGCTGTATGGCGGGTTTTAGGGGTCCTGCTGCACACTGTCAGACTAGTGAAGGGCTGAACAATCTTTTGAAAAGGTTTATTCAATTTAAACCTGGTGTGTTGACAAAGGAAACATCTAAAAACCTGCAGGGCAGTGGCCCTCGAGGATCACAGCTCGAGATCCCTGCTCTAAAAAGAACATAGTAACAGGGTTAAGGTTTGTACAGTCAAATCTTAAAAAAACTACAATACCTGTGGAAGAATATATGGAGATATATGAGACATTGTGGAGAGCCAAATGTGTTTCTACACAGGTTAGACTTAGTTTCCATCCATTTGTTGGGCATTTTGTCATCTATTTTTTCCAATGGTGATTTCCCATATGGTATTTATCTAAGCTGATATGTGTTAAAGTTAATCTTGTTTGGAGACACGCACTCAGTTTCTTATAAATGTGAAGATCTGAAGCAGCCATTCATGATCTAAAACACATAGATCACATTTTAAAATGTTAACACTTCTGCCCAGAACAAGCCGGGATTGCTAAAATGAAACGCACTGGCACACACGCACACATTTATAATCAAACATTCTCTTTCATTCCTCCATGCGGCTGCAGTACAATTAATGAGCCGTCAGCCTCTGAGACACGCTTTGTAGCCTGCAATGAAAATGTCACTCTGCTGTCCCACGTCTGCCTCTGCAGCCCGAAGAACAATGGGTTACCCGTCAGAACGTTTTTGATTGTGCCACATGTATCCAGATGTTTAGTGTGATTATTTACAGAAATGAGCACTCTTTTACTGGGCTCTGTGTCTAAATGACAGCATGATGATTCCTCATTTCTGGGACTGTGAACGATGTGCGCTTTTGCTGACACTTTTTTGGTGAGGGGGGTGTGAGTTACTTTCACTAACTTTATCCTTTATCTGATTTCTCTTGCTTCTGCAGATGTATGCCAATGCTGAGGTATTTATTTTCACTACTATACCTTATTTTTGCTTTGGGATTTAAGGCCAGTACTCTGGGGCTGCAGTTGCCTAACTGCCTTATTGCTTGTTCCTATAACTGTTTCATGGTGATGGTTTTGATTGTTGACTTTTGTTATGTAAAAGGCTCACGATTCCTTGTGCACGCTATCCTCACCAGTGCTCGTAGAGACAACAGATAAGCTTTGATTTCAATAGGACCATTAATACCACGGCTAGTTTAAAAAGATAGAGGACACCATTTCCCGGTGAAACAAAGATGAACATAGTTAAACAGATAAAAAATAAAAATGAAAATAGTTGGGTTTATGTGTAAAATGTCTGTGAAAAATGCATGAAATGTTATTAAGGTCACATAAACCAACATTTATTTCACAATAGAACAGAAAAAAACCTAGCCTCGAGTCAAAAATGAGGCATTTTATAGTTTTGTAAAAGATGCCTTGAATTATTGGGTGCAATACTTAGAATAATAGTCAGAACAGCATCTTTGCATCCACACTATATCTATGATTTCCTAAAAGAATATCAAAAAATTAAATATATTAAAAATCAAAATATAAAAATCAAAAGGGCCGGTTGACTAGAAGACAATGAAGGCCAGGTAACACGGCAAGCATTTACAGAGGTAAAGATTTCAATTCAATTTAGCGCCAAACCACAACGACAGTTTTCTCACAGCGCTTTCCAAAAAGAGCAGGTCAGACCTACTCTTAAGTTATTTACTGGTCTGAAAAACATGAAGGTGGCAAAGACACAGAAAGAAAACACTGGAAACTGAACCGTGCACAGCCATCAAACACAGGAAACCTAACCAAAAAAACAAAAAAAAAACATCCAGGGACCCTGACATGTAACTTCTTCTTAGCTTTACCTTCAAGAGACTCTAGTTCTTTAGGGTACTCTTTAGAATAAAAAAAAGATTAGGTTAAATACCACTGTATTGTTATTACACATGTATAGGTGCAGAGCAACGTCACGGAGAAGGTCAATGAGCAGTGAGGGCGTTAAGAAATATGGTGCAAGTTTACAAGTTGTTTATATTGCATATGCATATATTTATAGATAAGAATCTATGTACAGGTGAGCAAAGTATACATAGGGATTGTTTTATGTGTTAAAAACTTGTCACGCAGATGGACAAGACTGTTCATAGGGAATCTAGTATATTAACAATAAAGGAAATAGTCAGGTTATAAGTTAGGTGATATAAAAATAGATGGGGTTAGAATTAAATAGTGTGTAAAAAATAAGCAGAAGCCACCTAATTTGACTAAACCAATACAACGTTCCATAGACTGTACTGTGCAAACTGCTTGTTTAGAATGCGTCTGCGCAAAAAAGTCCAGTCTGGCATTGGTGATGGTTTTCTATACCCTGCCATGTTAGCAGTCTGTTTTCATTCATCTAATAATATTCCACCAGCTATATCTTTCAGCAGCTTTTACTTATCCAGTATTTTTTCCCCAGTTTATGGACAAATGTTTGGCAAAAATGAAATAAATACATTAAAAAAAGACAAAACATGGCATTAAATGGTCAAAAGTTTAGGTTTACTTTATGAGGATTTCAATTCACTCAATACTCTTTTTATTGATGTTATGTTCATTGTCCCAACAAGTTTCAGAATGGTAATTTAACTGACCGACTGAAACCTTATCCAAGAGAATTATCTGTGACAATCTACACACTGTATCAAGACATAACTATCTACAAAAATATGATGACATTCTCTGCAGTAATTCTGCAATTGTAGAATTTATTCTGGGTGTCTAATATGGAGCCGGTGTATGAGGAGAGTGCTGCCACAGGAGACCTACCTTGTGTCTCAGAGACAATAATAATGGGGGATAAATGGGCATTGTGTGATTGTTGACTCTTAAATGTGCCCGTGTCTGAGCCCCTTTAACGTCTATGTCCGATCTATTGACTGATTGTTTGCTCTCTCAGCCTGACAGATCAGTTCAGGGTCCCCCGGGTGCCCCCGGCCCTGAGGGCCCCCGTGGGGCTCCAGGAGAAAATGGAAGGGATGGAAGAGATGTAAGCTTGCACTTCACACTTTTTTCTTATTTTTAATAACACATGCATTTATTTACAGTGTATACATGGTTGCCCATAATGTTGTAATACTTTATACCTGTTGTCATTACAGTCAAACCCCATCTATATATATATATATAGTTATTTTTTGTTTTGTTTTTCAAAGAAAAAGATTCCCTTTTTAAATAGTGAAACTCCATCTATATATATATATATATATATATAGATGGAGTTTGACTGTTCTCCATGTAAATGTATTGATTCTTTCCGGGTGCTTCAGCTTCCTCCCACCTTCAGAAACATGCATGTTAGGTTTATCTTATATTTTCAATTTACCCCGGAGTCCATGTGTGTGTATGTGGTTGTTTGTTTCTGCGTGGTTCTGGCAGCCTGTCCAGGATGTAGCCCCCCCCCCCTCCCCCAGTGTCAGCTGCCATAAGCTCCAGCTCCTCTTTGGCCCCCAATTAGGACTAAGGACAGTGGATGGATGTTGGATGTATATTGGCTGTTTTTGTTGTTTATTTTTTGCTGTTTTTGTCTCTGTAGGGTCTTCCAGGATCTCCTGGCAGTCCGGGCACGTCTGTGAGTGTTCTGTGCATACTGTTTTCCAGAAAATACTCTATGCCATAAGGGTGTTGAAGCAACCTTTAGATTGTTTTTGTTGTCTGATACCTCAAGGTAACGACTCACCACACACAACAGCTCTAAAACAAATTTATTGGAGAAAAGGCACCTTTAAATCATGTCGTTTTCAGTGAGAATTCATCTTTGCAGTCTATCTATTCTTTCATTGCCAGTCTCCCATTTTTTTTATCCTAATTAGGTTTTGATGTCAGTGTGATACTTCATCTTTATGTCTTTTTCAGTCTACACAATTTCTCTTCATAATCCCCAATTACATTAGGATTTTTGTTCTTTTTTGTTAGTTTTTTTTCAAAGAAAAATACTTCCTTTATAAACAGATGGGAGGGTCTTCCACGGCATGAAAGGATTTGAACCCTTCACCAATCCATCAAACGATTGCCTCTTCGGTTATAATCCTGCGCTCTTTTGACTGCGCTTTTAATGCTACGGTTTTCCATGGAGGGGGCTACATTACACTCGCCTGTCAACATCTGCAGACATGCTTTGGAACGAAATCGAACTTTTAAAACCAGGACAAACAATAGTTTATTTAATCACTCCTCATCTACACACTTCACTACTTGGCCAGTGTAGCATAACCTTATGGTAATCCCCAAATAACTAACTACCCTAGTCAAGTTAGGTCATAGGTTCATTAACTAACCTATGACGTTATTTAAGATCGTCAATAAGTTCCAGCCATTAGGGCAGTAGGGGTCCGGTTGTTGCTATGCCTTCATTTCCAAAAGCTGCTCCCTTTGGAATCTGCAAATGGAGCAAATCTGTGGTTTGGTGTGCAAAACTTCCCCTACCTTTCACTGATAAAACGCCTCTGCCCGCGGGTATCTTAGGGACAGTGCAGAGCGACGCAGGAAGAAGATAACGCTGTCTGTTTTCCTGTTGTGTCTGTTCCTCAGGGCAGCAAAGGGGAGAAGGGAGAGGTCGGCCTTCCTGGTCAGAGAGGCATTCCCGGACTTCCAGGAGCTATTGTAGGAAACATCATCCTCATAAATACTCTTTATGACGTTTGATTTGGCTGTCTCTGTGTGTATATGTGCATGTGGTTTCCATGAGTGCGAGCGCACGAACGCTGTGGTGAGACAAAACGCCATATTGATTGGACTGTTTGATTTTCTGCAGGGTTCTCCAGGTTCAATGGGTCCCAGAGGACCTGTAGGAGAGAGAGTGAGTCTACAATCAATTCACACTAGAATTATCCGGATTTTTTTTTGTCCTGTGGTACTTATTTCCTCTCCTTCTGCTTATAGGGACTTCCTGGCTTCCCTGGGCCTGCAGGGCCCCCTGTAAGTGCAAACTGTCCTATCAAATAAACGCATATGTGCATGAATAATACTTTTTCTTTGATTTACTTATTTCTATTTTGATTTCTTGGATATCTTCTTTCATAGGGTCCAGCCACTGAAGGACCTCCTGTAAGTGATTGTAATACCTTTCCCAAAACCATCAAATATGCCAATAACCCTTGAAATATGCTCTCCCGTGAAAGCGTGCTATTAGCTTGTATCATTTTTGTGTAACAGGGTCCTCCAGGAAAAGCAGGAATTCCAGGAGACGAAGGAAACATCGGACCTGAGGTCAGGTTATTTTCGCCTGAATTAGGCAGAAAACGCACCAATGATAAAGCAGAGTCTGTTTGAACATTATCAAGAGCACTTGCACATCCCCAGAAAGTGAGAAAGTCATTGAGAGTTGGTCAATTTCACAGGCAACATAGTAAACAACAGTGATTTATATAATTTTGGCATTTCTACTTCTGATGTGTTTTCTTTAGCAGAAATCAGAATTTTTCCTCATTCTAATCAAGCTGCCCTCTGTTTTAACCTATTTGTATTTTTTTCCCATATAGTTGGGTTAAAATAATCTGTGGGCAATGGGACACAACTGTTTTATTGAACTGTGACTGCCCCATAATCTTTTGACTAAAGGTTCACTGTTTGAACATAAAACACAGGGTTTTCCTAAACTTAAACATTTTTGGTACCTAAACCAAAGCAGGACTTAAAGAAATTACTTTTTATGGGTCGAATGAACTTCCCCCATTCAAGTTTTACAAGAAAGTCTGCCATCTTCCCAGAATGTCTGAGTTTTTGGGTTATAAATCTATGGTTAAGATTCACGAAATCGGCATGGCAAGAAAGTTTTGTGTAGAACATTTGTACCCATCCATTTAATAACAAGTAAACATAAATATGTATTTTTCATTCCTAACCCAAACTGAGATCGGTCAGAATGTGTCCGCTGTGAGCCCCAGAGCACAGAAATGTTGTATTCCACAGAAACTTCAGCTCATGTGAGAAAGCTGATGCTGAAATTTTCATTAACCAAGTTGTCTTCGTCTAGAAAGGGAAATAAAATCCAAACACAACTTTTTCTTTCTGTGTAAATGCCACAGTTTGTGCTGTGGACCAATGAGAGATTGGATTGCTTTGGTCTATGTGGGGGGGATAATTCATGGGGCACTTGTAATCAATTTATGTAGAAATGAAATATTCAGAGATGTATAAAGTACTGGAGTAGAGGAGTGGAGTACAAGTACAAGTACTATATAAAAAAACTGACTTGAGTAAAAGTAAAAGTGTTCCTTCAACACCATACTAAAGTGGAAGTACTCAGTGTTTTGTACTTAAGTATTGCAGTATTGAAGTATTTCAAAAATTGCTAATCAAGTATCGAAAGTACAAGTAAAAGTACAAGTACTGTGTATATTAAAAAAATGCAGTCAAAAGTTTGATAGATATTGTTTATGTTATTTCAAACGTGTGAAAGGCCATACAGGTGTTTACAAAAAACTGAAAACTACATCTGCATTAGCATCAACAGCACTTCATCTACTATTATTTATTATTCCAGAGTCAGAATCCTGACCTGAGCCTTTATGCTAGCATGTAACGGGGCGAATACAGCTATGTTTGCTTTAGCTAATGTTAGCTGCTACGTCCTGAGTGAACAGGGAGAACTGAACTAGTACTTATTTACTAGTTATCTACAGTTCTGGCTCTGACACTTTGACTTGTGGATGATCATTACGTTTACCTATTAGTAACGAGTAACGATTCAGCCCGTGAAAGTAAAAGTAAAAGTATTAAATTAATCAAAAATATGTAGTGGATTAAAAGTAAAAGTAGGGAAAGAAAATATATACTCCAATCGCGTACAGATACTGTATTTTGGTACTTAAGTAGTTCTACTTTGTTACTGTACATCTCTGGAAATAATCTGTACTGAGGAATTCCGTTTAACAGTTGACCATTTGTACTTGACTATTTCCCTTCTTCACCAAAAAGTGGAAGCTTCTACGCCATTCCAGTCTAACTGGTCTATGTGTTGTTTATCGTTTTTTTTAAACTTTTTTGGGGGGGATTATGTCTTCCTTAAAGACTATTACATACTTAAAAAGAAATTTGTTCCTGTTCCCAAACCTGCAAGAAAGAAATTAAGTATTTTTTTTGCTTCTTTGTGATATTGTTCTTGCTGTTCTCTTGTAAACTCAAAAATGAGAAGACATTTTTTGTATCTCATGGACTATTTAAAAATCTTTACTGCCCCATGTATATTATTTCGGCCCTTCAGAGGGCACGGACATTAGTTCGCCCCATTGGATAACAATGTCCGCCTGTATTTCAAGTATTGAGACCTCATTCTACATGCAATTCCGTGCAAACAAAGGGGTTTTCACCCATATCCACTGAAATGTGCACCGTGAAAAAATTAGGTACTCACATTAAGCTAAATGCTAACTTACAACGTGTCAATAAGCATCATCATTTCGAAGCATGTTGTCAACTAGATTTAAAACTGTTTTCTTTCACTGACTAATGAAATATGGACATGTTCGTGATGTTGATTTCTGACTGATGTTAAATCTAAAATTACAGGGCCCGCCTGGACCCAGAGGAGGGGCCGGTACTCCTGGGCCTCCTGGTCCTCCTGGTCCACCAGGGCCTGTGGTAAAGATCCATATCAAACCCATGCTTTTAATTTTTTTCCCTACCAGTTTATCTTTTAATACACATTCGGTCATTTCACTGCATGGTGTTTTAATTCTTAATTTATTGGTAAGCTTGAATGCAGACCACTCAATATTGGCTGGTACTAGAACTGCATCAACAATTTTAGGCTCTGTAGATTTTTACCAGTGAAACATTCCTCAAAAGGAAGGCATGTTTGTCACTATGCGGCCGATTGTTTTAGTTTAAATAAGAATTAACTTAGTTCAAAACCTGGCAAGGTGGGTGTGCAGCTCAAGAAATACAGCTGTACATAACTAAATGTGTTGATAAGCCAATATTAGCTTCTGCATAACTTCCTATTAAAGCTTCATGGTAGATGGAACTAAATTAATTTTTATGTCAGGCTGTCTGCTCTGGTCTTTCCTGTGTTCTTTTCCATTTCAAATTGCAACGGTATGATGATGCTGCGTGCAGAATTGTCATATCTTTGAAGTATGGGAACTTAGGCTGTGGTGAACTTACATGGACATCTAAACCCTCCTGCGTCTGTTTTAGATGTCACTTTGCTGTCTTCTAGGGACCGCCTGGTGCCAGCAATGAGGGGAGTGGGGAAGCTGTGAGTGTTTTACTGACTTACACCTGGCTAAATGTTTCGGGAATGCATGGCCGTTAGAGCGGTGACAGTAACTCTGCTTCAAATGAGTCCCCGTATATCAAGAGGCTTTGCGGCGGTCTCTGCTTTTGAACTGTTTTTCTGTCCGTAGTGTCCTGCTGCCTGCCCGGCCGGACCCCAGGGGTTACACGGTCTGCCGGGGATGAAGGTGAGGGAAGCTCGGGAAGTGGGAGGCATTTAAAACAAAAAAATCAGTTTGTGTTTTAGAAGGTTTAGATACCTCATTTTTTTTATTTTTTTTATTTCCACATGTTCCTCAGTCGGTTAGTTTCAAGCGTTTTAAAGGTTGACTATAATCAAAAATTGAAACCCAGTTTTTAAAGAGGTTTTAAAGCCGTTAAAAAAAAACTTCTCCCGGACAAATATTCTTCTCACAACTTAGTGTTTCATAAGAAGTATTAACTTAACTTGAATTTGTTGGCTCCATTATACCTCACAGATATTGGGACAGATCTCGGGAGACCAGTTTATGCACCATTGATGTCTCAATATGATTTTTGAATGTCATGTTTAAACATGTTTATTCATATGGCTATTCTAAAAAAACAGTCCCTAAGAGAATTAAACAATCAGATAATGTTAAAGTTATTTTTCTATATTTCTACCCTGTAAAAACAATTAGATGACTGATGAGAGTGATACTTGCAGCAAATTAAGTGACTGAAGGGCGGCACGGTGGTGTGGGGGTTAGCACCAGCTCCTCACAGCAAGAAGGTTCTGGGTTGGAGTCCCAGGAGAACCAGGACCCTTCTGTGTGGAGTTTGCATGTTCTCCCTGTGTCTGTGTGGGTTCTCTCTAAAAAACACAATCCAAAAACCTGCATGTTAGGTTGATTGGACATTCCAAATTGCCCCTAGGAGTGAGTGTTGTGGTTGTGTGTCTATATGTGTGGCCCTGCAATGGACTGGGCCACACTGTATAGCATTTAATACTGGGATAGGCTCCAGTCCCCACTGCGACCCCAATTGGGAATAAGCGGTTTGGAAAAAGACTGAAATTCCAACTCTCCATTTAGCACCACCTGCAGGTATATATTAGCCTCTACCTGAAGGACATTTTGAAACAAGAAGGTTGGATCCTGCATGTTTGGTTCCCCCACCTTTAGCTTCCAAAGTTCTGACATTCAGTATGTGTGCAAAATAAATCTATTCCAAATGAAGATGGTGAGCACAGTTGATAAACTACCAACATAAAGTCACAGTGTTGTTGGCATGCTGTCTAAAATTAAATTGCGGTCAATTTTAATAATATAGAAATGCGGATAAAAGTGACCGTTGTTTTCAGGGACACAAAGGACTGGCAGGGGAGCCGGGAAAAGATGGAGAGCCAGGAGAGAAGGTATGCAAAGAAAGACAACAAACATGTCCAAAGAGCAGCCACAGGTGATGGGAATGCTGATAAAAAAAATAATATTCACTTCTCCTGATTTTCGTACTTCTGGGTTTGCTCATTTTATGTAGGGAGATGCTGGAGATCCAGGTTCCCAGGGGCCACCAGGTCGTATGGGCGATGATGTAGGGGAGCTTCCACTTTGACCAACTTAACGAAAAATACCGTTCCAAAAGACCCAAATACATTGGAAAAAACAATTTCAAATATTTTGTTTTAGGGACAAAGAGGACCCATCGGATTTCCTGGAACCCCCGGAGAAAAGGGAGACAGAGTGAGTTTCCCTGTAATAACTCAAATTATTTTAAAAGTTTGCAGATTCAATCTGACTCCTCGTTTTTTTAGGGTCCTCCTGGTTATAATGGCATCACTGGACCCACCGGCCCACCTGGAGCTCCTGTAAGTTTTGACCTCGTTTGGGATTCAGTCCATAGGCAAAATGGCCGGATGTAATTGAAACTATGCGTTATACAGGGTGTGGAAGGAATCCGTGGACGTCAGGGTTTGCCAGGGCCTAAGGGAGACGATGTAAGTCCAGAACACATTAGCAAGATAATTATAGCTAGTTTTAAAATTGTGATATAAAAAAAAAAACTAATCATAACATTATTAGGGTGCTGTGGGACCTAAAGGAGATCAAGGTATTCAAGGGGAGCAAGGAGAAGTTGTAAGTATCCTAATATTTGAGCAAATGTTTCCACGGCCCATTCTGTCTTTATCAAACCGTAATCTAACAGTTTAATGTGGCATTTCAGGGAGAGCCTGGCAAAGATGGCCTGGATGGGCTTCCTGGAGCTGACGGAGCTAAGGTGATCGCTCAGATCCACACTGAATGTTTGCACTGATACCAACGTCTCTTTTAAATCACATTATGTTCAGATCGCTTCAGTGCAGTTACGATATTACAACCTTGTCAAGACTTTCTTTTTAGAAGCCTTGAGAAGCCTTTTTGAAATCCAATTAATATTCTTTCAACCGCACAAACAAGCAAAAACTGTCTCTATTGTATTTCTTTTTTTTTAAGTTGCTTGGCCTTAGCTTGAAAAGAGTTGATGTAAGGCAACACTTGCTAGATAAAAAAAAGGATTGGCAGATCGTAATTTAAACTACAAAGCTTTGATTTTCCTTTGCCATTCAAATGCTTCATCTCTCTTATTGTAAGATATACACATTTATAAAAAGGGAGTAGTTTTAGTTAGATATGTAATGCACAAAAATGTAGAAAAATGCAGACATACTTGCTTTTTCCTCACAGAACATATGGTAAACTGTCCTAAGAGCCTATTTTGTCACTTAGGAGGGACTGAGCTCCTCCTAATGCTTTTTTTTTCATGTTGAATGATTGCGCAGTGGAAACTTTCCTAATGAAGCATTTTGCTGTATGCAGATGACACCCAGCAATTTATCCATTACAATAAGACCTTAGAGTATTTTAATTAATTTATCAATCAAGATATTTTTCTGTGGTCTTCTGGCACAGTCCTTTCCCCTCCGAAATTTGCATATTCCTGATAAAGGTGAGCATTGAGATAAGCATCCAATCAATGTGCACTTATACGCATAAAAAATACCATCACAGAATCAGAGGGTTCCTTTCTTCTTTGTCTCTGACTTTGTGATATTTGCTTTGAACCGTACACCATTGAAAAGTCACAGCGCTACTGATTTTATATTCCAACCAACTTTTTTCATCAAAGTCCTCAGTGCTGCCTCCACATAGCCTCATATGTCTTGGTTTATCCTTGACCGATTCCCTTTAGGATTATTGTCTGAAACAGCACAAGTAGGCCTCAAAACAAAAAGAGCTACCAAATCACACGAGAACAAGGTCCTCCCTCCCTGCATCTGAGGATAATTTAAAAGGCTTATGTAATCTAAAATGATTCCTACATTATCTCACCATCTCTAATCAGCCTGACTTATCTTCCAATTCTTTATCAGTTATACTAAGTAACAAAAATCAGAAGGTTTGTCTCATTAAACTGTCTTTAGTTTCCATGTCACCTAAAATTAAATCTAATTAAAGGATATAGAAAATAAAACCTCTAGAGCCAGTTAATTGGGCTTTGATAGAGCTTGCTAACATTTGTTTAGTTAGCTAACATTACTTGCAGCAGTAAAGTTATTGTGTCAAGAATAGCTGTGATTCCATGTCTATCTTGACAGATGATGCTATGTTGTGTGGCTTTAAAGGAGTCATATTATACCCTATTTCAACAAGTTAACCTAGTTCCCTGGTGTCCTAATGTAATCCCATAAGGATGAAGCCCAATAGCAGTTCAGTCCCCCTGCCAAAACAGCCCCGTTCAGAGCGCTCGCTTTGGAGTGCCTGTCTCTTTAAATGCAAATGAGACACAGCCAATCCACCCACTTCTTCCGGGAGGTGTGCTAATGCTAGCATGACAACAGTGTAAATCTCTATAAAACATCACAGCAGGGAAAGAATATGGAGAAATCTGCACCAGCTGGCTCAAAGTTTCATGTTCATCTCGCACACATTTCCAAACAATAACTACGTTAGCTTCACCGCGCTCCAACAGCTAACCGCTGTTAGCATTAGCTAACTTTACCCCAACAATGAAAAACAAAGCACAAATTCTTAAAAATACTCACAGTTTCTGTGTCTGTCGTCTTGCCACGGATAGTTGGTACTGCTCCCTCTATCAGTAACAGTCTTTTGGCCAGTCCTGTATTGTACTGACCGAGGTTCCTAAAACAGTCCCCGGTGAAGTGGTTTGTACACACCGACATCTTTTTGCCGGAAATAAAATTAATCCACTGGGCTCGTAACTCTTCCGAGACGGGGATATTGTGCAGAGCTTTGTGCTGTTCTGTGCAGCCCAGCACAGAACAGTTGTGTTGCTTTTCCTGAGGCATGTCAGATAGCTCTCTTGCTGGTAGGGAAAATGGCGGAGCACAGGTAGGCGGAGTCAGTTGAGGTGGGTGGCAACAGGTGAAAGGCTGGAATATTATAATGAGCTAGAGCTAATGACGTCAGAAACTACCCACTCCTGAAACCTCCTGATTTATCTCCTGGATTCAGACTGAGGCGGCCCGCAAAAACATGACTGAGTCTTTTTTTTTTACACTTTGCCTGCTGATAGGCCCTCCACAGGCCCAAATGTACATAATCACATGATTAAAAACTTGGTTTTCCATTATATGTCCCCTTTAACTTTGATGAATGAGCAGAAATAAGCAAAAGCAACGAGCCAAGCCATAGCTAAAATTGTCTTAGTAACACGGCACTAGTGCTATCAAAAATTAGATTTCCCTCCTTCTGTATTAGCAGAAAGTGGCATGAGGCAAATCAGTGTTTTTATATTCATAGGATAATTGGTTCTTACAACAACAAAATCTGACACACAGGTCAGTACATTCATGTCTGCTTGACTATGTATTGCAATGTTAGCTAAGATTTGGGAGCTTCGTGTTTGTGCTACAGTTGGTCCTACTCGGCTAAAGTTACACGAGTGATGTACTTATCCAGTAAGCTTCTGTGTCACCATTTTGATTTATTATGCTTATTTACATAAACCGTGGATCTACTCCTCAGGGAGAGTCTGGAACACCAGGAGCAGTTGGCATTAGGGGGATTGTGGGTATTCCGGTAAGTTTAACTTAATTTGTCTTCACTGTAACAGTCTGTAATTCTATTACATCTTATTTGTGTGGCTAGAGAAGGTTTCTGTCTCAAAGAAAGCAAACTAAAGAGAACAATCTCCTCTCTAAACCTGAGTGAGGATGCAAAAAATAATCAGCTGGAAAGAAAATGTACTAACGTTTTATGACAAAATCTTGAAGTAATATCTATTAATCTGTTTTGACATTTAAAGTGAGTTGTTACTTTCCTCTCGAACAAAGGAATGACTCATCAACTTTTCCTAATTTTTTCTGATGTAATTTTCAGGGGCTGCCAGGGAAGCAGGGAGTAGTTGGACCTCCCGGTGAAAAGGTAATTGGATTAATCTCTTAATTTAATGAAGAATGAAGAAACCAAAAATCTGACCGGTACAATTCCTGCTTTGAGGTTTGAGCTGATAGAAGGTTTGTGTCAATCATGCTGTGGATTTAGGGTGAAGCAGGTGCTGAGGGACCCATCGGCCCAGTTGGACTTCCTGGGAAAGCAGTAAGATAGACTCAAATAAAACAGTTTCTTTTTTGTTCTATTTTTATGTGGGTTTTGTGTTTGTAAATCCATCCTTGCTATTTTTTTCCATGTAGGGCGAGCCCGGAACAGACGGACTAGATGGAGACCCTGGAGAAAAAGGAGCCACTGTGTGTTTGCTTTTGATTTTCCCTATCATTGAGTCAGATAATATTTTATCTGTATTGATACCTCTCATTTCTACAAACTACAGTCAGAGTGAACATGATTTTAAATCTACAGGGGGGAACAGGAAAACAGGGTCCAATCGGGCCAGCTGGTCCACCAGGAATCCAGGTGAGATGTTCCTTCTTGGTAGTGTACAGTTTATGGTTACAATGCCTAAAACCAGACACAGTGGTGCGTAAATGTACTGGGTTGCAGGTCTGGTCTTAAACTTTAATAATATCACAAGCATTCCCCTTGATAATAGCATATGTCAATCAACATTTCCAAAATATGCCTCTGCATTAATGGGGCCTTCAGTCATAATCAAGTCATTTGTGTCATACACATGAATCCTTTTACCATCACAGCCACTGATAACGGCCTGGATAGTCTCATAAGATCAGATAAGTTTTGTTTTTTTGCTGTAAAAGATTAACCGTGGATTCATCCGTCCACAAAGCTCGATGAATCCTGTTAGTCTTCTACTGTTCAGACAACTCTGACATGTAGCTTGCTCCTAGCGTGACATAGTTTTAGATTTTATTACCAAATGTGTTCTCTGAGTACTGCTCAACATCTAGAAGGCCATGACCATCTTACAGTGGCTCGCATCTTTGCAATTTAAACACTTAGATTTGAAAAAACTGCACAAGTCTTTTCATGTTGTTTTGCTCTTGAGATAATAAAAGATAATAGTTCTCTGTGATCTTGCATTGTACAACATTTCTTGGGGAATTTTCAATGATTCTCTGACAAACTTAAGCCCTAAAGACCTTTAAAAAATAGCCTTTGTTCCTCTTATTCCCAATCCTGACACCTTTTACCTGTATCCAATGTAATATGACATATCCTAAAATGTAACCATTGCTGCATTTTCAGGGTGACAAAGGTGATAAAGGTAACACTGGTGCCAAAGGAATGAAGGGCCATACTGGGCACAAAGGTGACCAGGTGGGACAGGTCAATTTTCATTGATATTCCTGATAAGAATGATAATCAATCGAGTAATGTATTGATTTTCTAAATATTTTTAAGGGACCTATTGGACCAGAGGGACAAAAAGGAAGCCAGGTAAGACATATATCATTATTAAAATATTTCTGAGAATAACCTAGACTAACAATTATCAACTCACTGGTTCATTGATTTGAAACAGGGGGACCCTGGTACGCAAGGAGATACAGGGGTCAAAGGAGATCAGGTAATCTGACTGCCATAAACTGTCTCACATATGTTGTCAATGTAATAGCATGCCTTTTTTGTAATAATTTGTCTTTTAGTGGATCTGAAATAAAGCAACTTGACTTTCGGTGTGTTTCAGGGCCCTCCTGGTGTGACTGGAATCAAAGGCGAGGTATTCAGAAACTACTGAACCGTCTCCTAAAAAGCCTTTTACAATGTAAAAAACAATGTAAAACACATGGATCTGGACAATAACAAGTCTCCGAGACATTTTCATCTACTATACACTGTTATGACTGAATGATTCCAGTATTCTGCTGTTTGAGATCCAGTGTAATTGTCCTTGTTAGCGTGGTGAAAAGGGCCAAACGGGATCGACAGGAGCTGATGGCAGACCTGGCCAACCAGGACATGAAGGTGTGTCGGGACCCATGGGAGCTCGAGGGTTGGAGGGAGAACCAGGCCTCCCTGGAGCACCGGGCCCAAGGGGTTTACCTGTAAGTAAATATTTCTATCTTAAACAGAGAACAGAGAACTTCAAGAACAAAGTTTACACTTAATTGACACTTGGAAACACTGCTGGGTCTGTAATTATGCTAGCTCCATTTACAATCCTAGTAACCAAGTTTTCATTATTGTTTTTTAATAAATCAGCATGAGAAGGAAAAACGACATAGTAGAAATCAAGAAAAACATGCCTTTCAAGCTTTAAAAGTATTGCTGAAGGTGGTTAGTACCCAGAGCTGATCTACTTTAGGGGAGACAACAAAAACAGCAAACTATTAAGACTTTATGACAGACCAACAACTACCCAGATTTTAAAAGAAAATCCAACTTATTCCCAGAGATTAACTAAACTCTTAAAGAAAGTTCTTCTTCTTGTGGATGTCCACCACAGTCACTGTTCTTTTTCCACTTAACTTTTATTCCGGCTGGGAAAGCTTCTTGTTTTACTGAACTATGAACAACTGAGCCTATACTGTTACCCTCTGGTGTCACTATGTTGTGCCGTTTCTTCCTTTCACACCAGTCAATTTGACTGGTTTTCTAAGCATCTTTTCAGATTTCCTTACTAGTGAATTTAAACAAACAGCTCCAACGTAATGACTTGAGGTTTTAACTAGTGACACTATGGAATATAGCCATTCGAGTTCTATGTCGATACAATTTTCATGAATTATGCATAGTTCATGTACAAATAGCTATGGTTCGCATGCAATATGGTAACAAATGCTCTTACATAAGATAAGATGTGATTTTTCTTTATTTAAACAACCGATACTTTTTCAACTAGGATGATAACCATTCTTAAACCTTGACGTATATTATTGCCTCTTTCACAGGGCCCCAAAGTGGCTGACGAAAAACTCCGGGAAATGTGCTCAGCTGTTGTTGAAGGTGCAGTTTTGTTTTTTTCCTGCTCAAATATGTCTTTTTTGATTATGATGACACGTCCCATCTGTGAATACCTGTAGAGCAATTAGAAGAGTTCATGAAAGAGCTCCTGAAGAGGCCAGCGCCCATCGGTGCCCCAGGAACCCCCGGACCAGCAGGACCTCCTGGATCCCCGGGACCAGCTGGAGTGGCAGGAGCAGAAGGGACTCCGGGCCCAATGGGTCCTAAAGGTCATCCAGGTTACTTTGGACTTCCAGGTGCACCTGGAATGAAAGGTCAGTACTGCAATCCAAAGGCCTTTCCAAATTTAGCAAATGGAACAAATGTTTCTAGCTTTAGCTTTTGGAAAGTCATTTTTACCATTTGAAAAACAAGGCTGTTATTCATGACAGTGCAGCTTCGGCTTCATTCTGCCCACAGAATCGGTCAGATAACACAGAGCATCTGTAAAGGGAAGGGATTCAGTCACGCATAGAATGATACAATCAATAATTCACTTAACAAGGCTGAATCTGAATTAAGTCATTAGGTTTCCTAATTGGGCTGCCATAGCAGCATGCCGTCCCATTTCATCTGGCTGTTTGTGTTCATATCCTCTCTGTGTTCTGCTCCGCAGGGGAAGCTGGGGCGAAGGGAGAGAAGGGAGACAAGGGAGAGGACGGTGTGGGAATCAAAGGCGGCCCAGGCACCCCCGGAGCTCCAGGTAAGACTGCACTCTGGTCACAAATACTCTGAGAGAGAGCTGTGAGGGAAAATGTTTATTCAAAATGACGGAAAGACAGACAGATGAAATTCCTCTTGGTTATTCATCATGGTTTCAGCAGATAGAGTTTGGCAAAATTAATTTCAATGTGTACACTTGCAGTTTTCACCTCAATTCACAGCTGATAATGTCTGGTAATCTCACATGTGTACCCCACAAATGTAGATAATTAAATTTAAACAAGTCCAACGGTCATTGAACATATTGAACAAAACTATCATGTAATTAGCTCAAAGTTGGTGGTCAAAGTATTGTTCCGCTTTCAAAAAAAGGAGTTTATGAACGCATTTTCAATGACTTTTTTAATGTTTCTTTTAGAGATTTTTTTAAAATACTTTTTTAAAACCTCTTCATAAAAAAAAAAATGTGTTTGGAATAACTACACCAAAATATCTGCCTGCAGTTATGCTGGACAAGACAAGGAGAATGAAAACAAAAATCTCAATAACAAATTGTGATATTTGAAAAGTTATACCCCTATAAGAAAAGGGAATTTCTCCCCCGTGCCCTGCGTCTCTCCCAGGTGCTCCGGGCGCCCCTGGCGTTGGAAAGGACGGCCAGAACGGGGAGCGCGGTGAGAGTGGAAGTCCTGGCATTCCGGGGGCTACTGGTCAGCGGGGCCCCTCGGGCCCGCCGGGCCTCTGTGACCCGTCGACCTGTATAAGCAGGCTCCAGCCCCTCTATATGGTCAGCGGTAAGAAATCTGCGTCCTACAAGAACCCGTGAGGCGGCCCGGCTCAGTGACACTCTCCAGATCTCCGGCCGCCAGCGAACACGTCTCAGTGGCGCCTCGATCTCCAGCAACTCCATCGGGACGACGGATGGAAGAGACTCAAAAGGGAAACCCAGACCAAACGCAACTGTACAGTACTGTAAAGACACTTTTACTCGTGATTTTTATGCATCGTAAACACATCACTGCTACAGATGGCGAGCAACCTCCACGACTGACGGCGGGCCCGAGGTCCGTGAGCTGTCTGACACAAATACAGACTTTTGACCATTGCTGACCCCAGCAATTTGCATTTTTAAATCTATCCTGTTGCCTATCACGCCCGTGCTCCACGATGAAGCTCAGTGAAGTTACCAAGCAGCTCGTTTTGCTTTGCCTGGTTAAATGAATGATCGCCGCCCGTCTATCAGATTGACCCACCCTTTAAAAAAGTCCTGAGCCCAGTCCAGCTAAGTGGAGCCACGTTTAAAAGATGCTGACCTCTCACACCAGACCCGTGCCTACATCTCCGGCAGTTTTTCTTTTTCATTTCAGATCATCTAGTCCCTGTGTTTTGTCCCAGTAATGTTCTTTTTCATACAGCGTAATAAAATGTGATGTTTTGGAAGTGTTGCACACTGCTGTATTAAAAAACAAAAAAAAAACATGTCTACCAGAGCCATACTCTGTAAGAATATGAAGATGATAAAGCATGATTTAGATTGTTTTTCACATCGTAGCAGCTCCACAGACACGACGGGAAAATGTCGCTGTGCTGAAAAACAAGGTCCCCTGGTTGTGGTGAATCTAATGTTGATTCAGAGGGGTGTTACACAGTTGCCTGGATACAAAGTAGAGTAAACACCATCCTCCCCTCTGTCGTCTGAACAGAACAAATACATTTACTGATCAAATATGACCTTTAAGCGAGCTGCTGGAACGGAATCAGCATAGCAGCCATTCCAAGGACAACTTTGTGATTAAATAAATCAGTCACAATGAATTTAATGTGTGATAAGAGTGACAGGCACGCAGACTGAATGAGACAAAGAATTTAACAAAGCAAAAGACTGGCGGTTGATTTTTTTTATATTTGACTTACTATTGTGAACATGATGAATGTCAGGAGAACAAAAACACTATTCAGCTGGATCGTGTTGTTGGATTATTCAAGGGATGGTCCAAGAAAAAATGAAATCAGTGTTGTGGACTATAATGAGGAAATCATTTCCAACTCAACAAACAAGCAAAAGCCAGAATTACAAAATGAATCTGTTCCAGTTTTTATTATACAGTACAGTACAGGTGTCTTTCCAATACTTACATTATGCTACTATTTCAAAAATGTTTTAGCACCAATTATTCAGGAAAAATAAAGGTAAAGGGATCATGATATCTGGCTAATGCATTAAAACACATTTGTATTTAAACTATGAATAATTTAGCAGTATAACTTAAACATTTAAAGGATGGCCTTTATGCTTTACAAATTTTAAGCCGTATGCAGCCATTCATAATTCCTCCCTGTAATGGAAAGTCTATCAACTGTTATGCTCACAAGCATTTACAAAAATCACAACAACAAAAAAAAGTAATACTGACTGGTCAATAGTAAACTGCTAATAGAGACACAGCTAACAGATGTATAAAAAAGCAAGTCATTTAGGATCAGAAACAGCTGTGAATGTAGTGTGGATGTTTGAATTTGTCTCCACTTAAAAACTGAAGGCTGCAGTCATCATGTACTGCCGCTGACCAGCATTTTTAGCTAACCAATGACAGCTCAGAGACCAACAACAAGCTGAGCTGACTGGGTTCATCAAAAAAAGCAACAACTGCATTTTTATTAGACATGTAATGCAAAATGAAAAGATTAGAAAAAGGTAAAATTCCGAATGCTAACATCATCTTTTGTTTAAAACTGCCAGATAAGCTTGTTAGCCTAGCATACTGCTAGTTTAAAACGATAGCCGGTGTGAAGTGTTAGCGCAAGCGAGCCTAATTCTTTAACTGGCGCTGAGAAACAGCTAATAAGAGATGAGAAAGAAGGCCCCCATTACATTGTTGGTTTGTGAAATACCATTTGCATATACCAAGGCACAACAGCTTGATGCTATTTAGCTGAATTACCAAAACCCAAACGTATATTTAGTCCCATTTCATCTTAATTAAGCAAGTTTGGCTCTCGATTGAATTCAGCTATCTCCATGGAAGAGTAAACTGTTATTAACATGTGTGTATATTAACAGAATAGGAGCCAAGGATGGGAAATATACTGAAAAGGCCAGTCTTCTGGTTCAGCACCACTAAAACTAAATGGTGTCAGAGCTGCACCTTCACATTCAAAGACAAAATGGTCGGAGTCACTTTATTAAACAGGAAAGTGCTGGTCCAACGGATTTTTCCCGTCCCAACTGATGCTTTTGTATTAAGATGAATCCGGTGGATAAGCAAAAGCAAAAGTTTTGAAAAGCAAGTTTAGATAACCATGTTTTAAAGTCAACCTAAAAATGGCACACAAAGCATTTTTAACATATAGACAAGAGTTTTGGAATACAAAATTCAAATCTCTTGAAACTGGACATCAAGTTGAAAAGACTCATTTATTGCAACATATTTTCTGTAAAATAATTCAGATATCCTTTTTTTATCAATCATCGAGATCCCAATTTGTATCATGTAGGGTGGACCATTTATTTGGTTTCGTTTTGAAGCTCCACAGGGCGAAACACTAATAAAAAAGCGACCGGTTTTGAGGCAAGAAGTGTACAAATGTGGGCATTCATCACTCTCCACAGTGACTAATTACCATCTTACATTGCCTCACACCGTCTGCCCCCCTTTAGCCATTAGTGACAGTAAAACAGATAACTCCCATGAATGAGGGGACTGATTTAATGACTCATCCGGTGAGCTGGCTCTGACATGGAGCAATGTGGGAAGTGAAGGGGAACCGGTGCGGGGAAACTTTTGGAGGCGAGTGGTCGGGTCTAATCTCCTCCATATATGTTACAGGAAGCATGCGAGTGATGAAAAAAAAAATGTAGCTGCCCTCTACGCCCTATATCCCCTGCTGCTTAATCCCCAACCATCCCAGGCTTGGTACCACAAAACAAAAACAAAGAATCTGACCGGCAGCACCTGTTGCTTCGACCCTCCGAACTGAGGTTACTTTGAAATAGAGAAGTTCTTGATTCAGACTGACACAACCAAGTTCATAAATACAGCTAGACTTCCAGCCATGGGCATCTCCTCCTCTCTATTACCCCTTCACGTTTTTGGTGTGGGGTCTTTGTGCCAGGCTGGCGTAATAGGCACACTGGGAGGGGTCGCACTGACCCGGGGGACCTGGAGGCCCGGGTTGTCCGTGGGGGCCCGGGTTCCCTGGCTCCCCCTGGGCTCCGGCTTGTCCTGGGCTGCCATCCTTGCCGTATCCGGGCAGACCGGCTGGGCCTAAATAAGTGAACAAAGCTATTAAGTTCTAAACCGGAGCAATCAGTAGGAATCAGAGCAGAGATGAAGATTCGGACAGGTTACCTATTGGTCCAACTGGGCCTTGCTCTCCTCTTTCACCTACACCCGGTTCTCCCTTTTCTCCCTTCGTTCCTTTGTCACCTGAAAGGAAAAAGGAAAACACGCACTTAGATTCCAGCAAATGAAATCCAAATAAATTGGTCAATATTTTCTAGATATCCTTATTCCTCTGAATACTATCGAACAAGTTTTCTGTCAAGGAGTCTTCAGGATTAGCGCACCAGGGCTCTTCAAAGAAGCCTTGGATGTTGGCTGCCTGTTTTTTTAATATTCTCTGTCAATATGCTTTCATAATGTTGAGGTCCAGTTATTAGGAATAAGTCTTCCTTCATTGTGATTGGCTTTTTGACAGCCACCCTTCGATGGAGAGCATTTCTGATGAAGCCTCAGTGAACAGTGGATGGACGTCTGGGTCAATCTCTAAGGTCCTGTCACTGGTGTAGGCAGGAATCTTTCTTCTTTTTCACTGTCACATCCTGTTCATCAACTGAATTTTTTCTAAGGCTGCCATTTCTCCTTTAGTCTCTTTCTATTTGGTTTCTTCAAATTATTTGCGAACATCATCCTCAGATATCACATGCTTCAGCTATTAGCTCTTTGGGAATCACCGTATTATAAATCCTATAATGGCAGTGACCCTCAGACCTCAGACAAATTCCAGTAGTGGTGCTGGTTCTGTATAGCACGTATCAGTGTACCTGTGGCCATTTTCCCAGCATTAAACTTAGAGCACCATCTGTTTTAAATGAGAGGAAATGTAAATTTAATGACAGCACGATTCAAAGCTCTGGTGGAACCCCGTCAAGCATTTGAAAACGGCCTCACTTACATCAGTCAAGAAGGATCAACTCATGTTCGCGCGTCATCAAAGTTTCATAGAATGCATGATTTCCCCCCCCATACATTAAAAATGTATAGTACAAAATCCTCTGTGTAAAACATGACAGCATGACTTTATGGGAGGTTTCTGTCACTTCTTATTCTGTCTGACCAACAAACTGTAAAACTTTCATGGGTTCCAATTATTGTCTCCTACCAAAATGAGGTATTATCTAAGTAGGAAATATTGAAAATGTACCCCACACCTCTCAGCCTGCCACATAGGTGATGGAAGAAGGGGAATCAACATTGTCTTGTTGGTGGCATTGAGCCAGCTAGTAATGACAACCAGCAAATAGGCTGGAGCACATCTCAGAGACGGAAGTGTTTGGCCGGAGAGATCAATATTTGTAATGTTTTAAACTATTGACAGGGTAAATGTGACGGCAAGGAGAACAATAACCATCTTTAAAAACATTATGCGGACAAAGATTAGCATCGACACAACTCTTAGTGGATGTAATAAAGCTGTGTGTGTGTAACCTTCAGCGGGTGACTCTGAATGGAGTATTTGGTTTATGGTTTCGATGCGCCATTCGAGTTCTGTGAAAACTTTGTGCGTCACTGGAAGTGAAAGTGGGGCACGGAGCCATTGGAAAGATGGAATTTGACAAAGACCCCTAAACTTTGGTCTGTTCAGGCCTTCTAAGTCTCTTACTGCCTTCCCTTTTGTGAACATTCCCGGTAATGTCTTCACCGGGGTGGGCAAAACCGGGAATTTTGGTATTGATCTGAGTTCGTACAGAGCTAGGAAGAATCTGATACTTATATGAAATGTTACTGACTCCCAGGTCGGCTCATCGAGCCGTAGAGAAGCCACTAGCTTAAATCCGGTGAGAAAATTTTACTCATTTTGCTGCCCTAGTGTTGATCCAATACAGATGTTATTGATTTTGTCAATGTACCCGGCCCATGGACAGAGACAAGGAGGACTGAGATGTCAGACTGGACGAGGGAGCCCTACATTATTTGAAAAAAGGCAACACGATCTGGCTAAATAACTCTCTTCATTGCTTACACGCTTTACACTCGAGGAACATCTACCAAGCTAGGAAGTCTGGTGCACCCTGGAGAGGCAACACCGAATCAATTGGCTGAACATAATTGAAGTTCCATAGAAATTAGCCTTTCATAAGTTGTCTGAAACAACTGCTTGTTGTGGGGTAGGAAATCTCAAATATCTGTACTTGACACATGATAAAAAAGTGAAGGCAGCGAAGAGAAAATTTTTTGAGAGGTCTTGGTCTTACCCTTCGGGCCCAAAGGCCCTCTGGGCCCCTCTCCTCCATTCTGCCCAGGCATTCCTGGCTCTCCAGGGGGGCCCTGTCGCCCGGGGCCGCCGTCTTTACCTGGAGGGCCTGGAGGTCCAGGGCGGCCTGCTGTACTCTTCACGTGGGCTGGCTGCATCTGAGCCATGAGGTAAGCCATTTTGGCTGGAGTCGGAACACAAGTGAGTTAAGTCGGATACTTCTCCGTCACGGTTGTGCTAAATTTGGCCAAACGAGGCAGAACGATATCTCCCTCACCATCTAATTGCTTTGTGAGCTCCTCTTGGATGAGCCGTCTCATCTGCTCCAGTGACACCGACTCTCCCTGAAGCAGAGACGATAATGAGCAATTCCATTATTAATGCCTCCGTCTAAATCATCCGTTGGAGCTTCAGCGCCAGCGTCAGTGTTGTTTCACCTCCAGATCCTGTTCGTGTTTTCATAGGCGCGACTCACCCTGGCGCCTGGCAGACCGGGGTTTCCTGAAGGGCCCTGTGGGCCCGGGGCTCCGATTTCTCCAGGTGGTCCCGACATGCCCATCATCCCAGTGTGGCCCTTTCTGCCAGGGGGGCCAGGGTTTCCAGGCATACCTGGATCTCCACTCTGTCCTTTATCTCCTTTAGTACCTGTGTCTCCCTGGGTTAGATATTAACACTAATAAGCAACTGATCAAGACAGTGTGGAGTGCACACTGCTTATTTGATTTTTTTTCTTATTGAAGATTAGAAAATAAACGTAAGCACATTGCGAGTTAAAGAATAACACTAGCGACACAAACGTTGCCGATAGCTTCTTCTGAGAAAAATAATTGAAAAAGTCTCAAAATTGCAAAAGGACTATTGGAGGAAAACATAAGCTGTTTGTAAAACTGAATCGAATCGGGGGAAAAAATCTAACAACGCTTAGAACAAGCTAAAACCCATGTGTCCAATTGGTCCTTTTCTTAATAATTTGACTGACACCTGGCAGTAACTAAGTGGACAGATAGAATTCAGATTTTTATGCATGTTGCAATTACTTTGTGCTACAATTAGAGTAATAAAAACTTTGATTTGTCAAGTTGAGACTATCTTTTATGTTTCTATGCTTTTATAAACAGTTTCCATCAGTGTATTGATTTGTACACACAGACTTTCATACAGCACATGCCCACTGTGGGGGCTTCGTGCGCTTTGACGTTCCCCCACGCTGTGGGTCTTTCTATATATGGGCTGTGGGAGGGAGAAAATCTAAGATGCTGAGGCTGAGTCAGGATTTTCAAAGCTGGCTCAGAGTCAGAATCTTGGACCGATTCCTAACCTCCAGGTGTGGGCATGTTGGGGGTTTGTTGTTTTTATTCAAAACAATGACTGTCGTTTGACTAGTTTTATTGCGACTTGCCATTTGGCTGTAATATGTAATCTCTTTAGAAATGACAAAGCAGGCCCAGTTAGCATAAGGGCCTCTTACTTGTGGCACTCTACACAGAAGACTATGAGATGTGGTAAACAGGCAGCTTGGGGAAACTCAAACCGAGTAGGTGTACTTTGGACTGACTCATCAACTCAAGAGATGGTTCTCATTTCTTCGATTGTGGTATTTGTAACAAGTATGAATCATCTTCTGTTTGAGCAGTTTGATTCACCTAGAATACTCCTATGAACTGCATGTGAACACATTTAGATCTGTATGAAAAATGTTTGTGACTTCACCTTTTCTCCTTTAAGGCCACGATCTCCTGCTCTGCCTGGTATTCCCTTGAAAAAAACACACAAACATGTATAAGCACAGAAGTAAGAAATAGCCTTACAGTTTGGAGCAAGATTATTTTTTACACAATAGTATGTATATATACACACTAACAGACACCATAGAAGTAGAAGTTCTTACCTGTTTTCCCTCGGGGCCAACAGGACCGGGTGGACCCTGGAAACCATTGGAAAAGTTCAAATGACTTGTTTGCACTAGAATTCAAATGTAAACATCATGATTTAGCAATTCCCAAATACCAGAAAAGTTTTTTTTTTTGCAGACATTTCTTTTGCAGAAATCTTTAAAGTGAGGCATTGCAAAATTTCATGAAAAATCTGAGCTCACATTGAGTTTTAATGGCAGCAACAGGTTACCTGACCACAGATCAGTGGGAGAATTGGGAGAATGAGAGCATTTTAAAGTGTAAAAGAGTGTTCTAAGTTCTACGCATTCTGTCATCAATAAAAAACGTATACAATTGTCATTAGAGATTAAGATAACCTGGAGACATCTTTAATCTCCTGCATTAAAAGCTAATTTCCATGACCTTGTCAGGCTCTGGAAAACATCCAGAAATCCCTTAAGGACACATAAATGTGCACATGCCAGTTAAAGCTTCATCGTGCAAAAATCGTTGACGCCATGTGCCCGACTTAAAAGAAAAAAAAATGCATTTGCAGAAAGGCCATCCATCCAACATAATATTCACGGGAGGCCATGTCTGAGCAGGACAATATCAACATCATTCCTCAGTCCAGCAACCAATCTCCTCTGTTCCCAGAAATGTTGATTTAATTTAATTAGATTAGATCAACCTCATGGATTGGATTCAGTTGTTGAAGGACAGTTCAGCTGTTATTGTTCAGCTGCTAAACATTTAAGTACGTACTAGTAGGTACTTTAAAAGCATAAAGTGCAAAAAAAGTGAATACAAAATAGCTAAATCTGAAGAAAAAAAAATATTTGGGGAGAGTGATCAGAATACAGCTAAACTGCTGAAGTGTGTGTTCTATGTAGGTTAACCTCCTCCACAGGGTCCACCCTTTTAGTTCCCGAGTCCTAGATGTTCAAATAGTGAGCGAGGAGGTGGCATTATGAAGATGTCAACTGCCATCCCCCTTGTCTTGCTGGTGTTTAAGCCCAGGTGGTTTCCCTCACACCAGTCCACGATGTCCATGATGACTGACCCATATCAAGCTAATTCCTCTTAGACACAGCCAACAATCTCTGACAATCTATGAAGTGTAGAGAGTGAAGAAGGGCCCCCCCTTGCTGCAGTCACACAGTTATGGAGCATCTTGGACTGGGGCTTATTGGTGAGGAGGTCAGTTGTCCATCTGACGTTTATTGACTGTTGTTAAAAGAGATGAGAAGGGGGGCTACGCATCTTTCTTTTATTTTGGGGAGATTTGCTGCTGCCATCAAATTCAGCATGAGCTTTTCATGAAGCAATAAAATGTAATGTCCAATACATTATTGGACAGGTTTTCATTTAGTTTTCCTACAAAAACAGTCTTAGAATGGAAGGAGAATGAGAACTCACCGAAGGGCCTTTAGGCCCGCTGAAGCCGGGCAGTCCCGGGTTGCCCGGCTCTCCCTTGTCTCCCCTCACACCCTGTATGGGAGCAAAAGCATGCCCTTCCATCACACGGCACGTGCACGCACGCACACACTAAGCCTCTGCTCATTACTGAGGATTCAGTCAGATTAACATTCAGCTTCTTTTTCAGCCCGGCGTGCAGCGGTGCCCTGGATAAAAGGCTCATAAACCAATCTTGTGGCAGGACATGCCAGCCCGAGGAGATTAAAATTCATATTTACAAGCGACATGTGGGCCTGAAGGCTGGCTGGTTGGGGCGGCCACAGAGTGCAGGCATCTGCTGATTCATGTGCCCCCCCCCACCCCCAACCCCCGCATCTCCATAGTGAAGATATTCAAAAATGTTCTGCCGTATCTTTTGTCGATATCCGCCATTATCGTGGCATTCCTTTGCAGTGTGGAAATCCCAATCTGCTTTCTCACCATAACCATTTTGCGTTTTGGATCCTGCTGACTTACCCTCCCCCCGACAAGGGCAGCCCTTTTGAGATATCACTCTATAAAACCTGATGGAGAAGTTGGAGTAAGTGCACTTACCTAAATTAGTTCTAAAATAAGTTTCGGCACATGGTGCCTTCCACACTTTTACAGTGAAGTGCCACCCTGGTTGTTATCACTCCAGAGAAATGTTTAAAAATGCATAGAAATATTTTCCCTGCCTTTTTGTTTCCTGATATTCAGGGGTTAAATTAATAAAGAGACAAATTAGCAATTGATGCACTTTTTAGCTCTGACTTAATTAATCTAATCCTAAAAATGGGAAGCCATTCATATAAAAGTAGCTTTGACAGTTATAGAAAAAAAACTGATGCCTTAACAGCAAAAGAATGTGAAAGAAATTAATCAAAGACAAAATTAAACAACATTCATGGACAGCATACCGGTTCAGAAAGTTTTGTGTCTCTATACTGATAAAATATCTAAATAAGTCTGATATATTTAATAAAAAAAGATGTATGACATTTTGAAAGAGAAAAACATCTAAATGTTAAAAAAGGACATGACTTGATGGGCAAGTTTAGATGTTGAACACTTTGCCAGTGGAGGAAATATTCAGTTCAAATGAAAGTGAGCATCATGCTGTCTATAAAGAACTTCTAAAAGAGAAAAATCTCACAGTGTCAGGAAGCCACGGCCTTGAAAGCGCATCAACCCAAACATCATAAGAAATACATCTTCAAAAGAAAAGTATCAGTGGTTGTTTGAGCTCTCTAAGAATCCCACAAATCCAAAAGCTTTTGAAAAGAGAGTCGAGTCAAAAAATGCTTCAACTCTGGCAGATCTGACCAAACTTTTGTTGTGAACGGGATCCCTTTTTGTTTTTCTGAGACACTGAAAGACAGGAATGAATTACTTTATATTCACTTGATATGTCTTCTATCTTGTACCTCATATCTAATTGTAAGTTTATGTAACTAAAAAAGGGAACAAAACATCTTAATATAAATCACAAAAAGTTGCTTTGTCCACATAGTAGGATGACTGTGAGTGATCCAATCAGTCAAATTATTACTGTGTAAATTGGATTATACTGAACAGGATAGTGTGCAATGAATTAAATGAATTGATCTGTACTGATCTTTAATATTCAACTGGATTGTGGTGAATCCTTTGTATGGAAATAGTGTATGAATTAAATCTGAACTGAGATTAAATAGAGTTCAATCACATTGAGCTGGACTCAGTTTTTATCCAATTGAAAATTGGATAAAAACAAAGCTAATTGAATAAGTAATTAGATTGGTTTAGACTGTATGTCTTAAATCTGATCTGAAATTAATTAACTGTATTGGACCACAATCCGGTTTAATCTGTTTAGATTCAGATTTAAGGTGTCTCTGTTTCTGAAAAATTCACAGAAATGTTGTGAAATGCAACACTTGGGTAGAAAAAAAAAGAGGAACGAGTTGATCAATTGAATTAAAACTCAATCCTAAACTGTATCTTTTGCTGGGGCTTGTGAGGAGGAGAAATAAATTATTCATTCTGATCACAATCATGAGCCTGTTGTTTAGGTTTAAGCTCCTGATTTTGTGTCTGTCCTCTTATCCACTTCAAAGCTCGATCCTGAAATGACACATTCATCTCTTCCACCCTGACAAGTCTGGGCTTTTCTCCTTCATCTGGGCTGCCCTGTGTATATATTCCAAACATAGATTCTGCTTCCAAGGGCTCCACGCAGCACATAAAACAATCAAATCCAAAGAGACTGTCCCTGTGATGTGTTTTTGCTCATCGCAGCAAAAATCCGGAAAACTCTTGTCACTTCTTCGGGACCCACAGGGAAAACATGTTCCCTCTCTGCTCAGAACAACGTTCACTCAATTCTTCAGTCACAGTCTGGCAGCTTATTTCTCAAAGGGGTCCTTCACATAACCCTGTCTCGCTTTAAAGGTATATCCTCACAGGACCCCTCTGAGATCACAGAGAAAACTGCTTGCTTGCTAATTTCCCTCTGACTTCTCAACTAAAAGTAAACGGTCCAGTGTCTCGTTGTTGCACTGTTATGGAAAGAAGATTTAAGGGTTAGCTATTACTCACTGGTGTTCCAGGTAGGCCTGATTTTCCAGACGGTCCTGGTTCGCCTTGTTTGCCCTGGAATATTTAAAAAAAAAAACATGTGGTGTGAGAAACTCGATGTGGAAGGAGTAATAGAACTGGTCAGCCCCAGTTTGTTCTTGCTAAGTTCTGCCAGTGATGGTAAATGGCTCACCTGTTCTCCTCTTGGTCCAATATGCCCATCTGGGCCTGGAGGTCCTTTGGGACCCTGCAAAAACAAAATAACCATTTGTGTCACGTCTCCTTGATGTCTCACCATCATATTCGGGAATTGTTGCAGAATCCAGACTTCATCAGAGTATGAGCTATTGTTTCTCATGGGAGCACTGAACTCCTGAACTGGAAAATGCATCCTCATCGTGCTGTTAGAACATTCTGGCTCTATGATACACAAACTAGGGACAAGTTTGGTTTAAGGAGGTTTTTGTGGAATGCCAGTGTGTGGCCTACAGCCGGAAAAAAAAGTACTGTAGCTGTGTTTGTCAGACTGATGGAAAAGAAAAGCCAAAAGATAGAACAATGCTCTGCCACAGCTTGGGGACCAGCATTATTAAAGATGCTGTGGGTAGAGTGCTGTCTAATTTTACATCCTGTCCAAGATCAGGAAGCAAGCATAGCATGTAAATACATGGGGGAGTTTGCAATCATTTAGAACGGAAAATACATTTCCGAAAGAGAATGAAATTCTTGTACTTTAGAGCTGTAACTAGTAATAAGACCTCTTTATTGAATAAAAATGTAATAATAACCCAGGTTGATTAGTTTTACTGAATCGTAATCAGTTTAACAAACAAAAGCAAATATGTTACAGTGTTTGTTTTCCAGTTTACATATAAAACTACATAGCTGCTCCAATTATTGTGAAGCTTATTTGCCAATACTACCAATGACAATGATCTCTCTCTATGTATGTAGCGTTAAAAAAAAAATCTATGTTTGTTTCAGTTTAGTGGAAACAGTCATTCAGAGGAAGTAAAAACTTAATATGTGGTTTTATGTGAGGTTGGATTTACCTCTTTTCCAGGTTTACCATCATGACCCTGTGACCCAGGCTTTCCATCTTCTCCCTGTAAAGTAGGTGAGAAAGCATGTACATTCAATCAAAAATTAAACCTAAAGGTCTGAAATGAAGAATAAATTGATAAGAATACAATAAGGACTTTTTTCACAACACCACCTCCTCTGCAGGGGGCAGATCTGTAGAAGAGCTGAAGCAGAGCAGTGAGATATGGGGAAATAATCCTGTAACCTGGGTGTAGTTCACATTTCTGAGCCTAGTTTAACTTTTCCCATCCAGTAAACACACTTCCATTTATTCCTCCGTCCGAAATGATAATTTGCAGTCCAGTATTTTCAGAACTGGTGTAGCATCTATGATGTTTTTCTCTAATTCGAAGTAAGCACAAAACATTTGTGCTAAACCCCTTTAGGATTAGGGTTATAATGAGGTGTCAAACACTTTGTCAAACCCTGGTTTTGGTAGGGTGGTAAAGAAACTGTAAAGAGATCAGGATATGCAGGCAGTGCAAGACACATTAGGAGACTCGGAAAACCAACACATCCAAACCTCAGGTAAAATATCTAATCACCAACCAAACTCAGCTACCATTTCTACACTATACTTAAAGGTGTGCTACAAAAACTAAACAGTCCCAAAACAGCCATCAGGAATAACATAAAAAACAAGGCCCCACAGGCCAACTCGCCTAAGATGGCCACCTGGTTTCAACTGGCTTACTTAGGCCCTTCCATCCAACTATACACTCTTCCTCTTCCTGGATTTCTTCCTTGTCTCTCAGGTCATTTGTTCTAATCCAAAGTGAACTTATAACTTACCTTTCCCCTTCTGTATACTTCTTCTAATAAGTCCCTCCACGGACCAATAAGCATTATGATTCCATAGTTGCTAATCCTACTCCTAGACCAAAAGACTACATCAGGAGTTTTCCATTAGTGCCTACTCAGCCCTACAAGGTTCGCCCTAGCACAGCTCTAAGTGTTTTTTGGTGGTTTTTAACTACAAATAACTTCAGAGCAGAAAGACAGGCCGACCAGCGCGTGACATCACTTATACGCGGCACAAACAACAAGACAACAATGAAGAACATCGCAACATAAAGGTCGGTATGGACAAGCCTCAAGCCAACCCGACATATTTTTACATTACCCACATTTCTGTATGCTTAAAGTCTATGGTGTGTTTCCTTTGCACTATATCCACAGTTTATCCCAAGAAACAATGTGACACCTCCAAATTGTGCTGAGATCCATTGCCAGATGTGCACGTTTGATCCTTTACATAAACTTTCCTTTTTTTTTTTTTAAACAGCAATTGTAATTCATACCACGGGGATACAGCGACAGTAACTGTAACTGGTGCGGGTTAAATCTCTGAATCCATGGCAAAGGATTACGCTTTTTCTGATTAAATGACCAGAGTTCAGAGACCTGGGCCGGCCTCTCTGTAGCTCGCTAAGAGGTGTCCGTAATGGAGCATGTTACAGTTCACGGGGCTGTGGTTCTCCTACAGGTGTGTGCTGAGCTGTGTAAAAAGCAAAGCAGCAGGTGCAGTGATTCTCTCCGAGGAGGTGTGTGTGTGACCAAAGTGCAGCTGCCAGACATAGTCTACATTGACATTGCAAGCTAAATGCAGAGCGTGTGCTTTTCCTGGTGTTCCCGCAGTGAGCAGCATGAAATATGACTGATGAGATGAAAACCTCTTCTTTTGGATGGACAATCTATTTTCCCCCTCCATACTTTCACTTTGAGCTCCAAAACGGAGAGTGTCAAACTTTGCAAACCCAGAAATAATTATGTTCTGAAAAATTAAATTTGCATGTTATGCTAAAACTTTCCAAAGGTAATGTGAACTAATCAAGCCTGGTTAGATGTTCCTCCATGCAACCCCTGGAAACCTTCCCACAATAAAAACGAAAAGCTAAAATCCTGATCTAAATGATGAGGCCAAAGCTGACTGGACAGGATCCTACTCATGAAAGACTAGCTGACCTTGCTTCCTGGAGGTCCAGGTTCTCCTCTGTGGCCTTTGAAACCCTGGAAGAGAAAGACAAGTAACATGAAGTTACTCGAGTTGAACTGCCCAAACTAATTCTGTCAAATCTGCTTTTGGGAGCTTGCTTACGGGAAGTCCCCTAAGTCCAGAGTTTCCTGGAGGTCCAGGTTCACCTTGCTTACCCTGGGAATATCACCAAGATAGTTAAAACAGAGTGTGCTTGCTCATTATTCATATGTAAATACAGACTATTCTCTTTGGTTTATGTTAAAAACGTGGTTTTATACAATTTGTCTCTACTTACAGGTTCTCCCTGTTCACCTGGTCTGCCATCTTTTCCCATTTTTCCTGGTTGGCCCTGTGCATTAAAAATGAAAATGGCTATGTAGCGTGTGCAACTGTAAAGGCAAATATCTTTCATTTCAACATAGAAACATAGTTTTAAATTCACTATGCAATATGTAAAATATTTTCCCCTACTATCAAGCCAGGAAGACCCGGTGGTCCCTGGATTCCTGTGAGACCTTCTTTGCCCTGGTGAAAACAAACACACAAACTGGTCACCGACACTAAAGTGAAAAGAAATGATTAATGACTGCTATTACAGCACAGGCTGGGTGACCTACATGCTAGACAGAGGAGGTCTCTGCAATAATGACACACTGATAATAAGCTTTCTGAGGGGGAAGTATACCAAACACAGCCTAACCTTTTCTCCAGAGGGCCCTGGGGGGCCTGGAGGTCCAGGCTGCCCATCGTTACCCTAAGGAAGAAAAAGAGTGTCAATGGAGGTCGTTATAAATGCATAGCCTGACAGTAGGAACAAACAAATGAGCCTAATTTAAAAAAGGGTTAAATATCTGGAGAGTATATGCATATCCTGTAAATATAATTAGGCCAAAACAGCTACTTACAGGAGCACCCATTAATCCAGCAGGGCCTGGGTGGCCGGGTGGTCCTGGGTGACCCTGTTTTTAAAAGTAAATGTGATTAAAATATATCAATATTTTCTTCATAACTGTAAATACTGTAAGTGGGAGGGAAAAAGCTGATAAGGACTTATATATTTATATATATTTAAATATAAATATACCTTATCTCCTTTATCTCCAGGGCCTCCCGTAGGTCCTCGATCTCCTTTTATACCCTGTGGTGAATGAAGAAGAAAGACTGGATGAAAGTCATATTTAAAAAAGAAATCATTCTCTTGGAAAACTGAAATCAAATCACCAAGGTTGTGATATTGCAAAATACAATATGTCTTTAAATGACTCAATATCTCATTGGTTTACCCTCTGAACTTAAAAGAAAATAAGACAAAAAGAAGAAATACAAAAGAAAAGTCGTTGATTTTTAACAGTGGGTATTTTAAAAATGCAGTTGGTTTTCAAACTTGCCTTTGCACCGTCAGCTCCAGGGGGCCCTTGAGGTCCAGGTAGCCCAGGTGAACCCTGTAACAACACACCAGACCATCGAGCACCATCAGCGAGTCCTAATAGCTTGATGCTGCTCCCAAAGGAGGCCCAGCTAATGATGCGGACAGAGCCTGGCCATCCGTCACAGCTGCTGTGACTGATGATGCCAAGCTCGGACCTCTTGCCTCACACAGGACGAATATAACGGAAACACACACTTTATAATACTCCATTTAAGTTGAGAGAAGGTACTGTGATAGAATGGATTTCACAGGAGCAGGAGAAGTTTAAAATAAGGACAACTTAATGACTGTCGTACTTGATATCCATCTTCACCATTTTTCCCGGGAGGTCCCTGGTGTCCTTTATCTCCCGGAATTCCTGGGAGTCCAGGCGGTCCGGCTGGACCTGCAGGGCAGTCTGAGCAAACATCCTGAATGGGAGAGGGATCATTTCTGTGATTAAGTGGTCAGTCTCGGGATCCGATGAAGTGAAAGACGGTAAGGAGTCTTCTTACCTTCAGATTCAAGTCAGAGAGGTCTGCTGCCTTTCCCTGAGAGAAAGAAGAAAACAGGTTAAAGAGAAATGGAAAGCTACACAGGAGGCCATGTACAGTTGTAGGCCAATTTCTTTCCAAGAAATAACATACAGATAAAACAATATGGGATGAAAATAATGCCTGAGCATCTTTATGAGTGAGACGGCCAAACATGTTTATATTGAGGGTAAAAATGCTACTTTAAAAGTTTTCACTATTTGAGTGAAATTCTTGATGATGATCTGCTTGCCCTTTAGCCCCAAGAGCATTGAATGATTCACTGATGATGAAAATCAAAGCCTTGATCAGACTGTTTGTTTAAGTTCAACACAAAAGTGAGCAGAAAACTGACATTAGGTCACAATGGAACAAAACAACCCCTCGAGAACGGAAAGTGGAGACCGAAATTGAGAAAACTGTAAATAAGAGTCCTCCAACTTGTTACCATGTGCTCTTGTCAAAAAATGCTTTAGGATTTGGGTTTTTAGTGACTATACCAAATCAGTTATTTGCAGACTAACCCATGTAAATGTGATCAGCTTAAAAGTCAATCCTAAAATATGGATTTAATACGTGTTTTTAGATATTCCAAACAGCTGAAAGCTAATAAAGCATAGTTGAGCTAACAGTGCATTTGAGTGTGTTCTGAAAAAAATGGTCAAAATAGAGGTGGGGGTGTATAATACATTTATGGTAGTAGTGATTATCGTAGTGAGGCTAACTATTAAACTTCTTTTAAAACAATATAAATATGTTTAAAGTCTGCAAAACAGCTTGGAAACAATGGAATGGGAATGGAATCAGAGGTTTTAATTCCAATAACCAGAATCTCAAACACATGTTACCACAACATGATAATTGATATTATTCTAAACATTTATTCAATTTAATATGAGTTTAAAAATTCACTTAATTCCCACAACACAGAAGGTTATGGGCTGTAATAGGATAAATAGTGGGTGATTTTACCAATGTTACCAATATAACATTTTTCAAAAGCCTTTTGAATAGCATTACATATTGTCCTCTAATGCAATTTATTTAGATTTAAAAGCTTCACTTATGCTCCAAAGCAAACATAATAATTTAAAAGGTTGACAATGGCTTAGCAACTTTACACCCAGCAGACAAAGAGCAATATTAGTTTCAGTTTGCTGACTCCTGTGATATACAGTGTCCTTTAACCTCTATTTCAAGCCTCAGTTATTATTGAATAAATAAGAAGCCCCTCAAATTTCTCATTTTGAAAGAAAAATGTAAATATAGCACATCGCACTTAGCTATAACGAAGCAGTAACATGCTTATATAACAAATGTATTGACCTTGGGACTGTTAGGACTATTCCTTTAGTTGAATGTAAATCAAAAAGTATTGAAATAATTTCTTTACGGTTCATCTTTTTTCGAGGAGTTTTGGGAGGATTCAGGCTGAGTCAGGTGAACAGAGCTGCTGAAAGATTTGACATTTTTATTGTGTTTATTTCTTCAGGTGAGACTGCCATGAATCAATCTATTTTTATGATGTATTAGCACCATTTAATCATGCAAAACACTTTCATCAAATCACACACAATCAATCTTTATTGGTACACCACCAATATTTCCAGTTGAAACATGTCATCATTTCTACCCTGGTAATTTCTTGGGAGGTTCATGAGGTTGACTGGCCATCTGCAACAATATCATTTGACAAACTCCTGTGAAATATGTTGATAAATGAATGAAAAAACAGATATAACTGGGAAAAACAAAAACACGCTATTTCTTTGACAAGTAATGACAGATTTGTTCAAATCAAATTGAAACCAAACTTAGTTCCAAGTTACTTACTTTGGCTACTATCTCAATAAATACTATTAAGCCACAAATCACTGTTTGACTAAGAGATTGACAATAAATCTGTTTCACTAATATATTGTTTTTTTGGCACTTTCAAAGTTCTACATGAAATTTCTAAACTTTAAAGTATGTGCTTTTGACCAATTTTGAAATAGATTTGGCTCATTTCCAGGCCTGGATCGAGCCTGGAGTAGCAGGGAACAAAGATGTCAATGTTTGGTTCTCAGCCCAACACCACACCATTATGCTTTACTATCACTAGACATTTTTGTGGGCCTTTAATGGTGTCTTTGTGGCCTCGTCAACATGTCAAAAAATGAATGTCTGTGGCTTAGCATGTGCAGAGCTCACAAGGAGATTTCTATTTTACAAAAGCAGTGTTACATCCTCTAGCTGAGAGGGGCGTCAAGAAGCACAAAATGGCCAAATTATCCAGTGTTACTTCAAAAGATACTGTCATGAACAAAATAAACCATCCCCACATTTTCCTTGGAACCCCACATATATATGAAGAATCCCCTTTACCAAGGCCATTATGATTCTTAAGAGAAAATCTGTTTTTTTGGTTGCATCTCTAAACTAAAAACTGCTTTTGTTTATTATTACAATTAAGAATTCACTCTCATCAGTAGCCATTACTTTACTTACCTTTGAGAAATGGATGAGCTAAAAAAAAAAAGTTACGATTCTTGGGTTTTGTTCAGTTTGTGGGGTGTTCTACGTTTTGAGTTTCTTTGTTGCTTGTTTTATTGTGATGTCTGTTTCCTGTTGTCTTCCTGTGTCTCTTTTACTTCACTGCTTGTCAGTCTCTAGCGCTCTACGTCATCAGCTCGATTCTCCTCAACTGTTCCTATTATTCTCCCCTTTCCTTTTCTGTCCTGCCTCGAGTATCCCTCAGAGGTTAGTTTATGGTTTTCCACTCTCTTATTATTTTGTATGATTTTTTTCTACCGTTTAGTAGCAATTTTTATATCTGCCATTGCTGTGTATTTTGTTAATTCTTATGATAATAAGATGTTGAATTAATATGTTAATCTTGTTTTCTTGAACACCTTGGTTTCTCCTGTGTTTCTTCCCTGGCCCTTCATACGGCTCCATCCCCTCCCCCACCATCAAAACCGTAACATAAAAGTAGTTTAATGTTTTCTATCCATTCTAGGAAATCCAAAATGTTATTGGAATCCTTTCCTCCTTCCAAATTAGTAGGAGCAAAAAAGTTGAGAAAAATGTATTTGCTTTTTATAACCTCTTTGATTACAGAGACTAAATTTGGTTCAATTTAATTCCTATTTGCGACAGTTCCCTATGCTAGATTTCAAAAACTTCAACCAAACACAGCGGAACAGACCTTGAGGGAAGATTTCTTGTATGAACTTCAATTAGAAATCCAATCATCTAAAAAATATTGTTTCTTTTAATGCTGAGGAGCCAGGGCTTTATTCACGTCTACTGTAAGGTGGGAGTTACAACCTGACAAACAGAACCTGATTGGACATTAACACTTTTTATAGTACAGACAATAAAATGACTGTTAACTACAACATAAAAAAACATTGTTACTTAAAAACCCCTTGTATGTGTACTTACAGGCTCTCCTGGTGATCCCTTTTCTCCCGGCCTTCCCTGTAGACCCTAGGGCAGGAGTAAAATCAACAAATTACATGTTCTGTCCCCTAAAGACAAACTATTTATTCAATTTATATCTTACGTGTCACTCAAAGTTAAGCAACCAAATTGAAAAACATTGAACAAAGACAAGTCCACTTCACAAGATATCACAAGTTTGCGTGGTTCTCTCATTTTCAACATACGTTGTGTCCGGCTGGGCCTTGAGGACCAGCGACTCCTGGTGGACCCCTCAAACCCTGAAACCCAGACAAACACACAATGAATTACACAGGTGAGGGACAGAGATAAAGTTTATGTTATTTTTCAGACAAATAGTCACCGCCGTTCCCGGTTCCCCATTCTTCCCTGGAGGTCCCTGAAAGATTAGACATTGCTATAATTAGCCAACTGGTAGTAAATCTAAAGAATGACATTCAGTTTGGCAAACATTGACTTCATACAGGCAGTCCCTCTTTGCCTTCTCCTGGAGGACCCCTGTCCCCAGGTGACCCGGGCTGTCCACGTAAACCCTGGAGGCCCTGGGAAGTAAAACAAAAAAGGTAAAGTTACTAAATCCCCCTCCTTAAATAGCATCATTTAGCAGAGATGTTGGGTTAGGAGTCTGACTCAGGACATTCTGACATAACAGCTAACCCGCTATGGGTACAAATGGGAGAAAAAAGTGCCAAGTTCGGGAGAGAAAATATAGCGGTGATGGTTTGAGACTGTAAATTCAGATAATGTCCCTTCTCAAAGCAAAAAGAGGCAGTGATAATCAGAGCCGCGGCCTCAGAGCAGTGGACACAAATTGCTTTTGGTGTTTCTAGCCAGAAAAAAAAAAAGAATGTCTTTTTCTCACCTATGCCATAAAGAAAAACGATTTTCAGAGAAATAAATGACCTACTGCACAGGATTAGAACACTGACAAAAAAACAAAACAAAAACAAAAACCATCTCATGTGGCCTTGAACGCTCCTGAAAAGCTTGTCAATGTTACCTTTGGTCCTTGGGGTCCTTGAATTCCCGGTGGTCCGGGTTCCCCCTGAAACGCCACAAATGATAACATCACTCTGCACGCAGTCATATTTTTTCAGACAATCTGCAAAACAAGCGGCTGTGGGTTGAGCTTGCAGATGTGATCGTGGCGGGCCCTGCGGGCTGCACCTGGCAGCAGTAAAAACACGCTCTGCTGGTGCCCCTGCTTTAATGGGATGTGCCTTAACTATGTCCTTCCTGTTTGCTGCTGCCTCGTCAGCACCGCGGCCACATGTCTGGCAGCCGTGGAAACTGATGGAGGAACACACTGAGCAGCTAAATGTGCTGACTTGGGCCTTTTTTTGGGTCCCATGTGACTGCTCTTGTTACCTTTAGGCTCTGCATTCACAGGGATGTTTACAAGCACGCACAAATGTGGAATAGAAGAATGATCAGACCACATGTTAAAATGTTACTTGCATCTCCTGCATTCACTGATGAACGGAACTGTGATTATGGTACGTTTTTTCCAGGCTATAAGTTGCACTTTTTTCATAGTTTGGCTGGTCCTGCCATTTATGCAAGTTATATATCAAAATACGTACGTTTTTAAACTTTAAGAAGCTTTTAAAGTTTAAAGCCAAAAGCCTGATGCAACTCGTGGTCTGGAAAGATTTCAGTGGAAATCAATGAACTTACAGTTATGAGATGCTGGTGCTGAAATGCTGATGAAAATGTAGTCACGGAGTGCCCTGTAGTACATGCTGTGATTTGGTACCATTAAGAATCACCAATGAATCTATCATGAATGTTTTTTGGACTACTGGAGGGAGTTAGAGTTCCTAGAGAGCCCATGAGCAGTAGATCACATCTAAGAGTGAAACCTGGGACACCACTGTGCATCCAATAATTACACTGTTTCGTTTGAAGACCTTGTTCATGCCACATGTTTCTACAGAAGTTCCTAAAATATAAACTTTCCTGTTGCACTATAAGCCTAATAACCAACAGCAAAACAAAAGCAATGAGGTATGTCTTCCAGCTATGAGAAAAGCTTGTTAAAAGCTGTTATAAATAACCTTTCCCTTGAAACTATATCTAATAATATGGTTTGCATTGTATTTTCCTATTTTAATTCTAATCCAAAAATAATCCACCCACAGCCAACACTTTCTCAAATTTTGGACCTATAAACCACCTACGGTTATTTCTGCATAATAATAAATACTACATTAATCGGGGGAATGGGATCTGAGGAAAAATGTATACAATTTTTTCTCATACAAAGACTCTCAGTAATCTTTTGATTCAGAAGAAACCAAAGAGACACAAATTAGAGCTGGTCACCCACCTAAAATGATGTCACAGTGGAGATAAAAGAGAAATATTGTGTTTCTGTGACATCTCAAACAATAGTGCATGAAAGACACCTCAAAAAACCAAAATAGTTTCAAGACATCTGAAGTTAATTTTTGCTTCAGCTTTTAAAAATATATTCTAGATAAAATGTTGCTAAACAACTTTCATGTGTGTCCAGGACCACCAACCGATTATAGGGCTCCTATAGTAAAGCATGGAGGCGAGAAAGCAATGATATGGGCTTGAGTTATTAAACGGGTTGGAGATTTGCAGTCAGCTATATGGCAGTGAGTATCTTGGGATGTATATTATTATATATAAGTGATGTATAATGTGTCAAGCTGTTTCTAGTTTGCCCAAGGTTGGACAGAGGTGGAACATTCCAGCATGATCACAATACAGAGCAAATGTACAAACGTCAGATGCTTGTCATGTTTTTTGATTAATTTTTACAACAGTGCATTCATTTTAATATCACGACGGGTTAGTTTTTAATGTGAAATTGAACCTAAACTGATCGCTCATCATGTAAGAAAAACAATAACTTGGTAAAATATTTGAAATTCAGCTTGTATTGCTATCTAATAAGTGGAATAACTTTGGTTTTATACATCGCATCAAACTTTATATCTAGAATGAAGAAATGCTTTATCTCACATTTTGCCCATCTTTTCCTTTCCCTTGTGGTCCAGGAGGTCCTATCATACCGGGCTCTCCAGGTGGACCTTGGGGACCAGACTGTCCTGGTTTACCTGGTTCACCCTAAGAAAACAGAAAAAAATAGTTCCATCTACAACAAGCACTTCAGCAAATGCTTTGTATCATTACTCAATGTCATTTCTACCTTTAATGAAAAGTTTTATAGTACTTCAAATCTAAATCTAAGTCTAACCGTTCCTCATAAAGACTAAAGCTAAAGAAGACATAGAACATTTTTAAAAAGCCATTGATCGAAGACCTTCCTCTGTAGAAACACTTCTGCAAAACTGTAAGGAAACCAAAGACTTGACAGCATGTAAGAAAAGCAAGGACACTGAAACAAATCTGGAAAAAAAAATCTAGCTAAATATATTTGTGGCTTGTGAGGGAAGATGACTGACCTTGTCTCCTCTTTGTCCGGCTGGACCAGGAGGCCCAATGATCCCTGGTATGCCCTAAAATAAAGAGTTGATGACTGGCACTTACTGAAGCTAAAAACCAAGTTGAGAAGAGTTTTCCAGCTTATAAAACAAGGTTTTAAAGCTATTTGATTTATTATTATTTTCTAAACATACCACACTTCCTGGTAATCCACGGGCACCCTGAGGACCCGTTATCCCAGGTGGACCCTGTGAGGAACAACAGGGTTACACTGACAATTTGAAACGATAAAATCTCTCTGACATCAAGCGAGTCTCATCACAACTTACAGGGTCTCCAACGCGTCCCGTCTCTCCTGTGAGTCCAGTCTCACCCTTTGGACCCTGAAATTGTACACTTGGACTTATTAGACACATTCCTCTCAAAATGGCTGCTAAGGGAAGTCGTGAATGTACTACAAGACTCTTACCGGGGCTCCAGGTGGTCCCCTAAAACCCTGTTCACCAGGTAACCCTCTTTGACCCTTTGGAGAAGACACAATAGGTTATACATAACTGTAGATATGTCAGTGCTAAAACAATTCCAAAGCATTTCATTTTTAAATGTGAGCAGCTCTGCCTAATATAATGCAGTGGAAACATGAGGTTATAAAGCACCTAATTGAAATTGCCTAAAGTTTCTTCTCTCTCCAACTAAATATACTTAATATGTGAACTGAAGGGAATTAAGAACCAGGTCAGAGCATTATGTCTAGAAGAGTATAATAAGCTAAGCCAATCAGTGTCCCAAGAGCTAAAAGCAGTTTCACTCTGCTGTAAAATCTCTACTGACATCTAGTGGATACCTAAGTGTATTGCCAAATTTGTATTGACGAAAAGGTGTTAACAGGAAGATGAAAAGAAAGACAAATCCTCACAGTCTCTCCTGGTTTTCCTTGGTCTCCCTTTTCTCCTTTTTCTCCAGGCTTACCCTAAAGGTAATAACAAAGGCATCAGAAGAGAAGAAGACAAAGCATGTGATTATCAACCAAAGATCTGAGATCTCTCAGTGTGATGTGAAATATTACTTACAGGTTCTCCGAGCTCATTTACAACCTGTGGGCACAACAGATGACGATTAACCCCTTCTGAACTGAACATTAAGAGTAAAAGTACGCAGATGGAAATGGTAAGAAACGGCAACAAAATTCACTTACATTTCCTGGAATTCCAGGTAGTCCCCTTGCTCCCTCTTCACCCTGAGCCAAGAGGCAATATGTTCAGCCCGTATGCTAATAAAGTCATTACAACTCGCAGAGCAGGATAGCCTTTCCCGAAACATGGGGATGACTGTAGAACTATGCAAACACTGATGGATACACAAGAAGTTACAATTCACCTCGCAAATCCTGATTAATCATTTACCTTGTCACCCTTATCGCCTTTTGGCCCAACTGGACCCAGCAGTCCTCTTTCTCCCTGTGAAAAAGACAAAGCCAAGGAAGCTTGTTTTAAAAAATGTATATTGCAAAACATATGTGGATATCAATAAACACAATAGTGCATTTTATAACATATTATGTATTGCCACCTAATACATAATGTGTGTGGGTGAGTACTTAAGAACCCACCGGGAAGCCCCTGTCTCCTCTGGTACCAGCTGCACCTGATTGCCCAGGAGCACCAGCTTCTCCCTAAAAGTAAAAAAAAACATACATTTAATGGGTTTTTTAATGTATTTCTATGCAAATTACCTTCACAGGCACAGAAAAACCTGGGGTGAACTCACTCTCTCCCCTGGTGGACCTCTTGGCCCTGGAGGCCCTTCATCCCCCTGACAAGAAGAAGGAGCGCACATCAAAAGGTCAGCTTTGCATATGGAAAATACAGATGAGGTCTCGGGTGCATGCAGTGTGTGTTCTGTCACTCGTGTGCGTGTTTGTGAGCTTTCAGTGGCATTACCTTGTGTCCAGGCTTCCCAGGAAACCCATCTGTTCCACGCTCTCCCCTGGGCCCCTTCAAAAGCATTCGAAACGTTATATGAAGTGGAAAGTAAATGCGCAACTAGACCTTGCCACAAAATGGTTTCCATTTTCAAATCACAACCAGATAGCAAAACAAAAAAAACATCTCTCTATTGCCTCTTAACTGCTAGATTTGCAGCTGAATTATGAAATATCAGACCAACACATGATGCTACAAGTAAGAAGCATTCAAAATGACTGGTAGAACTTTAAATCGTGTGCAGGTTTCTTTTTTTTTTTCATTCAAGTTCCAAACTGACCATGGTTCCATCATTTCCAGGAAGTCCATCCAGACCATCTTTCCCCGGAAGACCCTTCAAAGATCATGAAAAGTCACTGACATTTAGTGAGGGGAAAAAAACACTTAAGACTTAAAGTGTTATGGACAACAAATGTTACTCTGGTTTAGGAATTAGAGGGTCAACTCACAGGCTTCCCAGGCTCTCCTGCTTTACCTGCTCTTCCAAATTCTCCCGGGAGACCCTTCAAAAAGAGCAGCAGAGGTATGTCAACACGCTCCGTATTTTCCAGCGCAGACTGACGGGTGGCCCAGTTAAATCAGAAAGTTCAACCAGAGCTTAGCAATAAGATGCCATGCGGTGATGACAGACCATCACTTACACGTGCTCCAACTTCTCCTTTTAATCCAGGCGGCCCCAGTGGACCCTGAGGACCCTTTAGATTAAAACAAATTCACTTCAATTAATTCAACACATCTCGTCCATGTTTCATAATGTAATTTAGAAAAAAAGAAGAAAATCACTAAGATGTTCACAGGACAGACTGTAATATGTGAAGTTAAGTGTTAACGTCCACTAGATGGGAGTATTTCACATTGTTTGCTGCTTACATCGATTTTGGCCCATACACGTTTTTACTCTTCCAACACACACAGCTACATTTTGAATAAACCCAAATATCTATGAAGGTGACAGAAAAAAATCTACTCCTTTCCAGTTCTACACTGTTTTAGCTGCATATTTATACAATGTTCAGCCAATTATTTTTAAGAAATTAGATATTATCAAATCAGTTGTGATATATCTTACAGTGAGATAACATTTTGTGTATGTTTGCCTTTTATTTACTGTTCTTCTATTCCCTGTGATGCATTGCTTTAGTCCATATGTCTTCAAAGACATATGATCTTTTATAAAACATATTTAAAAGCCGTTACTGTATCTAGCAGGCAAGAGCAACATCTAAAAGGAAAACTGAAGAACTAAGTGATTAAAAAAAAAAGCTTTCCATTCATTTTTTTAAAGCATGTAGGCTATCCTGCCCACTTTAAGACAAAGAAACAAGTCTAATTGTACATTTTCAAGAAAAGGGGTGGATTAAATGGGTAATGGGTTAAAAATATTGTAAATGCCACTCTACTGTTTTCAACTGTTTACATTGCTTTTCAGCAAGAGACGAGAAAAAAAAAGAACTTACAGGAGGTCCAGGAAGTCCATCTACTCCTGGCAACCCATTTTCACCTTTCTTTCCCTAGAAAAAGAAAAAACACAAGGCAGGATTAAAAACTAAACATGAAAACATTCTGTACACTTTAAGAGGATTTATTCATTATAAAACCAGCATTATAAAAGTAGCTTTTAAGTATTCTGTGTGGAAACTGTGTCTTCTTTGAGATGCTCTTGTCTGCTCTGTTGCCATTTTGAGCTACTGTGTACCGCGAAGGGAAAACATGGTGAACAATTTGTTTAAAAAGGACAAACAACCCCTTTAACATTTGTTATACAGAATTAGAATAAGGCCGGTTGTTGCTGTAGTCGGCTCTTGCTAAAAGCCGAAGCTAAAGGTAAATGTACAAAGGGTGTCTCTGCTGTTACATGCTTTTGTTTACGTCCATTTGAGAATAACTGCTGGAACAGAACAAAAAAGCAAAGGTTATACATCAGCTACACTACAAAACCAGCTAGAGAGCTATTTTATTTGTTTTTATAACCAGCACGACAACTTAATGAACTTTAGGCTAGTTGATGCTATGACTAACTCTTGCTAAGACATCTAACAGCTAGTTAATGCTTTGGTCCATTGTTGCTAAAGCTGAAGCTAAATTAAAAAAGGTTATCTCTGCTCTTATCTGTTTATGCCAATTGGAGACTACTAGAATAAAACAAATAAGCAAAGGTCCCGAACAAAGCCAGCTGGAAAACTATTTTGTTTGGTTTTTTTAAGTAGCAAGACAACTTGTTAATAAACTTTAGGCTTGTTGATGCTATGATCAACTCTTGCTAAAACATCTAACAGCTAGTTAATGCTTTAGTTGATTCTTACGGAACCCCCTAGGGGACATGGGGAATTTTTTTTCTTTTGTGTTCCCTCGCAAAACCTTTTGCGTTCCCTTGCAATATTTTTGCGTTACCTCGCAAAACCTTTTGCGAGGTAACGCAAAAGTTTGAGGCAGCGTTCCGGAACCAGACGACAATGGAGCAGACAGTACACTCGTACTGTCTGCTAAATGTTAGTTATGTTAGCTTTTTATGTTTATTTTGACCTGTACAGCACTTTGGCAACTTCGGTTATTTTAAATGTGCTCTATAAATAAAATTTGACTTGACATGACTTAAAACATATACAACAGAGCATGGATGCAAGAAAATGTATATGTGCTTTATATAACTTCATAGTTTGAGGTTTTAGAAAGCACCCAACGCAGTCAGTATGCAGAATAGCAGACGGTACACTGCTCCATTGTCGTCTGGTTCCGGAATGCTGCCTCAAACTTTTGCGAGGGAACGCAAAAATATTGCGAGGGAACGCAAAAATATTGAGAGGTAACGCAAAATTATTGCGAGGGAACGCAAAAGAAAAAAAATTCCCCATGTCCCCTAGGGGGCTCCGTAGATTCTTGCTAAAGCTGAAGCTAAATTTAAAAAGGGTATCTCTGCTGTTATCTGTTTATGCCTATTGGAGACTACTAGAATAAACCAAATAAGCAAAGGTCACACTACAAAGCCAGCTGGACAGCTATTTTGTTTTTGTTTTTTTAAGTAACAGGACAACTTGTTAATGGCTATTTGATGCTATGGCCAGCTCTTACTAAGGCTACATTTACAAAGCGGATCTTTCTAGAAGTAAGATGACCAAGTCTTGCCAGACGGGTTTTGGCTTGACTCTGCGGCTCAGCTAAGCAGCTGCACATGTCGGTTCCAACGCAGCGCTAATGAGAAGTTAAGTGTTCCAAGGGGATAAGCCAAAATGGAGGTCACTAAATTTGTAAATGTTTTGGAAGAACAAATTTTGTACAACCGCTGTGTCTGTTTTACTTACACACCACTGGGAGCTGCTACTACACTGTCTCTGTTATTACCTGTACCTGTTTATATTCAGATGCTAACTCTATATATCTTATACACTAAAAAGCCTTTTTTAAGCTCTTTTATATGTAAAGTAACATTCATATAGTGTAGGTTTTTGTAATTATCCACAGTATATTTATCACCAATCCTACATACAGACCTCACTGTACCTGTTAGCCAAGCAACAACATTTTGTTGTCAAATTTGAACAAGCGAAACTTTAAAAAAAAGTAATTCTACAAAGCAGGGACAACATCTGCAAGACCAACTTAGTTTAGCATAAACAATAAAACGAATCAGCTTTCTTATGTCAAACAAATCAGGCAGAAATTCAATTAGTGCAGTGTGGAACATGTTTAAGCCTCTAATGGTGGCAGATGGTTACAGGTTTTGTATTAGAGCCTCTCCATAGTGCACAGATGTATATAGATTAAGAGTATATAGATGGAGAAGAAAAGAACAACAACAGTAAATCTAATTTTGCCTTTTCAATGATATTCCCTCGAAAATGAGCATTTATTGTTGAGCAAATAAATGGGCCGCATCTGCTCAGGGGAGTAAAGCAATCACATTCAAATTAAAAGATCGGTGGTTTGATTCCCAGCTTCATATCAAAATGTCTTTGGGCAAGATACTGAATCTCAGGTTGCCTAAATGTATCCATAACTTCTTTCCTTGTAAGTCGCTCAAAGTAAACAAATACATGACTGATAAATCACTGCTCTTTGTCATTATTTTTGTCAGAACGCTCCTAACTAAAAAAAAGATTGAATTGCCCTTGTCCAAATAAAGCAGATTACAAAAATACGTGTGCACCCTGAAGTACAATTACTCCTGCAATCAGATCAGAGCCCCCTCTGCAACAACACGGAATAAGCTGGTACAAATACTGGACAGATGGATTTTCTTTTTAGCTGAACTAAAACTAAATGAGTGTAGCACATACTCCAAAGTTCTTTTTCATCTGAATATGAGAAACCCGAAAACAAGACGATAAAAAAACTGGTAATGGATTCCACCTTGTTTTAGCCAGTGGTGTAATTGGTGAACTGGAAAAGGCTTTTTATCAACAACCAGAGCGGAGCAAATTGTCACTTTTGTAGAGTTGTAGATTATTATTTGGTTGGAAATTCAATTTCCTCATATGGTTGTTTTCCTGACATTTAGTTTGTTGATTTGGCTAACCCCCTATACTCAGAATAGCTTAGTTTAGCATCATGAATAACAATGGCAACATATTAGCCACTTCAGTGTTTTTAGGTATTTGGAATGAGGTCCTGGCTGGTCAGACACCATAGTAGAAGCCCCTGGTCAAGCACTGATCAATAAATTGCATTTTTCCCATTACGTAACAACCCACTTATGTGGAAATTTGTCACAAAATATTTATTTAATTATTATAATAAATGCAATTTATAATGTATAAATGAATAATTTGATACATTTCAACATTACATTTTTCATCTGTGACATGAGATAAAAAGAAATTTAAGAACCAGAACAGGTCCTAATTTGGAGGATTGTGGGGTGATTTAATGGTATGGTCATCCAGAAACCCCAAGGCTTCCTGACCAGTTTTAAATTAGTAAATAACTTTTATTTTGCCTTGACCCCTACATATTACTGGGACATATTAATACATGTTTTGAACTATATGTAGATAACACATCTTTTACTTTGCCTTCAATATGATCAGGCCAACCACATTCAGTCGGTTCCAGACATGAGGAGATCCTTACCCTTTGGCCATACTCTCCAGGGCTACCGGGCAGACCCTGCAGACCAGGAGGGCCCTGAAGAATAAACCATCCCTGTTAGAATGTCTCCAGACAGTATGGCAGAGATTTCAATCAACAGAAGCATGCATGGCTTTTCCTCAAACAAAATATTCAAAGCTAATAATTATTTGGAATACGTACGGGAGGTCCTTGGGGGCCCTCTGGTCCTTGAGGCCCAGGAAGCCCAGCTTCTCCCTAAAACCATTTAAACAAATGTTCATTTGTAACATGTTTAAGACTCAGATCACAAATGAAGATCAGCTGCCACTGGTGTATTTTTAGAGCATCTCAAATTCACCATTATTCATCGGTACAGCACATCTATTGTTCTGAACTTCTGCTCCTACAAATGAAAAGCTCGAAGCCTGACTAGGTAGATTATCTAATTATCTCATGAAATACTTGGTAATACGATTCACAACAACCATTTCTAATTCTAATTCAGAGTTTTTAGATTTTCAGACCATTTCACAACTCCTAAACAGAATTTCTTGTCACTTGAGCCTCTGAAATAAGAGACTGACTGTATGTTTTAGTATGAGTTCTTCCATTTTGACGACCCTTTAAGCGCATGCTTAAAGCAATTTCATAGAAATCCTGATCAATTCTGACAATCTTTGTAAAATGGCAGACTTTTTTTCAAATACAAAGATAACACTAGACAAAAAAATATGTGCAACTGGCTTTCATAAAAATCGAGCAGTCACACTCATTGAAATTTACAATACTGCTTTTGATAAATTACTCACCTTTTCACCTCGTAGGCCTTCTTTTTGAAACTGAAATCAAGAAAATATAACCATTTATAATTTATCATTATCATAAAAATATGCAATATTATTTATTTTCTATTTGGCAAGCTAAACTGATTTTTTTTTAAATGCCAAAGGATAGAAAACTGTTAAGATCTAACAATACTGCACATATACATTTTAACACATAAGTACATCAATAAACAAAGACAGTGACACTGTCATAAGAATATTAATAATTTAACATCTGGCAGAACTCTTGTTTTAGCTCCTTTTTGTAATTCTTCACATATGGACCCAGTGATAAACTGCATTCCTTCTGTCTGGTAAACAGCACCACCTATCGTCACTCAGCAATTTAACACTCACCGGGACACTTTTGGTCATCACTACCTGGTCTTTCCTGTCTAGTTGTTCTCCATTTATATCTAAAACATCTAGACTTCTAGAGAATTCTTATCCCCTTTAAAAGCATTTTAGCACCTACCACGTCTCCAGGTAATCCAGGAAGTCCTCTCTCCCCCTGTGAGCGAGTTCACACAAAAATAACAAATATCCCCTTATTAGAATCTTAAGACCTTTAGGGAATAAACCCCTCCATAACCAACTGGAACTGTAAGTGATGAGACGGGTTATATTAAACTGTGCCGTTACTCTGGGCTGAAGCAGAGTGAAGTTCCACAGCACCTCTTTATATACATGTGTTTGTTAGTCCTCCGGGTGTGGTATTGTTAGTATGTGAGCATCATTGGAAGAAACATCAAAGGCAGTAATTAGGGCCAGACAAATGAACTGCCTGTTTTAATTTCTTCGACACATGAGTGGGCTGACTTTGATGGAGCGCAGAGGAGACTGAGGAATGTCTGGAGGAAGCAGACGGTAGCCTGGGAAACGTCGGATGATACCCTTTAAAAAAGATTTATACCAGCACCACTTCCAAACATTATGCTTGCGGCAGTATCCTCTGGGAATGGCATCTAGTTGAGTTAAAATAATGTTTTGCATGCAGAACAACAGGGAGAGGGAAAACCTTGTCGCCTTTAATTCCGTTGGGCCCGGGTGCTCCGACCAGTCCATTCAAGCCCTAAGGAAAAATATGTAGATAAGAGCTGATTTAACATGAAACAGAGGTCACAAATCAACAACTGTGTGTTAGCTTCAGGATCATGAAAATATGATAATGACTTACATCCTTTCCAGGAAGGCCAGGTTTTCCCGGAAATCCATCCACACCAGCTTCACCCTAAAGTGTTTTTTTTTAAAAATATATTTGAAAATAAATAAATAAATGAAATAAAATAAAACAAATACAAAATAATAATAATGATATGTATAGATATATACATTAAATGTTTCTAAATGGAGGCAGGTGCATCAGTCGGATTAAATTTTTCTCACACATAATTTAATTAATTTAATTAATCCAAATGTGTTGAAAAAAATAAAACACACACACATTGTCTGTTTACATCTACAAGTATGATACAGATTTAGTTTAAGGGTTTACTAAGAATAAAAGGTGAAGCCAGGGAACATCCAGTTGTGTGTCATTAAATATTAAAAGGATGATCATCCAGCACTTTAACCTCAATTGAAATGGCACCGTGTTAAAAACACTATCATAAATGTGCTATTTATACTAGTTTGACATATACTTATATGCATATGATAATTGTTTTTGCGATACATAGAACAACAATAAAGTTCCAGTTATTTGTGCTCTCACACTATTTTCCTTGTTCTCATTACTGGCATAATTGTTTTATCAGCAAACTTTGCGTCACAAGGTAATTGTAATTCAATCAAAAACCTTGGCCAAAGAGGCAGATGTGTATATACAGTCACAAGATAAAATAAAACCTCATAAGATACTATCACTTTTTCTGAGTTGACCTCAACGTCTGCATTTATGCTAAATCTACGCAAAAACCATCTGCTAGCATTTTTTCTTGCCCAAAGATGTTATCAGTATGAGCAAAATTGACATAACCACAGTCTATGCCACTTGTTTTTGCTTCCTTTTGCCAGGTGGTTTTAAAGACAAATTTGAAACCACACAAACAAGTTATTATGGTCCCTGTAATGTGGACATACATTTCTGGAATGACTATATCAAGTTATTTATCCATTACATCATAAGTTAGCATACAGAAAACAAACATTAACTTAAAAAAGGTTAGCATAAATATTAAGTTACAGTGATAGAAAATCAAATGAGCACTTTGTGTACAGCAATTTTTATCTTTGGGACACTGTATAACTTCTCTCATGAGGCTAATTTTTATGGCTAATGCTTATGTAAAATTAAGACTGTGTCTTTCGTGAGGATTCCTTGTGTTACTGTATATTAAATTAGATTTATACATTATAAACATAAGCTGAGAGCATCTCTTGGAGCAGTGTGCATAACCACAAACACATTCCTGACTTTCTAGTCAACTACCGCTCAAACATCAACCCCATGTGCCTCCTCCACATCACCTAGCCCCTTTATCATCATAAAGAGACAAGTACTTTTCCAGTAGTTTGCACCTACAGGAAATTGCTCACTGATTGACACGGACAGCTCTAAACCGGGCCGCAGCATGACTGAGTGAAGGTGTAGCGTTCTCAGAACCCGATACAAATCCTCAAACCATCTGGCAAAGTAATTTGTGTACCAATTCTGTTTTTTTTTAGGTTTAAAGCCACCTGTGGAAGTCTTAAGTTGAAATTCAGGCCGGCTTCTGAGCATGATAAAATCATTTTGATACATTTTGCTGATGTGATTAAATATGCAATTTGAAACATTTTAAGTTCTGAGGATGAGAAAATCCTGACAAATAAAATCGACAGATCTCACAACCTAAATAAAAACCATTTCGAATATTTCCAGTTAAACCTTTCTCAGAGTTGTTAGAAATCTTTACTGTTTTCTAACATCACTATGATATAGACAGAGGGAAGCTTTTAACATCTCAAAGGAAACTTTAGACCTCAACAAAGCCCAAACACACCCACACAAAATTCCAGACAGGAAGCATGGAGAGTAAATCAAGAAAGCAACATCTGTTTGCACAATTACTCTCCTCTATTCTCAGTTCTCCTGAGAAGAATGATCTCACTTTCTCAGAAGTAAACCCTGATATCAGGATTTCCAGCTAGGTTAAACCTGGAATCATGGTTCAGATCTCAATGGGTGCGGGCAAAAACACGGATTCGGAAAGTAAGCGAGGACGGGGACGATTGTTTTGATTCATAGGAAATATTTTGGTCAAAAGGCTAAAAAGAAAGCGGAAAATGACTGTAGTTACATACTATGGGCTCTTTAAGGAACTTTTAAATAATGCAGTAACTTACCCTGGCTCCTGAAGTTCCTTTTTCACCTTTTCCACCAGAATCCCCCTAGTGACATGATAGGATGATTTCCAAAGCAACATTGTTAGCCGTCATCAAATGCTCTCTGATGGCAGTGAGGTGCGTTACTCACAGAAACGCCCTTTAGTCCAGGAGCCCCAGGACTCCCCGCATCCCCCTGGATTCCCTATAAAACAAGCAACGATGCAACGTTTGTGTGGGTGGGAGTTGCTCAATTGGGACCAGTGCGCTGCCGAGTCAGCACACTGGCCTCTCAGCCAATCCGGGACTGAATCACTGTAGGAACTGCTACAAAATAACTGAGAAAGATCCAATAAATGTCAATAAAAAAGAAAGCAAACAAGGACGTAACGTAAGACGAATAAGGATTTTCACACAACTGTGTTGACGATTAGATACACTGTCAGTGTTCATGAAGGCCATACTTGTCTTTTTCTTATTGTCTCTTACAAAGTCTGTCACCTACGAGACTTGGTGCTTGTTTAGTCCAAGAGACTGACACATTTCTTGTAAGCAGGACTGTTTTCTTTATCTGATGTGCAAAAGTCTAACTGAAGTTTGTCTGCTAGTTTTGAGCTGTTGAGACATATTTAGCATTACTGAAAATATAGAAAAAGTACTTGCAGACTGGAAAAGATAAACAGAAGGCAAATGACTCCATTCAAATACGTATATTTGCACATATATTTGCTTATTTTTTTTACATGTTGAGAGATTTGTAGTAGGATTGTGTTCATGGCCAAATTGCTGTTACTACAACATTTTCTCTTTTGCTCTATAAAAACTGTTAAAATGTCTTGCTATCCTATTGCCCTCACAGTTTCACCAAAACTGTGGATTCTCGTTACCTTTTCAATAATACAGTTCTCCTTTTTGCTATTTTCTTCTTTCATACGTCTGCTTTTTGTAAGTCTTTTAAAAAAGAAAATTCTGATGCTTTGTTCTATCAAACAGCTGTTTGTAATTTTAGACATGTTTTATTTTGTCTTAGCTGGTAAGACAGATCAGTACCTCCAAGCCAGTAGCCCCTCTGCCACCAGAAGAGATAACAAAATTATACTCAAAGGCCTGGTACATCACCTGCAGTCTTTCTTGCCTCAATAGCAAAAAAAAAAGAAAAAGAAGCTAATCTTGAGAATGTATTGTAACTGGAGACAATTCTTTCCTTTATCATGGTTGGCTATTGCTTTTAGACCATTCGTGAAACCAAATGTAGCACCTTTACCTCTTTATGCTGTCTCTCTCAGAGTCAAACAAAATAAAAGTATGTGTAATAAAGAGAACAAGTCATAAAAACTGAAAGAACCATAGCTATTTAGAATTGGTATGTTCCTTTCTGGATCTTGTTTTTTTTTTTTCGCTAGTTGAAATCTGTTTATAGAAGAATAGTGCTGACGAAATCTATGAATGAAATGCATAGTTTAAAAATAAATCAATAATAAATAAAACATCCCATTCACCCACCTTCTGTCCAGCTGGACCAGTTTGACCTGGAGTGCCAGACAATCCTGCTTCTCCCTAAATATAATATAACGTAATACAAACAAGAACATGAATATTTGACCAAAAACATTTCAGCAAGCATGATGTAACAGGGCCGGAATCTTTTACTGATACGAAAAAGCTCTATTTCTTACTTTGTCTCCTTTGTCACCGGGTAAACCGTCGATACCTGGAATGCCCCCGAGGCCCTGTAAAATGATTGAGAACACCCATAAATACCAGGACAGGACTGTTTCTTTAAGGCTTAAAAACAGTATTTGAAGGCCTTCTCCACATCCTCCGGTTCACACCTTCTCTCCCTTTTGTCCAGGAGCACCTGTCAACCCTATACTGCCTCTATCACCCTGTAAATTAAAAAGAAACGGTTTAGTTTTTTGGGTTTGTGAAACACGGGCATGCAGGTCGGCTGGAACGGGCGAAGATGGCGTGCTGTCAGAAAAATCAACCTACAGGCATCACGGAACTGTTTAGTACAAAGGTTAGCACCAAACCTAGCACAAAGGATTAGGATCTTATAATGGACTTGATTATTAAAACATAGGAACATAAGGGTTACACAGACAAATGACATATTAGACAAAAGAGATGTTGAAGCTTCACAGAGGACACAAGGAGGTAAACAAACCGCTAAAGGCTTTATAAGGACCCACTATGGTCCCGATAAAGAACATTCGACCAAACACCAAAGAGGCAGTGGCTCATTCCACTGTGTTGCAGTTTTGGATTGTAGACTGATGTCATACCCAGTTCCCCTGAATCCAAAACGGGACCGGGTAAAAGGAAAAAAAGTAATGGCTGGCAAATTACACAGTGCAGCAAAGTCCTGCCCACCACAAGGCTTCACTTTGCTTCATCAACCACTTTACAAGTCACAGAGGGTTGCCCTTAAATTATCTCATGCTCCTTTCATATTAGCACGCTGCATTTCTCGCATCGTAGAGATTAGGAAAGACCCCCCCCCACCCAGCATTGCTGTGCCCTAAAACCCAAAAGGTAAATGGCCTACAACAAAAGCGCCACACTGGGGCTTTTTCCCGCTCCGGTCAGCTAAAGAGGCAATTAGAGGCGATCGCAGCGGTGTGGATTCACTTTCACCCCGTGCGGCTAGACGGCCGACTTTAACTGCAGCGGGGAAGCCTACGTCATGCGTCTGCTCACAGTCTAGAAAAGTTTAAGCCGCGCAAACTGCTGTTTGTCCGGCGGACAGAGGCCAAGACAGATGCTTAAGCAGAAGGTAACAAGTGGAGAAGCAACAGGGATGCCGCACATTAAAGTGGGATTTAATGTGCTCTCATTTTCTCGTTTTTATTTTCCCCCTGTGGGAAGGACCACAAAATGAATAAATAGACAATGACTGAATGTATTCTTTACATCGGAGTGAAGTGGCCTGCTCTCCCTCCCTCTGTAAACCAAAAGATTCTAACTGTAAACAAATAAACGGAAAAAGCTTTATAAATAAAAAGGCAAATTATTGGTTTCATGACTTACTAAAGGCCATCGTAAGTGTCCTTTTCAGGAGCATGCAGTGGTGGAGAAAGTACTCAAACAATGTACTTGAGTAAAAGTACAAATACACAGACAAAAATGTACTCAAGTAAAAGTCAAAGTACCACATTATTATTTTACTTAAGTAAAAGTAAGAAAGTACAAGCTTTTAAAACTACTTAAGTATTAAAAGTAAAAGTACTTGCCAACCATAATACCTAACGGCTTATATAATGTCATTAAGTGTACCTATCGTATTTAGTTTTAATAAATCAGTAATGTACCATTTTAATGAGCAATGTTGCAGATAAAGCATGTTTTTATTGTGTTTACCCCCTATGACAGTTTAGATTTAGATATTTTATGCAGGTCTTGCGTACTGTGCTGCTCTTCTTGAGGGAGGGCCTAATGGTTATTTCCCGCTTTGTACAATACCGAAGTACTTGTACTTCGTTTCTTCCCACCACTGGGAGCATGTGACTCCTCGTTTACGCTTGCACATGTCCAGCAATCGCTTACAACTGCCCCCAAACGGTCCTGCCTTGCAATTTTGACATTAACCACCAAAGAAGCCACTCTGAAAGTAGACGCGTCAAGTTTGAAAAACATAAAAAGCTAGAAGGAAGGAGAGAGGCGTGAAAAAGATAGATTTCCAGTTAGGGATTAGGAGATTTGTTCTGTGCACATGCAAAGGAAAATATTCGTAGTGTCCTGCAGACATCTCTTGAGCTTAGGCGACGCATGCACAGTCGTGTTTACTTACCTTCTCACCCCTGCCACCTTTGACAGAGGTAACTTTGCCCTGCAAATAATTAATCGATAAGGATCAATTATTATCGAGGCATGAAAAGAAGCAGAAGAGCTGGAAGGCATGCAGTATGAAATGACTTCAGTTTGATTAAAACTGAAGTGATCATACATTTTCAAAGCTCAGACTGGATTATAAAGTAAATTAGCGATATGTCATTTAGGCTATTAGCCTATTTTCCCCTGCATTATGTAAAATGAAACATATGTGATCAGGGACACAAAAAACTTTCATACAGCTTCTCCTTTGTCTCCTTTGATGCCCGGTGGTCCGGTGGCACCCTTAGGGCCAAAGTCTCCCTAAAGAAACGTAAGCATTGCACAATAAAAAAAACCAGAACAGAAACAGGGATGCTGTAATCTTGTGTTTCACACACAAGCTAGTGCAGAATTACGATGGTAGATGACCTTTTCACCCATTGGACCCACAGCACCAGGTGCACCGATGGCTCCCTGCGAGAAATGAGAATGCAGCCGTCCTTTGAAAGCCATTAAAGAGATGGATTCCCACTCGACCGTGGAAATAATAGACAGGGATAAAGGAGTTTGGAAGAGTCAAGTGGCTTTACCTTCTGCCCTTCAGGGCACGAGCAGTTCGCCTGAGGGCCTCGCTTCTGCTCCACAACAGCAGGGGTTGGAAATGGAATCGGCACTGGCGGAGCCTCCGTCACAACTTTCTTCGGACACTGAAACGATACAGTTTACCCGGAAAGATGAAACAGAAGCCTGCAAATGGTAAGCAGCACAAGTCTGAGCATGGCATTACGCCCCAGGATGTTCATACAACAACCCAATGACCAGCTTTTGGTCAAATTTGAAGAATCTCATCAGTTCTAAGTTGTCTTGCTGAATCATGAGCAGGTCAGTCAGCTAGAGAAACAGTGTCTACGGTATGAGGAACAGTCCCTACGGTGTGTAGTTTAAATAGAAATTTATGCCATCCATCCATCCATCCATCCATCCAACCACAGCAGGGAAACCCCGACTTCCCTCTCCCCTGACACTTCTGCCAGCTCCTCCATGGGGATCCCGAGGCATTCCCAGGCCAGCCGGGACACATAGTCCCTCAAGCGTGTCCTGGGTCTTCGTCTGGGCCTCCTCCCGGTGGAACACCTCACCAGGGAGGCGACCAGGATGTATCCTAATCAGATACCCGAACTGCCTCAACTGGGAGCGGTTCTACTCCGAGCCCCACCCAGATGGCTGAGCTTCTCACCCTACCTCCAAGGGAGAGCCCAGCCACCCTGCGGAGGAAACAAATTTTGGCCGCTTGTATCCTCTACAGTACATCGTTCGTTCGGTCACTACTTAAAGTTCGTGGCCATAGATGAGTGTGGGAACGTAGATTGACTGATAAATCGAGAGCTTTTCCTTTAGGCTCAGCTCTCTCTTCATCATGACAGCGCCCGCATTACTGCCGACACCGCACCAATCCGCCTGTCGATCTCCCGCTCCCTACCCCCATTCGCAAAAAAGACCCTGAGGTACTTGAACTCCTCCACTTGGGGAAGGACGACCCGGAGGAGGCACTCTACCCCTTTCTGGTGAGAGACCATGGTCTCTGACTTGGAGGCACTGATCCTCATCCCAGCCGCTTCACACTCTGCTGCGAACCGCTCCAGCGAGAGCCGTAGTTCACAACTTGATGAAGCCAACAGGACCACATCATCTGCAAAAAGCAGAGGTGTGATCCTAAGGCCACCAAGACAGACACCTTCAACACCTTGGCTGCACCTAGAAATCCTCCCATAAAAGTTACGAACAGAACCATAGACAAAGGGCAACCTTAGCGTAGTCCAACTCTCACCAGAAATGTATCCAACTTACTACTGTCGATATGAACCAAACTCTGACTCCGGTCGTACAGGGACCGAACAGCCCGTAACAAACAGCCCGGTATCCTATACTCCTGGAGCACGCCCCACAGGATTCCGCGAGTGACATAGTCCAACGCCTTCTCCAAGTCCACAAAACACATGTGGACTTGTTGGGAAAACTTCCATGCACTGTCCAGGACCCCGCTCATGGTATAGAGCTGGTCCATTGTTCCACAGCCAGGACGGAAATCATAGTGCTTCTCCTGAGTCCGAGGTTCGACTATCTGATGAACCCTCCTCTCCAGAACCGCTGAATAGACCTTCCCAGGGAGGCTTAAGAGTGTGTTTCAGAAGAGTGAACCCACCCTACGGGTAAGTTCCAATTACAGAAATTGATCAGAATCAGAATCACTTTTGGTCTAAACATTAAAAGAGCCAATAAATTAGGACAGAAGTAATAATCAAGCAGGACAGAAGTCTACAGCACGTCTCCTAGATAATCCAGAGGGCTATTAGCTCTTAGTTAAAGTGTAGAACTGGAACTGTCTAAATTACCATCCAGTAACATAGTGATGCTCATGCTAACTAAGACATTACTTAGTAAAAATTTGAAAATGTTTGATTTCTGTGCAATGTACATTAATAGTGCAATAAAACATAAAACAACAAAAAAGGTTGGGAAAATCAAAACTAAATTAAATTAATGCCACTGAAAAAGGGATCTGTGAACAGGATTTTAGATTATGGCACATGTTTGGTTCCCAGGATTAAATATCAGATTTATCTCCCAATGTAGCCCCACATGGCTCAACAAAAATAAATGAAAACGGGTTTTAAAAAAATTCCAGGTTCCAACAGATGGATCCATTTAGGACCACTTGAACATTCGCTCAATAATCCACGATGAATGAGTCTTATGTTCACTCTGGTGTTACAGAGTTAATCATTTTCTATCTCCTATCCTCTTATACCCCATCAGATAAAATAAGATATCCATGCTTCTTAAGTCTGGTTTTTATGGCACTTTATACCTGTGAAGAGGGAGATTTCTTCTTTTCACAGTCTCCCCGTGTACGCTCACTAAGTGAAAATTTGTTGGTTTTCAGTGGCTCTGTATTTTGCTTTGAAGTGGACCAGGTTGGAACTTCTAAATCTTTGAAGTATAGAAAGATTTACATCAATTGGAAAATGGTGATGATAACTAAAGTTGATCTGCATTGCACTAATAGAGAACTTGCTAGGGGGTGGTGCAGATAAGTGCTTATTAATTTCAGACAGTACAGAGGTTGTTAATAACTATACAGTGGATATTAGGTGTCATTTGGGGTAGCATATTCAAGCTAAAATCTGTGAGTATGACAGTACCAACAGAGACATTTCCCTAAAAAATTATGTGCACCGTATAGATGTCTAATTTTTATAGCTGCAATTCAAACTACGCTACAAAATAGCTCATTCACAGCACAGTGAACTATATTGTGATCTAGTGGATGTCTGAAACCAAGCCAAAGATTCTCAGATATCTTATTATAAAGTAGTTGTAAGATGATTAGCACAATTTAAAGTGATTTATTGGCTCAAACAATTGGCCGAAATGCCTTCCCCTTTCATACCACATCAACAAGCCGCAGTAGCAAAGCTGAATATTTGGAAGTTACCAAGTCTGGAGACCGGTCACAATGAAGATGTTTCAGTCATTTTGTGTCTCAGCACCCCTAAAGGTTCTGCTGGTGTCATACTCACAGGCCCATTGGGGAGATCACAGCAGGTCTCCAGCTCTGCATGCTTGGAATCACAGTAAATCATCATCCTCTGGAGGTCAAACTGCAAGAAGACGGGCGGACAGTTATGATAAGATCAACCTCCAAGAGAAGGAGCTTCCGTAGATAAAATGTGTCAAGCATGAAGGCGGAGACTCACGTCTATCGGCACGCTGTCATAAAGCCTCTTTCCAATTACTGTCTTCCCCTGGATATCTATGTCCTCCCGGTCCTCTATTGGCAGAGTCTGGATGTGTTTGCAGTCCAGGTAGAGGGCTACAGACTTGGCTTCGACGCGGAGGGCGATCTTATGCCAATTGCGATCAAAGAGATTGTCGACTTCGGGGTTCCTGAACACGGCCCTGACAGCATCTTTTGTCAGCCCTACAGCGTTGTACTCCACCGCCTTGTTCTCACCGTCCAGACGGATGGACACCTGACGAGTCAGAGGTTAATGCAAATTACACATTTCCAGCAAACCATAAGCAGTTTGGTTTGACAAGGAGACGAATGTTCAGTGAACCGAGCCTAATTTAAGCTCAAGAGTTAAATTTATGACCGTTTACATTTAAGTCCACCCACCTGTGGGATTCCATATTTGTCAAAAATCTGCCAGAGGTACCAATCTTCACGTCTTGAGGTTTTTCTGAATTTGAACGTTGTGACAAAGGCGTACTCATCTGGCAAACCTTGAGAAAACACGTCTCTGGAGGGTAAAAGAAAAGCCTTGATGGTTTATTTTCATCGTTGCACTTGATGCAATAGACAAACTTTAAACAATAATGTGTAAAATCACTGTCTGTGTTTCGTCTAACCAGCGCACTGTTTATGACCCAATGTTTAATATTCTCAATAAAACACTTAAAAGACATGTGAAATTGTAATTTTCATAATGATATTGAGCTTGATATTTGTTAAGTGGAGCTGGTCTTGCTACCTCTTTATCGTGTTGCCAAGGTTATGGCAGAAAAGTTCACCCATTCTATGAGACAGGACTAAAACCGAACCAAAACTTATTCTGACTACATTTTTAAATGCCTGGACACATCTTATAGAAATTGGCCATAGTACAGTAATTGGTTCGTGTTATTCCTAACAGGCTGATTACAAGCATATGGCTGAGTATGTGTTGCTGAGCTGCTGTATCTATTAATCTCTAGTTAAAATTAGTCATGAAAAGGGTCTATTTAAGCCTAAAACATAAATATAAAGCTTAACAATGTTGCTCAGCTTTCTTACCAATATATTAAGAGTCCCGCATGGAATGTGGACTTACTTTCTTTTGGGTAAAAGTCAGGGAAACAAATTAGATTTAAATCTATATCTAGCTTTCTGATATGAGAGAATAATAAATAGTGTTATCAAAACTAATGTAAAAAAGAAAGGGGGGAAAAAACAGGGCTAGATAACAGCCCCAAATGTGTTTTTAGATTGACAAAATTCCATTTTCACAGAAATTGTATTTAATCGCCACTTGTAAGAATCATCAATCATCTGCAAAAATACCATTTCAAATTCTTGTCATGCCGAGTGATGTAATCATATCTTAATGCAGTAGATTCTGGAAACAAATAAAGCTTTTCTGTGTCTGGGTCATTTGCAATTATAACTGGAAGTATAAAGCTGGTGTGTGTTATCTAAAATTGGCAGACCCTGTTCCTCATAAGGTGGATGGGATTGTGGTCAGAGGGGGCTCAGCAGAAAAGTGCATACTCTGATCCTATTCACTTTTGCTGAGCTTTAAGATCCTATCTTTCGATAGATTTTGAGGAGAATGTGAGATGCACTGAATCTGAAGGCTTGCCAACTTACTCTGTTTGCTGCACTATGGGCATGGTGCCGAGGCGAACGTATGAACTCTGGCCTTCATCCTCTCGGCTTCCCAGAATATCTTTCACACTGAAGTGCTCCATCAGGTCAAAACCTGCAGCAACACAGTAAAACAGCTCGACTGGGCTCCAAACTTTCAGTCACACATATGAAAAAGCGCGGCGGGCTCTCTAGTCTTGGGGTTTACTTCTGGTTTTGTCAGATCTTGTGGTGGTGCGCCTGAGTCTAACTAGGTCAGTCCTACCACACCCTGCAGCCACTTTTTGGGAGAAAAGTTGAACTCATCGTGGAACCAACAGAAAACAGGGCCGTTTGCCGAGACTCTGAGAGGTTTGTTAGCTTTTCCACCGGAGGATAAAAGCGGTGGCCATCGGCAGTGAGGTCCTCCTGTGAGCACGTCCATGCGTGTGCAACGTGTGATTAGAAGTGGTTCGACCACAGGCCGTACTTAGGTGGTTTAAAAAGGATACTCCCTTTCGCTGCAAACAAGTGCTGTAGCTATGGTGATGCCAACAAGAACAGAAGTTGTGCTTGTCGGTAGCTGTGGAGGCTCTCGCTGGAGGCCAGGTGCTGGCATTGCGTGAGTCCACTGAGAGAAAAACGTGCCTTTATGGCATGAAGGGATGCGGAAAGGTTCAGCATGCAGTAAAACCTGTGGGTTGTGGGATTTCCGGTGGGAATATCAGCACTAGAGCTTCAAAGTGGAACCTAGAGCTTTAAGGTAAGGTAACATGAGAGTCTGGAAAAAGGTTTGTATGTGTCTTTAGGAGGTAAAACACAGGCCCCAAAGACAAAAAAAAAACACTTTTGCGCACAATAGCTGTCACTGATAACTTCAAACTTTATTCTCTCTGCACTCTAGAGGGTGGGATGTGTCTATGTGCTGGTTATTCATTAGAACTTTTCAGGGGACATTCGTCTTAGACTTTTGGAAACCATCTGTTCACTCTGATCAGTGTGAGAAGAGACCAGGAGAGGGTGCTATGTCTTCTGTGCTTTAAAACACAGATTTGGCTGTTTGGAGTGCTGCTGCCATTATTGTATTAGACCATCAACACTGGATACAAACAAAGCCTTACAGGACTTTTTATTTTGCCTTAAAACTGCTCTAGTGTTGAGCATTTCATAGAGATAGCTTAAGCCATGGAGGCAACAGTACACACTAAGAAGGAGCAATGGTCCCAATGAAGTCACCAAAGCTTTATTGGTAAACTTTTATAGATTTTTATCCGTACTATCCAGAAGATAACACCAAGTCAAATCCACAGAATCAGATACAAAAAACACAGAAAAACGTGTATGAAGGTGTACCATGAGTCATGTCTACACATCCTGTGTGATGGTGTTTACTTTCCATTAAAAGCCAGCGTATAGGTGGCCAAATACTGGAAAATGCTTGGGTAGGAAGCACTTAACCAAGTTACATTTACATGGGGGGCCATGATTGAATGGACCTGACATATAGGGAGGAAACAGTCCTTTTCTTAGCCCGTCTTAGGTAAACTTTACTCTGCCTTTGCCCCCTTTCACATCTCTTTGCTGATTTGCTGAAGCTCATTAAAGATGAGAATTAAATAAAGGTCAACAATAATGACCTGCAGGTCCATAGCTGTAGCTTGCAGATGGCCTGCATGGTGCTTTCAGTAATTGGCTATAACTGTTTGTATGCATGACTTTGAGTACGTCGAAAGAGCGAGTACAGCACATCTGTCATGGGGCCAGTTATAGAGACCACAGAGCTGTATCAAGCGGAACATTTGAAAAGAGCTGAGGTCAGGGTCAGCCTGACCTGAACCACTGAGGTCTGCTTCTGGAGGACTGATGCTGAATGAGCTCATCTTCCTGTTAAATATGAGCAATATTCACAAGCTAAAGCGGATCGAATTAAAATATATCTATAAATTGAGAGCTAACAGATCCAAATGTAAAACAAGTAAATGCCCCTTGAGCAACAGATGGCGTCTCTCTTGGCAACGGGGGCCGATTTGCCGGTTATCAGTTGCTCGAAGACGCCGCGCAGCTGCAAACTTTTACTGGACTGGATCCCGTCTGTCACCACGCTGGCGCGGAGCGCGCTCACTCGCCACACCACCTCTCTGGCTGCTCAGGGCCCATCTGAGCACAGAGCTGTAATTTGGACTGGCAGCTGACAGCGTATAATCAACCCCCCGAAAAAAAAGTTATTTTGGACAGCCAAGACCGAGCGATGGGGCGATCTGCGGCGAAAGCCAGATGAGTTCACCGGCTGGGAAAGGCAAGTACATGTGCACTTTGCTGCTTTGATCAGAGCAGATGGCAACGTTTGGGCGGTAGATAGTGAGCTCAGAACCACAGAGATGCTCCGCCACCTCTTGTATCCTGAGGGGGTCAGACACGAAAAGGCTCCCTGAAACCACAGGCCTCTTGGCTGTCGAATTATAATCAGCGGCAAATGGTAGTGACGTTTTTCAGACAGAACTGCACTCTCTTTGCACTAGAATAAACATTTTTCTGGGTAATTATAGGTGGGAGCCCCTGGAGTAGTGGCAATAAATCCTGTATGTCTGATACGTTGCATGTAGAAAGATTCTATGTGCAGTCACAAGCTGGAAAAAAACACACAGCTCTCTTAGTGTGTTTGACAACACATGCCATAAAGCAAGGCTGCAGAGATCCAGTTACTGCCCCACGGAAACCCCCAGACATCTTTATCACGTCGACGCATCAGACCTCAGACAGACTTTTTGATAGCATTTTCCCCAAATTGGGGCCCCTCGTCAGGTTTTGAAAATGAGTGAAATTGATGCTTTTTATCGATTTTTAGCATCCACGGTAAGATGACAACTAACATTTTATGTAAACTTGCTTATGCCTCCTCTTAGTTTTTGCATTTCCAGATTGTATCTTGGGAACCATTTAATTATAGAAATATACATTTTTAATTAACAAATACAATGGCAGCCATAACGATTTCTAATAGTGGGGAGCACCATTTTGTATGTAGCGCTTGTAAATACAAAATTATCATTATTCAAAAAATGTTGTATTTACAGTCAACTGTAAAACAATCTGATCTTTGGTTATTGTAAATATAACCAAACATAACTTTCCAGTGGTATAACACTGTAATATTTCAAATGACAAAATATGAAGAATTCAAACATTTGAAATATGAATAAATAGAGAAATATAAGGAGATACATTCCAAATGCATTTGGCACAAAACAGGATGCTCTCTTCTGAAGACAGAAGCCTTCAGTGATTTATTGAAAGCTAACTCTGATTTTATTTTCACTGTCACAGCCAAGCGGAAAAGCAAAACCACATAATTAGCACGTGCCCAATGACAAGAATGCGATAATGTGTCTTTACAGCGTGAAGAAATGCTATCGTCTCTGATCATGAACACAGTGTCTTCCACTCTGTCCTGTTGAATCACTGCCCAGAGGACCAAAGGGCTGACCGAGCAGTCACTTAAACTGGCATATTTTGGGAAATTCTAACCTTGATTTATAGGATGGAAATGTAATTTTCCTCTTTTTTTTAAAAATATTCTCACTTTAAATCAGATAGTTCAAATTTTTTGTATCGGTAAAAATATAAAAAATATCCATAAAATCCATATAAAAAAAAATAAATAAATAAAAAAAAATATATATATATATATATATACACAGTATATGTAATGTTGTATACTGGAAAAATAATTCCATGGCTGTTGAATGCATTTGTTCAGTTTCCATTATCACTTCCTGTTTAGGAGCCGGGGGGGCTGGAGCCTATCCCAGCTGCCAGTCAGTGAGAGGCCGGGTAGATCCTGGTCAGGCAACTATTCCATTCCGGGGCCAACACAGATATAAACAAAAAGAACAAGCGTGTGCTCTCAGACAAACTCCTGCATTCACGACCGAGTCACCAATTAATCTAAGAGGCCAGAAAACCCAAGAGGTCCCTGCCAAGGTGTAAAGAGGGAGCCTTCAAGCGTTTTGGCCAATACTTCACATCACGCTGCATTCACAAAATTAAAAGGATAAATTGATTTATCGGTCATAACTGACAGAAATAATCTTATGAGGAACTAAAATGAAGAATATGAGCTATGAAATCACTGATAATTATCAATTGATGCCGAAGCAACAAATTGCACATGAATGAAGTTTCGATTTGGTTAACAAATCCAAATTCATTCTATGTTTTTTTTTTTGTACAAGAGACATTGAGATCTACTATCAAAGACAGGGGGAAAGGATTTTTGGTATAAATCTGCATAGCACCATCCACAGTTTAAGAGTGGTTTGAAGCAGCGAACAACATCCTTTTATCTTTAAGAGGTGGAAAATACTTGTAAAGATGATGTTCATTTGTATCTTTCTGAACTTATTTTTTCTTTGCTCTGATGATTGATCCAAAAATTGACAGTTATCTTCTTGGCTGAAATAGTCCTTTCTGCTAAAGCAAAATATCTACATTGACTGCTTTATAAATTGCTGTCATACTGCTTATCATGGTTTAAAAAGTCAAATACAAACAATCAGTCAAACACAGTAGACCCAAGAGTGTTCAGTACACTGTAGCAAAATATCAGCCACTGCCAATATCTAGTATGTTGTTGCTTTCCTGAAGTCTATAGCATGAACAGAGGCATTTGAAACTCGTATGGACATTTAAATCCTTTCCACAATCCCTTCCCCCTGGTACTCAGCAGTAACCATAGTAGCCTTATAACATACACTTCTCGGACTATAATTCACTTGCCAGCTGGAGTTTTTCCGTGTATAGTTTGCTTGTTATGTCTATGTGGATCTCTTCTGCTTTTCTGGTTTCCTCTTTCAGACCGAGGACATGCGGGTTGGGTTATCACAAGCGGAGACATGAAATTGCTCATAGGAGGGAAGTGTTTCGCTCTGCATGCTTGCTTTCATAGCTTGGCAACCTGTTAATGGTACACCCTGCCACTTGTTGTATGTTGGCAGTTGACTTCTGTACTGAACTGGATATGTTTAATATAAATTCTGGACATACAGAAAAAAGACAGATGCAGCCATGTTCAGTTATCCATATACATTGGTTTTCCAAACTCTGCAATGAAGTTTATAAGAAAAATCAACTAATTTTCAACTATTTATATCTAAATGTCAACAAAACAAAAATACATAAGAACTTAATCTGGCACAAAAGCCCATTAATACCTGCAGGATAATATCTGAACCTTAATCACCAAACCGAATAATCAGATATATCCGTGCCAGCCAAGTGTGTGAAGAGTCAGCTTTTCTTAAACATAACTCTCAGCTCTCTGACATCTTGTTCTTTGTACTTGGACAGGAGTCTAAACAAATCATGCCAGTGCATCTGTTTTTTCTCTTAGAGTGATGGATGTGGGTGGGAGACAGACAGGAACTTCGATCCCCAGAAGACACTCTTGTAACAACATCCGACCTTTCTGGATAAACGCTATTCAAGACCTGGGAGAAAAAAAAACCTTGAACACAGCCTATTGCACTGTACAAAATCCCCCTCACCCCCCTCTGACTCACATCCAGTCATCGGCTTCACTTAATCAAAGAATTTGTCAAACTATGTTGCCTGATTTAGAATAAGCTGAATAGGAGTTGCACTTTCAGAACTATATGAACCTGGTTCCTGCCTGGGTGATCTGTAGAACAGCTATAGCTGATATCTTTATGGTTCTGCTGACTGTTACAGGACTCACTGACATCACCCTTATCAATAATAAGCCTTTCCCAGCCCACCAGGGAGTTGCCCAATCCCTCTACATGTCTCACATGTTCATAGTTCTACTTAAATTCTCTTCAGTCTCTGCTTTTTTGCTAGATTTATCATCTAAAGTCCAACATTCTGTATATGGTTTATCCCAGTTGCTGACCAAAGTTCATGTCCCAAGATTATTTTTGCCCACTATAGAGTTCTCTTGCCTCTCTGGAAATTGGGACATCAACTGTTTTTGGACCACCAACCTTTGTCAACCCCCACCCGTATCCAGAAGTCTACTTTGGCTTCTGGATACGGCCCAGAAGCCACCAGACTCATTTGACTAAACTAGTTACACACAGAACATTGCTGGTACTTTGATATTTTGACTCTTTAGCTTGGACATCAACATCTCACAGTGACACTACTAGTGACCACAGGCGGGAACACGGATGCAGAGGCCATTTATAGGCTAGCATGTCCATCACTGGTATGTGCACTGGGATTTGTATTTGTGGTTTGCCTTGACCTCACTAGAAGTTATGCAGCTGGTGGGGTCCAGCCACCCATTAGCCAAGCTAAAACTTTAACTTGAGCTCTTTTACGGTCCCTAGGGAAAGCTCCGTTCCACATCACCATACTTGGCACACAGAAGCACGTACACCGGTAGCGACACAACACCGTCATTAACAAAAGACAGCAGCACACACAGGCTAACGATGGAATTACTAAAAAAACAAGCAACATGACCATATTCGACGATGATATGACCACATGAATACGAATTTTTCTGTTGCATTCTAGCAATCTGTACCAGTGAGCATGGCGTTATGGTGAGGAGGAGATTGAGTGGGTGTGCGATATCCTGCGATTTTTAATGCATTGTTTGCGATGGATTTGTTATTTAAGTCAGTGAGGTTTGGGGAGACCAATTATTTTGGCAGCAGTATTGGCAATACATGTGAGTTCTGACCAGTTTGTGACAGAGATCGTGTTGAAGCTGACAGGTAGAGTAGTACGATACTGTGGTAACGCAGGGGGAGTAAGTTAGATGAAACATGAACATAGTCTTTTAACAAGACTGATGTTGTCTTGGTCCAACATGAGTTTATTTTCCAAAGTGACTCAGAGGTATTTGGAACACTCAAAATGTCTGGTTGTCAATGGCGACGGGGTCTTACTGATGCTCAGGTAAGGACGGTTTTCTGTGCACGACTGTGTGAAGTCAGTGACTGTGTTGATATGGTCCTGGACCGACTAATCATCTGTGAGTTTTGCAAGAATAGCTGCGTTGCCTGAGTATTTGGGGTTGGGAGAACTGAGTGATGGGCGAAATGCAGTCACTGGTGTAGAGAGTGTAAAGGAAAGGGCTCAAAAACATATCCCTGCAGAGCTCCGGCCTAATTCGTCTGACACTATGGCCAACTTATTCGTTTTCTCACATTGTTGCACCATTACTTGTACCAATGCGAAGTAAGAAAACTAAGAAGCTGGCCATCAGACTTAGTTTATCTGCTTACAGCACCCAGTGGATTCGGGGAATATATGGACTGTTTGACTTCTTCATTTAATACTGAAGATATAGAGCAGACACATATGACTTGCTTTTCAAACGTAAGTGTAAAATCTTCAGTGATTCAGTGGTTTCTAAGCTATTTTCTTCACTATACGTTTTTATAAGTGTACATCTTAATGATACGGCATCAAATTGGTAATGCTGAAAATTTTAAAAATTTCCTATCAATATAACTTATGCATATTCCCACATTGATACAGATGTAATATAATTAAAGAAAGTTTGAACAACCCCCCAAATAGATATTAACGCTGCCTGAGCTAACTTAACCTAAGAGCCGCTTTGAACATGAAAGAGAATGCATACATAACATGCATTTACTGAAAGCATCTTGTTTGTGAAAATACAGATATTTTATGTTTGTATAATGCCTGTGTCAAACAGTGCGAAAGACATCGCACCTTTAAAGTCATAAATAAATGCAATTTATTCTCAAATCAGATTGGAACAGACAAATATTTTGAAATCCATCTAAAATCTTGGCAGCATAAAGTTAATCTCTTTGTATAGAACCAAAAAGCTCCAGTGTGGTTGTGTAGGAGATGCTTTGAAAGATGGAGCGCTGACTCTGTGGTTGACAGACAAATGCTGCCAAAACTGTGTGTTGCCGTTAGCAAAGCAGCAGTTTGGACATACCTGGAACCTCTTCAAGCCCATAACTGGTGCTGTTGGGCTGAAAGCGATCAGGCCGAACTTTCATTTTTGGACACAGGACATCTGAGGAAGAAAAGACAATAAGTCAGTCGGGTGCACTGCGAGGCAAAATCGGATGTTCTTGAGAGTGCACAGGAAAAGAAGTCTTCAGAAATTGGTATGTTCCTGTTGAAGATCCAGCTTTGTGTTACTGTTTTGTAGAAAACTGAGATGGCTACACCTACAGCGACAAAATTATGTCTGTAATCCCATGCACGCACAATAGTTAGTAATAGTTTTTTTTTTTTTAAAAGGGAAAAAAAAGGAAAGAAAAAAAAAGGAAAAAAAAAAAAAAAAAGTAATAGTTTTTTATACATCTCATAGATAAATGTAATACTAATCATTTGTATTAACACTGTTAAAATATATGCGTTGTGTTTGTGTACTCAACCTTGTTTCATGAATTCGCAAGTTGTTCATTTAATTTATTTTAAATTTTTTGGACCAGTACTGGGGATTCCAATTTGGGGTTTATCTGTAAATGTGGCACTTTATTTTAGTCACTTTAGTTTATTATATTCTTTCATTTCAGTTTCTTATATATAGTATATGGTGTTGTATACTAACTCCCAATTTAGTTTCTATCTGTGAGCATTTAGCTTAGGTTTATTTTCTTCCTTTGTAAATTAACCCACTTTTCTTAAATTTACCAATGGGTCCTGCCCAGTCCCCCAGAAGATGTTTGTTTCTTTATCATTTGAAAAACTCCAATGTGGAGACTGCCCTCTCTTTCCATATCTCCTATCTAACCCTAACCCTTAAGATGTAAAGTGTTCTGATTGTCAAGAGGAGGTTTTCCATTTCTACACACCAATGTTTCAGTTATGTTAGAATCTATGAGAAAGGGGAAAATGTTAAAGTGGGTCTTTTATTTGTGCCAAGATGGTTTGATTACATCTCAATTTTAATTTAAGTGAGTGGAAAAACTTGTAAGAGGGTTCCCTTTTGTTTGTAGATCTTATTTAAATGTCAGATCCTCTCTCCAAGGCTGATATTGCTGAGTCTGCCACAGAATCTTCTTGAACCCCTCAACCCACTCCTCAGATTAAAATGTCGCAACTCTAAGTGCCTGGAACCCACGTGTAAGAATAATCAGAGCTCTAGACAACAGCCATGAGCTCCTGCCTCAAGCTCAGCATGAGCTCATGGCAGCGCGTATAAATAGCACTCCTCTCTTTGGGCACATTCTTTCATGTCATTTACAGTCATTTTCATGTATTTATTTATTAAAGTGGTTATTATGATAAGGCCAAATGGCATAAGTACAGATCAGGCCAAGACTGACCAAGAAAGAAAAACTAAAAAGACGGCTTAACCCATGACGTGTTTCAAGCTGAATAGTTAAAAAAGCTTAAAATATTTGGTCGTCACTTTCAGCATGACCTGCTGTGTAATATAAATACGGAATTTTGAGATCTTGGCATCACACGGTGAGTGTGTGGATGCCCCCACCAGGAAACAAGAAAATTATTAAATCTTTGGGTATTGAGGGCATTTAAGATTTCAATGTAATTCCACTCTTGTTACGCAAAAACTCGGTCATAGGTTTTTAAAATCTTTTTTAATTTTATTTGTCGGGGACCATCTTGATAGCTTTTGCATTAACTAAAGTCAGGGTGGATGACAGCTTTGAACTTTGCTCCATCAAAGCATCATCATCATCAGCAAAGTTCCGGTAATGAGATTTTCCATCAACTTTAAAAACACCCTGCAAAAAGTTTTTTTTCTTTCCCCAAATTAAAGTTGTGTCATCTGTTAATAAGCAAATTAAGCCTTACAAACTGCAAAAACAAGTACCAATATATCCTTCCACACTGAGTGTACCAACCCTCGGATCACCACAAAGTATTTATTTTCTTTTAAATATATGATTACTATCCATTGTTAGTCTGTTTTATATATTTATTTTCGTCTCCAGTTTTGAGGCGACAAATAGTGAAGCAACATATCTATCAAGGCAAACCAGCCATTGCAAGTCTGTGAAACTTCGACCTTTAACCCGACATTTATGGCAACAACAAATCAGAATGATGTCACCGGTTAGCAAACAGTCTTGTTCTGGGGATATTCTTGTTAAATCATGAGTCAACAACACATCTGAGTTCTCCTGACTCATAAATATGACTTGTGGCTTGAAATCCCTCCCCTAAATGGGTCCAGCACTTGTAAAAACGTCTTAAATGAAAGATCATGAGCCTTCATTGCTGTTGATCGGCTCAAAACCCCTAAGTGTGACTAATGAGAATAATCCAAGCAGCTTATCCAACTGACGGCCCTAACGTACTTTTTTAATTCATTCCACAACTAGCAACGTTGTTTCTTTTATCTAATGTTTTTCAGTCACGTCTTTCCTCTCTTAACGTGATAATAGAAGCCCTTCTCGACAGACACTTGGTTTATAATGTTTACAAAGCCAGCCTGTCAACCAGAAATTGCCGTTCTGTGAACGAGTGGAAGTGCGTCACTCTTATTTAAAGACGGCGTTGTTGCACAGCCCTGAATCTGAGCATGCCGAATAGCTGAGCAACTCCCTACACTTGTGGCCCTGAAGCTATAATTTAGGGATCTGGCTCCGAGTGAAATTGGAAGCAGTGTAAAAACCTGCCTCTGCTTGAGCCCTACACACCTACGACCAATATTATCTTTCCTCTTTTCGGTAAACTTTTTTTATTTTTGGATTAACCAATATTTTCTTACATTGTCGTACCGGCCCAATTGTTTTTTTTAGTTCAACAGGTCACATACATGTTATCCTAAGAGAGTATATTTTTGGGTGAGACCACACACGTCCCTAATGAATCAACGCGGGGCAGAATAGGGCAATGGCACTGGTGCCCATTTTTAAATCTATAGATTACAAGGTAAAAGATGTATGGACATATGACTGGTTGCAACGAACCCACATGAAACATTAGAACTGTAATTTTCTAAGACGATAATCACTGCCATTGCCCAGTGAGTCCGTTGTGCTGACCACCAATGTACTCGGAGGCTCACTCGTGGCGATCTCAAGAGATTACGGAAATAAAACACTGGAACTTTTTTTTCTGCGATTGCAAATTTAGCTTTAGGCCATTTTTAAGATGGAATGGATGAAAAAAGGCCTGCACAGCATGTCTCATAATGTGCAACCTACATTGCTTGCTGCCAGACAGAAAATCTATCGACTCTAGAAGCAAGGTCAGAGGTCGGTAGCTTTAAAATGAATTTACAAGCTGCCTTTAAAGCCCAAGAGGCGTGTGATTTGGCAAGATGGTAGTCCCTAAAAAAGAATAAATGCATTTCATAATCTGACTCAACACTTTGTTTAGAGGAGTACTTTTCCCTTTTCAAAACGGACAACTTGAAGATAGATTTAGAGCTAAATCTAAGATACGTGTTGCACATTTTCTAGTTCATTTAAGGATGTAAATTTAAGGCAACAGAGAGAATAAAATTGACCCTAGTCTCTCTGAAAACCTTCTCTGTAGAGCCTCGACACGAGGCTCTTAAAAGTGTTTATTTCCAAGCCTGCTTCGGTTGATTTATGCAGCTATGCGCGATACTTTCGAAGCCTGTGTGTCTGCGTTGAAAGCATTTTCTCAGCACAATGGTGGAAAAACCATTGAGGTCTGCGTAAGCTTTCCAGTGCTCGACGCCTCCGTCAGAAAGGCAGCTGCACCACAGATATGTCCTGGTTAGGAAACTATCATTTACAAGACAATTTCTGCAAACAGCCCCCCCCGAATAGGCTTCTCCCTGGATCAAAAGAAGTCACCATAGTGTGCACCAGTGTGCATGTGCAGCTCTCCGTGGTAGGGAGGGTTTTTCTTTCTTTTTTTTGTGGTTAGGGTCGTTCCCTTGCATGGTGGTTAAAGGTTAAAATAAGAGTGCAGTTTGATTAAATGCACGTTGCGGGCGTGGCCGGCTCTTTCAAAAAGCCGGGCTTCAAAGGGAAGTCCAGCGGTGTGTCGCGTCGGGGATGGGATCGCGACAAGCCCCTTGGCGGGTGACTTACTCTCGCACAGCCTCCTCCGGAGCCTGCCCCGGATTCTGTCGATGGCGTTGAAGTCGGTCACGTGGAAGACGTGGGCGCTCTTGGGCTCGGCGGCGATCTCCTCCAGCTCCTCTCGCAGCGCCTCGCCGATGCCCACGGCGAACAGCCTGATGTTGGCCTTGGCCGCCGCCTTGGAGGGCTCCAGAACGTAATCCTGGCTTCGGCCGTCGGTCAGCAGGATGGCCACCCTCTGAATGCCTCGGGCGGCCGGTCTGGCGCCGCTGCGCTCGGTGAAGATGTTGTCGGTGGTGTAGCTGATGGCGTCCCCCGTCATCGTGTTCCCCCCTATGTAGCGGATGTTGCGGGCCGCTTGCTTGACCTCTTCCAGGGTCCTGTGGCGGCCCAGGTTGAACTCGGTGATGGCTCGGTCACTGTAGCGGACCACGGCCACTCTGGTCTTGTCCGGCCCCACGTCGAAAGACTCCACCAAGTTGGCCACCCATTGTCTTATCTTCTCAAAGTTGTCCTTCCCCACGCTGGATGAGGTATCCAGGATAAATGCCAAGTCGTAGTGGACGTTTTTGCACCCTAAGGGCAAACAAACGGAGAGATGAGGTTTCGTGCATCAATCAAAGGCTAAATCTTCTGTTTTTAAATGTATTTTACCTGCTCTTTGAGCTTCAACTCTCTTGCTGGAAAGAGTCAAGGCCAGGATGAACCAGACCAGGGTTATCCGAAATCCCAGTCGTAACTCCATCTCGGCCTTGGCTGCGGTCTGTTTTTTTGTTGTTTTTTTAGCTTACTACCACCATCAAAGCTGTACGGTCTGTGGAAAAGGTCAGTGGAAAAGGTCAGTGGAAACATCAACGATTTATCTTTAAAGGTTCAAAACTCACGGTGTAACTGTAAAGCTGAGTCGGAAATACTTTTTCACTATCTAATACTGGATCTAACGCTTTTCTCCAAGCAACACAACCATGATTTACAACCATTTCTCCTGGGGAGGAAACCAAAGTGGAAGAAGTACCTCTGGTCCAGCATGAAATCTGCTGTGAAAGGGAGCTTCCTCCAGTGGCTGCTGACACATCTCTACTTTGACAAAGACTATCAATTCAATTTAGCAATTTTAAACTGCATAAACATTTTATATGGTCATAAAAATGCATGTTCATATATAAATATATATATATATATACAGTGGGGGAAATAAGTATGACCCCTTGCTGATCTTGCAGGTTTAAATGCTTAATTTTCCTCATCATATGGTTATCAATTTTTATAAATTCATATGATGTGGTTTTCTGGAATTTTCTTTATTAAAGTTATAGATCGTTGCATTGTTTGTAAGTGGGCAAACCAGCAAAATCAGCAAGGGGTCAAATACTTATTTCCCCCACTGTATATAGACTTAGACTTAGACTTAGACTGAACTTTATTGATCCCTTGGGAAGACTCCCTCAGGAAATTATATATATATATATATATATATATATATATATATATATATATATATATATGTCACCCCCTTCTGTTGGCATTTCTTTGGAATGGTACCTGGCAGGAAATGTCTTCTATCCTTAGGACACGATAATTGAAATGTAAGACTGAATCACACGTCTATCTACAGTGGAGGGTAAGTTCTCCATCCAGAAAAAAACTGGACCAACTGAAAGTGTTCGGGACAAGCGTCCCTCTCCACGTGGAAGAAAGTAAAACAAACAATGCCACTGGTGTGAAGAGTTCTGGAATTCTTTGTCCTGAGGTTTGAATTAGAAATTGTGTTTCTATACGATGTCGTAGTGAAATTATGATCTGCCTGATTCTATTTGATTATTTGATGACGTTGTTCTGCCCTGCTGGCACAGACAGAATCCCGCCACACAAACACAAAGCTATTCTTGCCCTTTGTGTGCACCTGTGGCCGGGTTGCCTGGCGCTAACAGCCACATGGATGTGTGAGTGACTGCAGCCTAAACACACGCTCATCCTGACAGGAAGAGCGTCTCGCTGTGGGGGGGCGGCCCAAGGGAGGCTGGGGAAAGTCTGAGTTATGCGCAACACGGAAAGAAAAAAAAAAGGATACCTCATGAACTGAAAAGCATTTTACCATCCTTTTCTGACATTTCCGCTGAAAGTGCTGTTAATTAATTTGGTTTCCAGATGTGACGAGCACTCAAATCCAAAAAACTCAAGAAAAAATCATATGCGATGCTATGACATTTTGGGTAATGGTTTTGTTTATTCTTTGTTTTTAAAAAAAGGACCCGACAGTTTCATATTTGACATTCTGTGAAGAGCCTGTAAAGACGATACAATACAACGTTAAAAACAAGAACTTCCAAAGCTAACAGTTATCTTGCCAGCTAAAAGTTAATCAATTTATTAACTGATTGGACCAACTGCAAAAAACCTAGTCAAAAACAATCAGCCTGTGATAACAGTACCCCTCAATGTTAGCATTGTGTTGACAGAAAGCCTCCTGTGAACACGACTTAAGACCCCAATATATGACGCTACAAGTTAAGCTAGTGTGATACTGTTCAAAGTGCATGCATAGTGATTCATTTCTTTTATTATTTTAATGTCTTTACTACCCGGAAAACCAATGTTTCTTTACAAACAATAGTCCATAAAACTACAAAGCAAAATAACCTAAGTGAGATATTCTTGTTTAAGTTTACATATCTTCCATCAGACGTGAATAGAAGGGATTTTCTGTCTTAAATGTGATGTGTAAAAGCCCACATGGGATGTAAAATGGATTGCAACTTTAACATCTGTATTTACATAAAGGGATTGTGGTCATATACTATGATCACTTTTTGGGGATTTTAAGTTATGAACACCTGGGCAAACTGTCACACAGAAGCCTATGATTTTAAGAGCATTGTTGGCAATGCCAAGTTTTACCCTTAAAAAATGTGTTCAAAGTATAATTAATTTATCTGCCAAGCTAAGTGCTAGCTAACCTTTTTGCTAACAGATTTGAAAAAAATCCAGCACAAACGTTCACATTTTTCCATATACTAGTCAGGTGGGAGGGTCTCAAGGTGGACTCAGATGTGGGGAGCTCGGTTCCATGGGTTTTATTTTAACAAAAAAACGCACTCAAAAGGAGTGCATGACCAGACAAAGGTTCAAAACAAGGTAGACAAAACTATGAACAAAGTATTAAATCAGGTTGACAAGGCTATGAACAAAGTATCAAATAAAGTAAACATGACTTTGGCAAAAGTATCAAAGCAAGTAAATAAGACTATGGCAAAACAAGGCTGTGACAAAGTGCAAAAATCTAAATCTTACGTGGTGTGGGCAAGACGAGGAACGAAAAGACAAAGACAGCAAAAAAAAAAAAAAAACCACACTGGCACAGGACAGGGGAAACGAGGACTATTTAAACACGAGGGAGGGGAACCCCAGGTGTACACAATATGTAATCAAGACAAGACAATCACACCAGAAATTCCCCCAGACGTGACAATAATCAAGAATTAAGTTGAATTTTAAAAAGCAAGTTGTTATATTTGTTAATGCATGTGTTGGCACATACATTTTTCTTGGAGAGCAAAATGGCCAGACAATTTGGAGACTATATATATATATATATATATATACATAATAAAACCAAAATTGAATGAAAAATTAAAAGAGTCTGGGGGAAATCTGGGGCTTCCCCATGTCTAACACATGCATATATTTGTTTGGTCTCTCTGCTTCAAATAGTCCCCTCTTGCAAAGACACATTGTGAAATTCAAGCTGAGTGACTCAAAACCAATGCACTATTTGTGTCCATAAGCACAAACGCAAACTCTGTTGGCTGATGAGAATAACATTTAGGTGGGGAGTGGTAGTAGAGACATGTGACACTAAGAAATATTTGCTTTTTTACCTCCAATGTCTCTTTACCTGTAAAAAGACTGTTGTTTTGTTTTGTTTGTGTTTGTTTATTTCAAGAAACTCAGCACATGTTGTCTTAAATATCAAGGTAATTCTTCTATTAACCTTATTAGACAAGACCTATTAAAATCCAATGGACAGCTAAATGAATTACTGTGTCCTGGACACTTATGCTGGACTTTAAAATACAATGTCAGAGGGCTGGAGCAGATTGTAGGATATGTTTTGAGCAAGACGCATTTTTTCAAACCGCAACATTCTGTCTGTGACTGTGCCTGTTCAGAAGATGGAATAGAGAGTGCCTTATATACTTCTGTGGAAAGCTAAATGCTTTGGCCTCCAGATATACAGATTTCCTTATCTGATTTCTCACTGGGTTATTTCTGCTCCTCGGTTTCACTGTTGCTATTAATGAACAGAAAAAGCCTTGCTGAGCCGAATTGCCCTAATCACCCCAATTAGTGTGCGTTTAAAATGTGAAAAATCAAGCCCAGCCAGACTTCAAGGTAGAAGGGAGAAAAAATAAATAGAACAAACGCCCCATAAAAGCATTTTAAAAAAGCTTTATGGATTTAATCGTCCCCGTCAAATTTAGAAGGCGTGGAATGAATGCTTGGGTCTCACAGCGTGTTCATTTGCTTT